GGTGTGCCGGATTCACTCGTAGCATTGGTGGAGTCTGGTGCGATCGATACTGTCGTGGCAATGGGAGACTCTGGCGTGCTCGACTCTGTCGTAGTAGTACTAGAGTCTGCTGTGCCGGATTCAGTCGTGGCATTGGTTGAGTCGGTTGATCCAGACGAATCGGATACGGCCGTGCTCGAGTCAATTGTAGCAGTGGAAGAATCTGGTGTGGCCGATTCTGTGGTACTAGCGATAGAGTCTGGTGTGCCGGATTCACTCGTAGCATTGGTGGAGTCTGGTGCGATCGATACTGTCGTGGCAATGGGAGACTCTGGCGTGCTCGACTCTGTCGTAGTAGTACTAGAGTCTGCTGTGCCGGATTCAGTCGTGGCATTGGTTGAGTCGGTTGATCCAGACGAATCGGATACGGCCGTGCTCGAGTCAATTGTAGCAGTGTTAGAATCTGGTGTGGTCGATTCTGTCGTACTCGTGCTAGAATCCGGTGTGCTGGATTCATTCGTAGTATTGGTAGAATCTGTCGATGCAGACGAATCGGATACGGTCGTGCTAGAGTCAATTATAGCACTGGTAGAATCTGGTGTGGTCGATTCTGTCGTACTAGTGCTGGATTCGTTCTTGGCACTCGTGGAGTCTGTGGATACAGTGGAATCGGTTACGGTCGTGCTCGAGGGAATTACACCATTGGTAGAATCTGGTGTGGTCGATTGTGTCGTAGTAGTACTAGAGTCTGCTGTGCTGGATTCAGTCGTAGCATTGGTAGAGTCTGTTGATCCATACGCATCGGTATCGGCCGTGCTAGAGTCAATTATAGCACTGTTAGAATCTGGTCTGATCGATTCTGTCGTACTAGTGCTAGAATCAGGTGTTCTGGATTCATTCGTAGCATTGGTAGATTCTGTCGATACAGACGAATCGGTAACGGCCGTCCCAGATTCGTTCGTACCACTGGTAGAATCGAGTGTGGCCGATTCTGTCGTACTAGTGGTAGAATCTGGTGTGCTGGATTCAGTGGTAGCATTGGTGGAGTCTGTTGATCCAGAAGAATCGTTTACGGTCGCGCTCCAGTCAATTGCAGCGTTGGTAGAATCGGCGGATATAGACGAATCAGTCGGCGCTGGGCTTGATGCTGTCGGGGCAATGGTTGTATTGGTTGGCGTGGTATCTGATAGGGTTGTATTTGTGTATTGAGTGGCACCGATGGTGGAATTTGTTTCTTTTGCGGTATATTCGGTTGTTACGGTGGTAGAGTATGAAAGAATCGGATATGGGTCTTGGGTAGTGGCCGTGATGGGTGGTGTATTGGAAATCGTGCTATCCTTAGTGGCGATTGAAGGGAATGTGTTGGTTGTTTTTGGATGATCTTGAGAAAAAGGAATGGATGTGTGAAAGTTTCGGATGAGATAGGATTGTGGTCGGTAAGGAGAATGTGGTCTATTGTGTCTTGAAGATGCAGGGTGAGATGCTCGGGAAGAATAAGGGAAGCTTTGGGGTTAGCAGATTTGGAGTGGTTGGGTGACGTGGGAAAGTCTATAATGTAGAAGACTTTACGGATCAGAGCTGTCTGTGCAGCGTTCTATGTACGGATAGTATTTTGAGCTGTAATTGGAGTGTGCGAGTTTTCCGCAGGAGTTTGGTGATAGGAAAATTTGAGAATGAATTGTTCCGACTGTTATGGAGGGCAAAGGACGTTGGCAGTAGCCGTAGGTTTAAAATGCTTGAAAATGATCTCTCAAATTATGAAAAAACTAAAGGTTCTGGCTACCAATGACTCCCGGCTAACAGGCAATTGGCTACTTCTGCTGATGCGTATCATCGAATAGGGAGGACTTAATGTTGATGATGATGATTTATTTGGTGGAAGGCGAGTGATTAGAAAGTAACTATCGTTGTAAGATTCAATAATAAGGCTAGCTTACTCTTCGTGCATTTTCTGCATATTTGTATTGAAAGTGATGCCAGGATTTGTTGAATGCCATCGATGATACTTACATAAGATAATACTGGATTGCCAATATGATTTTCAGTACAATCTAAAGCGACAGACGTATCGGGCCCATCGAAAATAATTTGATTTGCTAACAGCCATACACATCTTATATCGACTGGACAGGTCGTTGTTACGGTGTAGATGGGTTTTCTTGGGCCAAGAAGATACAACGTTGGACCGATAATTCTTCCTGTTACATCGTCTTAACACAAAATAAAACGATACATTTTTACTGTTTCACACCATCTTCTTCATCACCTACTTTCTGATATTGAATGTGAGAAATGGAAGAAAAGATTTTGTCTATTAAATGCAGTGTCAGATTGTAATGTTAACACAAATTCAATATACGTAAATGAAAATTGTAATTCGAGTAATTCCAAAGTATATCCCAAATCGTGTGCACTGGATGTATATCGAATTAGACTGCCATATGGATCTAAGACAGGTTGATTCGATTGATCATAGAACAATACTTCTACTCTGTTGATTGTTTTCTCTTCTGTCAGTTCGCCGACGAATAATCGATCACTGAAATAATTCATAATTTCTCGATGGAACCGGCAGTAGTAAGAATTATCTCTCTGGCCGCTGTTAACGATCGTATGATACAATTCGCCAATAGGACACGTATTCCCAGGATAAATGTTTGTCAATCTCAATCGAAGATCATCTAAATTCAATCGAAAACATTTTATTTTGTTTACATCCTTCGAGTTATTGTTAGTACCTGATATTCTATGCTGATTAGACACCATTTCATAATCATCGAAGAGAGTATCACTCGATAAATCATCGCCATTTTCTCCGAAGGGTCGCGCGCAAACGACCTGTACAAATTAAGTGTCTTTTTTTAGGAAGAAAAGAAACGAAATGAACTTACTTGAAAAATCGAGAACGCAACGAAAATGCTTTTTACAAACAATACCATTTCTACGATGAACACTATAATAACCTATGGTGATATATCTTCGTGTGTGAAAACAAAAAATGAAAAGTCTAGAACGATGCACAAACATAGATGTAACTCATAGTCTTCAATTCGTTCGTTTCTTTTTCGCTTTCGACAGCATTCTATCTTCAAAGTAGATCACAGTATGTATGTATTTTTTGTTTTTTTCTCATCTGATATGCAGTTCTTGATCAATTTCAAGTTTATATTCCATCAAAAATAACTACATATGTTTTACTTGCAAGTTTCATATAATCGAATTACACAACAGAATCAATTCTTTTGATTTTTTTGCACAAACACGTGTTTCCAATACCCTATTCCGATAGAGATCATATTCGATAACAATGACAATCATTTCACGCGAAGACTATCATTCAAATAAACTCGATCACAGCGACATACTATCTCACTTTTTTTATCTGCTAAATTATGTACCAGAGTCGGAAAGAAAGAAAAGCGACCAAATATTTTTTTATTCGTATAAGATACATACAGAAGCACATTTGGTTTTGATATGCAAAAGTGAGAAGGAAATTCGTAATCAGTACACCTAGTACTCAGAAAGAAAATGATTCAATACTGACGTTTACTGTTCAAGATAATAAAGTACCGATACAAAAGACAACTAAATAGGATGTCCATCAATGAATATCAATCGTTTTGTTTTTCTTCCGACGATCAATGATTTGTCTTTGAATAGCGTCGTGTTGAGAAAGAAATCTTGTGTAGACTTCCTCCGTACGGCATCACAATGGCTTGCATATCAATTTTAATCGGAGCAACATGGGCAAAAAAAATGCACACGATAAAATACCAGAGTGTTAGTCTTATGATTTGCTCGATTTTCATTTAGCTATTCTATAGCATCAAAACAAAAATCATAAAATTCCGTGGATGAACATTAGTCTTTTGTTCTTCGTAATAATACACATGTGTGGTGTTGAATATAAGGACAATTGTTCAACGTATCTGTATACAACAGCAAGTTTCGTGTACTTTTTTAAAATAATGTAACACGCTTGTCTTCAGTGGTAATTAGTTGACTATATATGGACATATTTTTTGTTATTGATTTATAGACAAACTAGAGGTAAGTGGTCCGACATATTGTTTTGAAAAACTGATACAATCATGATTTGTAAGATACTAGTAATCATCTTCTTTAGCATATATAATCGGATGTTGACCACAAACACAAGCACAATTATAAACCTCAGCATACGAAGCTGTCGAAAGTAAATCGTTACCTTACTCGTCTGACACTCGAAAGCTATAGTATTCAATAAATCTTCTTAACTAACGCGTAATCGGTACAAATCTCGATTATGGTCAAGACAGGTAATTGACCATATACAAAACATGTTCTACAGAAATCATCTCGTTTCGGAAGTACACAAATAGTTTGATGAAAACTTCTTTTCATCTGTTCGAATTCTTATTAGTAAAATGTTATTTGGAAGTGACCTTCTGATCAAATTATTTTCAAGTACATCGATGAAAAATTGTAATACGTAATTCATCGTTCCATAGTCTCTTCGAATCATTAGAAATGCATTACTTCGTATTGGATACTATACATCAAGGCTTGGTAAGTTACACGAACAGAAAATTTTTTTCCATAGGTCGTACATTGATTAAAATCTAGAACAATCGAATCTTGGCTTTTCGTTTTCTTTTCTTCCTATTTTAAGCCAAAATTTAGTGCAGATCCATTGTCGTTACTGTTGGTATTGTGATAGAAAACCTACAAAGTGAATTTGAAATGTCTTGATTAAACACGAGCTATATGAAAGGCAATAATTCAGAAAAATACATCAAACAATACACATTCACATTTATAAGTTAACAAGTAAATCCATTAAAATCACATAGAAAGTGGAGATGTGTGCAAATGATGATGTTTTTTCGGGTGGTATTGACGCATTCAATGTAACAATATATGTATATGGATAAAGAAAATACGTAGGTCAAAGTATATGGTGATTGTATTGACTTTGGCATTGAAGACACATGCAGACGTGAGACATACGTAAATTGTCTGCTGATAGTTCTGCTACTGACGTATTTTAAAAGATAGATGACATAGATACGAACATAAACAACGTGTGTGACGTACGAGTAATCAATGTAAGACTTCTAGTCATCTGTTCCTATATAAAGTGTACTGCAAAATTCTTTCTTAACAAAATTTGAAGTTAGCCGTTGTTGTAATCATGAGCGTGTGCCCGTACGGTTATACATCCAAAAGCAACATGAGTTCGAATCATTCAGGTAAGATTGTTGATAAGATCGGAAATCGATTTATTTTTTACATTAAAGAAGAAACCATCGAAAAAGAAGCAGCAGATTATCATGCGAAGAGAAAAGAAACGTATATCACCCATGCATCTTCTGACATCCATCATGGTCAATCAGTTTCTGTCTCCATCCCAACTTGGGATGATCCGACGAAATTAGCTGCATTCTTTGCACCTTCCATTGAACAACTCCTGCCCGTAGCAGCTTGGCGTGGTTCTGATACAAAGCAAATTCTCTTTGCTACTCGCGATATTCATCTGACTATGCGCGAACACTATAGTCAAATGATCCGTCAAGTTGGCCGAAATATTTTTCCTTGCATCATAGCCAGTGAGAATGATATGCATCATCGTGGCGTCGGATCAATGTTTACTTTATATCTGGAAGATGGATCAACGCGTCGAACAAAGATTCCACCAGCTAAATATGAAATCTACAAAAATCTTTCCCACATGCCATTGTGTGTTTACAGTATCATCAGTCCATATTTTGCTCAGCCCACCGTCAGTGGATGGGAAGATAAATTAATGGTGGTAAATAATAAGATTATTGTTGCCCTTTCAACGCTACAAACGCAATCAAGTGAACATGAACACTATCGAACTATGTTAACCTATACACAAGAATATCTTCAACAATGTTTAAATGACAAAGCAGTTCATGTTCATAATTTTCAAAAATATTGCCAATCGATACTTCCTCATGTGATAGTTTCTATGGCTCGTGCAGCAGAGATTCAAGTCGTTTCTGCGAAACCTCAATTAGAAGCTTGGAAATCGGAATTGGAAGCGATGGGTAAATGGACAGATACTTATGTGATCATTCCAACTGTTTGGCCTGTTGGTCACGATAATCCTCGCCAGAAGCTATTTCAACAGCTAATGACAAAAGAACACTTTCAGACACATGTGATTATGTCTGAAATGCCTCGGGATATTGATGAAAGCTTTGATTTACTTGGCCGTGTGGTTGGTGATAGAGTTGCCGCTCGATTGATTTTTGGATGTGAAACACCGGGAGCTCGAAGCATGGTCTGTGCGTTATCTACCGAACGAGATTTAATTAGCGATGCATGCCAAGATGCCATCGAGAAAGTTTTTGAAAACAAAGAAAATACAGGAACAAATGGCATATTAATAGCTTCACAACTACGCTTTTATGCTGGTCAACCAACATCGAAAGAGAATGAAAAAGCGTTATTGCATACGGCAGCATTATTGGACGTTGAAGAAAAGAAAAAAAACACTAGTGGCGAGAAAAGTTTCGATTGAGAATAAAAGATCGAAAAACAATTCTTTTCTTCAAATTCTTTTGCCGCTATATCTACTTATATATGAGAAAGGCCTTATTCGATGTGTATATTTATCTTTCCAGGGTTTATACTCTCTTTCTTTATATATATATATGTAACTATATCATTTATTCACGAATGTGTACGATCAGAATACAGTCAAGATGCTTCTACGCATGTTTCTTCGTCTAAAGACAAAACTAAACTATCGAGAAATTCATACAACATCTCGTCGTTGCTGTGGCGTTGTATCATATGTTTACACTTCACCTTCTTCTCATATTCAATCTGATCGAGATTATCAATCGCTATTGCGTGGTTTAACCGCCGTAAAACATCGTGGTCCGGATGGCGAACCCTCCTTATGGCAGAATGATGAACGAACGGTTGGTCTTGGTCATACTCGTTTATCAATTATTGACCTTAGTGATCGCGGTCGACAACCATTGCATTCTTACGATAGACAGCTACATTTATCAATGAATGGTGAACTATATGATCATGATCGTATTCGTAAACAAGCGATCGAGCAGAATGAATATCATTTTCTCAGCGAAAGTGACAGCGAGATTGCGTTGTATCTCTATCGGAAATATGGATTAGATTTTGTTAAACATCTTCGTGGCGAATTTGCTATTACTCTTTACGATAATGAACGCAAAGTATGTCTGTCATTGTTTGTTAATCTATATCTGGTGATCAGTTCGTCTAGATGTTCATCGCAACGCGAGACCGGTTTGGTATCAAACCATTGTACTACACCTATCATGATAACAAACTTCTATTTGCATCGGAAATCAAATCTTTGTTTGAATTCGGGTAATTTGGCCAATAAGTAAATGTTTTCTCTTTCAAAATATGACTTTATTTAGTGTTCCAGCCATTTGGAATGAAGAAGTTATTTATAATACAGGACAATTACGTAGTTTACAAACAATTTACAAAAATATTCAGCAAGTCCCACCTGCTCATATATTAATTGCATCGTCCAATGGTACAGTGAATGTATCTAAATACTACGAAACGTCGTACATCACACGCGAGGAAGAGAAGCGTGAACAACGTACGGAGAAGGAAATGATCGACGGTGTACAAGAACAACTTCTCACAGCAGTTCGTCTTCGCATGCGAGCTGATGTTAAAGTCGGCGTATATCTATCAGGTGGTCTTGATTCATCAGTTGTATTGGGAATGGCGACAAGATTTACCAATCAACCTATCGATACGTATTCGATAGCATTCAAAGATCATTCGGATTTCGATGAACAAAGTTTATGCCTTGGCACCAATAGACATTTCGGTCCACAGAAAACCACACCACATATACTCGAAATCACACATGATCAACTGGCGGAACATATCGACGAATGCGTGTATCATTCCGAGTCTCCATTAATGCTTATCAGTGGAGTAGCAAAATATATTTTATCCAAAACAGTCCGAGCTAACAAAGGCAAAGTGGTACTAAGCGGCGAAGGAAGTGATGAGATCTTTTCTGGGTATGATGAAGTTTCGAATCGATATCAAATCATCTTCCTAGATTGTTTGTTTTAGTTATGCACCATTCCGTCAAGATTACCTTTTACATGACTTACCAAACGATCTGTCTGTGTTGAACGCAATCAACGAAGAAGAACGTGAACAAGTTATGAAATCTTTATCGAAAAATATTCTAAGTGGTGATGCTGTTCTCCATGACAAACAACGTGAACCGGATTGCATTCAAGCACTTGGATATTTCCCATCGCAAGAACGTTCATTATTCTTAGCTTGGGACGGAGTCTACGCTGAGAATTTGAAGAAAAACTATGAAAAGTTTCGTTTGAATAGTTTCTATTTTCATAATTCACATCTCTACGATTATCACATTTCGAAACAAATAATTAACTACGAAATATCGCGTGTACACTCGAGTCAATATATGTTAATGAAAAATTTTCTTGCAAATGTTCTTCTTAAAGTTTATGGTGACAGATCCGAGATGGCACATTCAGTTGAAGGACGCGTGCCATATCTCGACCATCATGTTGTCGATTATGCCAACCGCTTGCCAACAGCGATGAAATTGAAAATCAAAAATGGTTCGTTGATAGAAAAGTACATTTTGAAGGAAGCCGGCCGGCCGTTTATAACAGACGATGTTTATAAAAGAGAGAAACATCCGTTTCTTGCACCACCGACGCTACTGAATCCAAAATCGAAAATTTATCAATACATTTATGATAATATTCATTCTCGTGATATGAATCAATTAGATTTGCTATTCGATATTCCACGATTACGTCAACAATTAGATGATTTACATAATGACAAGGAGTTAATGAACAGGAAGTATCTATGGGGAGAACTGGCTTTGTTAGAAGGCAAATATTTAATGATTTGTAGTTATTTAACTTTAGCCAGACGCTTCCACGTTAAATATGATTGATAAAACATGTTTTTTTCCCTCTCTTTTCTATGAAACCAATAAAACAAAACAACGTTTCTATTTTACACTAAAGTTCATGACTGACGAGAGATACTTTTCAAAGATGAACTTGTTTGGATTATCTCGATTGCGTTGTTTGAATATATTTCGTACAATCGCACGCTTTCGCTCATCATCGAAAGTCAACCAATCGTCGTTGAAACATTGATGAAATATATTTGTGAATATTTGTCGTTTTCGATCTTGATCTGGCTTGCCTGATGATGGATAATCACGATTGAGATTACGGAAGAATTCCTTGCTGTCGTTGCTATATAATTTCGTGAATTCATCGATAATATTTGGTATAATCGATTGTTCCAATTCGTTTTCCACCAGATCGTAATCTTGAACGTACTGCGGAAAATAACTGAGATATTCTTGTTTTTCACCTTGCAACCAAATATTCAAACAGAATTGTCTTACATTATTTTGATTCTTTATTCCCACTGTTTGTGAATGAATCAGCAAGTACGATGGACTCTTGATCTTGATTCGATGATATGTCCGTACGTCACAAGCAACAATGCCTTCTCCTTCCATGGGACTCATCTTATTCACATACTGTAAACATTCACTCAATTGTGAGAAGGGAAATGAACGCGGCTTTCGAACTCCAATATCGACATCTATTTCTTCTAATGTCGACATATCACGTGTACCTATATGATATAACATCGGTTGTTCGTAATGAATAACAATGGTGTAATCTGGATGGACACGTTCGAAGAAATAGGCATATCTTGGATTTAGTTTTGAGTAATCAAGTCCAGCTGCTACGGATGCTTCTTGCCATAACTNATCTATTTCTTCTAATGTCGACATATCACGTGTACCTATATGATATAACATCGGTTGTTCGTAATGAATAACAATGGTGTAATCTGGATGGACACGTTCGAAGAAATAGGCATATCTTGGATTTAGTTTTGAGTAATCAAGTCCAGCTGCTACGGATGCTTCTTGCCATAACTGTTCATTGGTTTTACCCGATCGAAGGTATTTTTCTCGATATTGTTTGATATCGATTCGACTATTACTACTCACGTGCCATTCATTTTCGAAATAGTAAACTTTAAAGAATGAACCATCTAGTTTTTCAGTAAACGATGTCCAAGTGCCAGTACTTGCATGAGATTCGTTATAATTCCAAAACTTATAGAACGGCAAGCAAACTAAGCGATACGGAGGAGTTTTTTCATAAATTGCACCACGATTTTGTGTCAAAACAAGCTTCTGTTCGTCGCTGCCGTTTGACCATAAGTGGCTGTCATGTGTATACTTAGCACAAAACAACTTCTCGGTCTCATCGATCGACAAGTCATATTTCGTTTGTAACAGTTCACGTGCTATCGGCCATTCCAGATCAGCAATTATCTTTGGGAGAAGAATCGAATCAGACATATTATTTTTTTATCTTACTCAATGAACTGATATATGATACGTTATTACTTTTCATTGCATGATGCAATGACACACAAGTGTTACATCAGTGACATCTTTCTATTCAAATGAGAATAGATGCCTGCTATTAAAACTTATAATAATATCTTGATCTGAAGAGCTTTGTTTGATTAATTCTTGCCATTGCTCGATTTGAACTAGAATATCTACTGTGTCCATCCGAATACGTTCGTTTCACTTTATATGTTTTTCCAATATTAAAGTTACCTATATGCAACATGTTTTTCAATTCAAATTGTACACCAGAAGGTTCACTCAAAGTAACGAGATAAAAGCTTCTATCACGCAATTATACGTGAATATTTCACTCTTGGCCAACTATCTAATAAAACGATTAGATAGATATCGACATCGTCATTTTGCACAAAATCTCCAAAATTGATGTCATTGCTTGGTAGAGTAGTTTATTCGTGCAGAGATGGCATCTACAAATTCTATACTTTTTTTTTGGGATGAACATAAACAGCAAAGATGAGCTGCATTATCATAGGAATATGATACCTTTCACCATCCTCACTCTGTTTTCTTTATAGCTTCAGTTCATTCCAAGCGAAACCTCCGAAATCAATGCAACAAATATCACACGCTTCAGTGTTATAGATCCGGGACACAGACACAGATTGTCCATCATATTATGAACGATGTTCGCCATCTGTGTGCGCTTACAGTAGAATCGCAAACTTCAATGTGTTTTATACAATTACGATTATTCTCGGTCTTCAGGGTGGCTTGTCAATTGTTTTGAAGCGGATATCTCCAAAATTAGTTCGAATCGGATTAAAGATTTACCATCATCGGAAAAGACGCGCAACTTCTAGTCATCCTGCTAGCTCTATAGAAATGTCTCAGAATGTGACTACCAACACAACTATTCAAAGTACTACGAGTGATCATCGTAGTCATATCACACAATAGAATCGGCCATTTTCTAAAATCATAATCGTAGCCATCGCACTAATATGCATACTAGTGGGCATTGTTCTCTTCTCGGTACATTATGGTCGACGAGGTAAGAATAGTCATGTTATATATTTGTTTTCTTTTATGAATTTTGTGCTAAAATCACATTAGTGGAGGATTCGCCGATGAATACGACATGTATTGATGACTTCAATACAACCGCAAACATAACAACGATGATACATACAAGCACACCAGGTTGTAGTTCGATGATAGTTTTTGTACGATAATCATGAATTTCGATTTCTAGAGCTAATATGTTACCCGACATTTAGACAACTGTCAACAAAAACTTGTTCAAATATATATGAATCTAAGAGTACTATTCATGATTTAAATGCTGATAATCAAGTTGACGTAATTTTTCAGTGTGGTCATAATTGGGCATGGTATGTCTATTTGGTCTTAATGCAGAGTGTCAATTATATCCGGTCTCTTGTTATTTTATACGGTAATAATACCGGAATATTCTCAACAGAAAATACGCACTCGGTAGTTCTGGGAAAAGATATAAAAAGCTTCGTTGTAGTTAACTTCAATGATGATCAAATATTGGATATATTTTGTTTGAACATTTCATCTATAGGTATTAGTATATTTTTCGGTCGAGGAAATGGAACATTTTCGACAGGCTTAAGATTACGTACGACACGCAACGTTAATACGCTCGAGTGTGTTATTGGTGATTTTAATTATGACAACTATTTCGATATTGCTATAATGAATAAGGATACTCTTCACATTCAGGTATTTTTCGCAAATAGAAATCAAACTTTTCGACCGGAAGAATATGCTTTCACTGCAATAGACATCGTACTGATTGCTGAGCGGGAATCATACGAAGTCTACGGTCGTCTTGGAGATGGAAATGGAAATTTTCAAGAGCAAATTATTCATACATATTCATTTGATGGATCTTCCAAATGGAACGATGTAGCAGATTTTAACAATGATAATTACTCAGACATACTTAATGTCAAGAAGAGTTCTGTGATCATAAACGTCTTTTTGAATACATGCGCATGTCTTAAATAATACACTATTCAAAAGTATCATATCTGCTGCTTGTGGTTTTGCTTCTGCTTTATAAAAAATAATATCAAATATGAATCGGTTCGAATATTTTACAGTTCACTTTTCAGATTCAAATGGTGGATACAAGAATCGATCAGTTCTGTTACACTCCCAAGAAGTGATGAATTTGGATACTTGCGCCGAGATAACAGAAAGAAAGCCTCGATAAAGACTGAAAAATCCAGACCTAGAAATGAGTAACATATGTTATTAATCGAGATAAAAGCAACCTGACGGCTGTGACCTACCCGTTGCAGGAGATTGGGAGGCGTATTGTTTACATTTGGAAAAGATTTGAACATAGAGTATGTCAATGACAGACATTGGCGTTCCTTGATCGATTATACCACAAATACTATGTTTCGAGTAAAAGAAGTACTTGATCAAAATTCAGTGAGGAAACTCACCTGGCCAGTTGACGAAACGGTCGATTTGTCAATGCTTTGTATCCGCGCTTGAGGACTAATTCGATATAGATAAAAGCGACTTTTTCAAGAAGAAACATATGTTCATAATCAATTTCAGATGTCGATGGGTAAATAACTTCCAGTGATTCGGAAACGTTCTCCTGTAATGTATCATTAGACAGGTCAGAATCCGATACAGACGAATTGGAAAGACTTGATTCTGAATCGGACCGTATTCTTGTCGAATCATGTGTACTACATGGTTTTATCGGATGATTAGTACTGTTTTTAATTCTTTGACTTGGTCGTTCATCCCTACAAAAAATTCATTGACCAGATCATATTGTGAATTCAATGTTTCTTACAGAGCGAGCTGCAACGTTTCTCTAACGAGTGGTCGTTTGATCTCTTCGTCAATCAAACTTGGTTCGTGAACAAGTTTACCAACTTCGTTCATATGATCATAATCGATTCGCAATGAAGGGTTCGAGTTTACTTCAAGTAGAATTGGTTTCAATCGATCAGTAAGCAGAATATCAAATCCAATGATCTATAAAAAGGAAGACAATCACAACTTTTCGAATAGATTCAATTGAGCTGACTTGGAAGCATTGATTCTGTTTTGTAGCTGCTGGCATCGCCAGAGCATACTGAACACGAAGTTCAGGTAAAATGGCTATCACTGTCTTATTGATCATTTCTTTGATTAATCTTTTGGCTCGTTCAACTTCCTCTGGATTATACGATTGAGCAAGCTGTAGCCAAACAAGACTAAACTTTCGTTTACTAGCATCAGCTTGGCTCACATCGACAGCATGTTTATATGTAGCACTACGTTTGTTCAGCGAATAATTCGTCAAATGCATGAATGCTTCATGAAGATTTTTAATCGATGGTGCTTGATATTCAACAGTGGCAAAGCGTGCTAAACCTTCGTCGTAGAGTAAGATCTCTAATGGATCTAATTGACGAATTAAAACATAGATTCGCACATCAAACTTAAGTCCATTGATCAATAATGGTCGATCAATGTACTCTAGCGACAAAAAAGAATTGAGAAATGATATTTTGAGTTTGTCAGATTTGTAGATCTTACCTTGAACAATATGTTCGCGATTCATAGCACTGCAGCGCGTAGGATCCTGAACTAAGTAAATACCAGCACCTTCCGAACCATCTGTGTAGAATATAGTCGATAGTCAAAATTCGACGTAAATTTTGATCACAATCTGCGAAAACAAACCTGATGGTTTGACAATAAAAGTTGTCAGTGGTCGTTGTCGTTTTCGATCTCGTTTATGTATTTCATTCGCATCCTTTTGAAATTGTTCGCGTTGTTCGGGCAAGAACCACGTACGTGGATAGAACTTATATTCATCGGGAAATAACCTACGCATCGCATTCAACGAACGTGTCAAATTGCTTTTACACAACACATCACTCATGCCAGGAAATTTATTCACTCTTGCTGATAACGATGCATAGTTTCGACTACCATCGTGAAATCCAGCGGCATTCCAACAAATATTCGGATTAGCCGAATGACCAGAAATACACTGGAGGAAGAAATGGATTTCAGTGATGAAACAAATACGATCATTTACCTCCTTCCAACCAAGATCATCGAGGCACATTCGTAGCACCTCAAGGTTCGATCGAGCCTGACTAGTATCAATAATAGGCACATTTCTCCTTGATTTTCGAAATCGTCGTTTTGCCGTTTTCGCTGCCATATCTAACAAACTTTTATTCAACAATAGTCTGCAAAAAAGGATTGTTCGTGTAACACAAATTTCGAACTGCGACATTAATGTACTCTTAAAAATACAAACGAAATTAAATACTCGGTGTTTTGTTTTTCTCGAGCTGAAATGCGAGAGTATTTACTTTGGACATCAAACTAACGTCAGCAAAGAGGAATGTTGATAGCAACTGTTAATCGACGTTATTACTAACTAGAAAGAAAAAAAAAGAGAACGACATGACTCATATTAAATCTGAACCATAATGGAGGCTTTTTCGATATTGACTCAAACTGTTCTATGCTTGTGTAAAAATTTCTTATGAATTTATGTTTGAAAACTAGAAACGACAATGTCATATGTTCAATCTTAAAACCATAATTGGAACCAATCTCGCCGGTATTGTACAGCAAATGAATCCTTTTCGCTTAGATGGGAATGATCGATAACCCATTGGCGAATATTAGTCTGAACTTGTTCGGAAAGCGATCCTTTTACACCGAGCGAAACTTGCATACCATTTTTACATACCGGAAGATACTCTAGTAGAAACGAATCCATAGTTGACGTTCTACTGGCCATGTGAATATTGACGTGATTGAGAGTAACGAAAGTTTGAGTAATATGCTGCAATAATTCGGCATGAGTATCCGTCCAGTTAAAGATGTCGATAGATCTAACATTTGTTCGAGTTGAACGAGCATGATTCTGAATGAACATTTTCACACAATCGAAATCAACATTAAACTGATAGAGGTCTGACGCTGCATCAAGTAAGTTTGACAATTCACATGTTCCGTCAATACGGAGTTGTTTTAGATATGGCAAGTGAAAGACGATCGGCTTGTTGGAAGTTGTCGAATTGTTCACTAGAAACAAAGATCTGTTAACTGATAGACTTTATTTAAGAGACATACACATAGTCAGACTGTTGAGCGTATTGATCGAAAGAGTATGAAGGTGACGAAAATGTTGTAGTATTTGAAATACATCGTTTAAACACTGTGCATCGTAAATATGTAAATTTCGAATATGTTCGGCGTATGATGAACCTGACATCATTTGTTTTGCGACAGATCCAGATAAAACAAAGGATTGTATGCAGCATGGAACGGTATGAATATTGAGAATATCATGAGTTTCATCAAATAAAAGATGAACGGATGAAGGAACAGTTCGTTTGGAAGTAAGAAGATTTTTTATTTCAGAATCCATTTCAGAAGGACTATAATCAATGAAATAATCGATTTGATAACACGAAATAGGTAAATTCATTCGAATATTTTCTTCGACTAGAAAAGACTCCTCTTCTGTACACAGGTTAAACTTGAGTTTTTGTAACGAAGGCATCTTTCGAATCATAGCAACGAAAGCATCGAAAGGGCAGAACCAATCAATCGAATCTATGCTGAAATCAACTAAACGAAGCAGAGGCGAGACATCCTCGAAGGCTTCTGCACAGTTCCCAATATCAACAAAAAAAGTACCAAGATTAACGTGCAGGCAATGAACATTTGGGATGACTTTACACAAACGTGCTAGCGTGTTAATCGATGTCAATGGTATGGTTAATTCTTGAATGTTTGGACAAGATATGTCCGAAGTATCTTGAGGTATATCTAAATCTATCGAATTCCAATCGAAGAAGACTTTTGAAAGTCGACCTTGATTCGCTGAGAATAATTTCCTCAGGCAGATACCGGTTGAACTCCCAGAGAGAAATTGAATTTTTAAATTGTCCAACCGTGGAAGATTCTCTATACAATCAAGAAAAACTTGTAATCTTTCACTTGAAAATCCACGCACAGTCAAGTTTTCAATGTAAGGAAATATCCCGCATAAACGTGAACTGTACAGAAGCTGACTTAATTGGTCAGGAATCATACTTTCCCAGTATGTATTCAGACAGAACGATCGAACATGTTGTCCAATACATGGTAGAACATGATATATCACATATGTTAACTTTTTATATGCAACTCCCATGAGATTCACATACCGACAATAGCCTGTTAGGGCTGTGTTCAGTCGAGTATTCAGATTGTAAAAGGAATATAAAACATCAGCTCCACGAAGATATTGACATATGTATAAGATTATTTCATCGGGTAGGTTTTCGAAGGTTAAACACATTGCATTAAGAAGTGTACGACGAATACCAAATATTTTCTTTTTTTTCTCCTTTGCGAAAGACATCATCAGTGTAAAACGAAAACGACTCGCCTATCAGGTGCAAGTCGACAGCTGTCGCGCGATGATATCCATATTCCAGAAAAACAGACTGGTAATTAATTATAAATATGTGTTTTGTACGAACAAGGAGCCATTATTTTTCTCTAATTGTTCATAGTGAAAGCAAAAGTAACATTGATTGACTTTGGGGATTGTAGAACGATGCATTAACGTAATGAGTGTGGGTGAGGGTGTGGGTGTGGGTGTGGGTGTGGGTGTGGGTGTGGGTGTGGGTGTGGGTGTGGGTGTGGGTGTGGGGGTGGGTGTGGGTGGGGGTTGGGGTGGGGGGGGGGGGTGGGGGTGAGGGTGGGGTGTGGGTGAGGGTGAGGATGTGGTGCGGGTGATGGCGTGGGTATGGGTAAAAGGTCAGTACGTGGACAAAAGCCTCTTGCAATTTGCGCTCCTACAAGTGATTCATCGACCAGTGGTTCCTTCTTTTGTTCACTCTAGCTCAGCAACCAAGGCGTAAAGTACCAGATCATATTCCCTTCTAGATTCTCATAGCCCTTCCTGCCAATGATACCATCATGAGTTGCTATCTCGTTACCCGCCGGGTATCGACCAAATTCACTCAAATTCCTCGGAATTCTGGATATAGTGTTGTCGATTTTTTAACGGATACCCGTGGTAATGATATTATGACATCACTCGGTATTCATCCCCAAGCAGACAATTCACTAGGGTATCATATGCAGCTGAGTCGGTGTATCCAGCCACCCCTCCCCCCCCCGCACCCATCTCTCTGTTTACCACCAAATGGATGTGTGCTTATATTATCCATCTTCTAATTGTTTCATTACATTTTGATAAACTTGATTACTGATGTGCGTGCAGGTGTTCAGCCAGACCACGAGAATATTTGACGTTTGTTGTATGACTATTCGGTTATAGCTATTTAGTTCTTTGTGAAATAATTTTTGTCTTATCGATCGTATTTATAACGTCTTGGTTTTCATTTGCCATTGAATTAATGGTTTTTATTTTTAACGTAGAAGCTAAGCGATGTTTAAAAAAAGGTAACTTGTCAGATAACAGCTAAAATAGCTTATTACTTCGCATTTTAGGAGTCTTCGGAAAGAGCATACTTTTTATTTCTATACAAATATTCTTGTCCCTTAAATATTTAATGGTAACGTGGTATGCAAACAAAATACAACAGTGCTTCGATTTACATTGCGAAGAATAAGTTGCGAATCGAAACAAAACGCATTCGGTATATTTATATAGCCTAGAGATTTCATAGTCATAAGAAAAAATATCGCACATGAATCGTTGATTTTTTAAATCTCAATTAACTAATAGTGAGATTTCCTAGGGAATGAAAGTGAGGGTGTTGGAAGAGGAGAGCAACGACACCATCGCCATCGCACTCTCTTTTTCTCCAATCTTTCAATGCGAGAAAAAATAACTTTACCTTTGTTTACATTCGTAAAATTTCTTTTTTCAAAAGAAAACTACGTAAAGTAGAATTGAAATATTTAACAAAAATAACAAACACAAGCATTTCATCGTTTCTACCAGTTCGAGCAAGCTTTCTGTTAAAATAATTTAGACAAAATAACAGAATGAGCAAACCAATAGATAAAATACTCGATTCCGTCAAAAGTAAGATGAGCTCGCCGAAAACAGATCTCACTGACGACACCGACGAGAAGAAGCCGTCGACAACAACTTCCAATAATAATTCAGCGCTCTCAACGATTCTTGCAGGCCTTAGACTTTATGAAAACAATACATCGTCCCATGGTCAATCGAGTAAATACTGTACTATCGAATCGCTTTATGACGTGATCATTCGTATCAATAATATATCCGATTTACGTTCAAAAGGCTGGGAGGTTTTAGTTAACAAACACACAAAAAAGGTGAAGGTAGCTAAGAGCAGTTTTGATCACGCAGCAAACGATGACGCATCGTCGGAGAGCAAAAAAGGTGTTGTGGCTACTGTTATAGGAGCATATAATCGTGGCAAAACGTTTCTATTAGAAAAATTGTGTGGCATCGAGCTTCCCACTGGAAATTTAGTATCGACAGAAGGTATATCAATTACAGCTGGACGAGAAAACTACACGAATATCGTATTTCTGGATACTGCTGGCACGGACACGCCAGTCAGTAGTGACGAAATTGAATTTAAGAGAGCTACTGAAGCACTGCTACGAGAAGTAGTATTACATTTATCGACATTTCTCATCATTGTTGTGAATCGTTTACGTGCAACAGATCAGATTTACATTAAAGAAATACTTAAATATCTTCGAAATTATCCACAGAAAAAGAGCGTGGTAATCATTCATAACTTTCTTGATGTTGAAACGGTTGAAGATCTCGAAAAGGTGATTGAAGACGATCTAGGAAAGATTTTTAAAGCAAAGGCCGATTCGAGACAAGTCGTATCTAACCGTGTTTCAAAAACGATCAAATTTTTCACATCAAAGCAAAATGGAATCGACGTAAGCCATTATATTTTAGCAAAAGCTCGTTCGGATGCATCGAAAAATTGGAATCGGCAAACGTTCGATGGAGTTATGAATCTCTTACAAAACTCCGACAACAAACGTAGTCTCAATCTAGTTCATGACATGATTGAGTTTATCAATACTAAACTACCACAGTTATTGAAACAAGAAAATCATTCGTCAGCCGATTCTGAACATAATAGTTTGAAACTTGCACAGCACTGTAGCCAACCGTATATTGTGCTCGAGAATCGAGAGTATCGTGGAGATCTCTCGACAGATCCCGTACCATTGGAATTATCAGAGAAGCTTGTTTATGACGATGCAGGGTATTTTATTCGAAATGAAAGTGGACAGTGGCAACCGCGATATAACTTATACGAAGATAAAGACCAATATTGTTTGATTATTGAAGCATCGGGATTCAAGAAAGGAGAAATCAAAACGAGCATCGAGAGCAACTGCATGAAACTCGAAGGTACACGATCTGACTTAATCAAAGCAATGACTGATCCCGTGATCCGCCAATCTGATATTCCGATTGGTTCATTTAAATTAGAGATTCCATTTAAAGACGAGATAGAGCCGAAACAAACGCAAGTGGAGCGAGAAGACGGTTTCATTCGATTCACACTTTTCAAGAAAACAAAAGATGAAATGGAATTTGAGGTCTAAAATATGAACGATCGATGCTTCTTTGCATAAACTAATTATGATTTTTTTTCAAATGTATGGATGACACTGTATGTGTTGAGTGTGCGTGTGATAACAGTGAACATTACTGACGTTTCTGATAAGTAGAAAGATACAACAAACGAAAATAAATCTTTTATAAGTGTGTCTCTTGATCTTCGGATAATCGAGTGTGTGTGTTTTCAACAAAGTGATATTCAGTTGTTGAACGTGCACGTCGTCGACGTATTGAAGAACACGTTTCAATGAATTTCTCTCGAAAATCTTTCAAGGTGAATACTAAAACATAGAAAGACTTGATGTGATTGATATTATAAATGTAAAAGGTAATAATCAGAGCTGGTACAGCTGAATGTTTCAGATTTTCATCTCCGCTTATAGCAAATTTCGCCAACAGAGTAGTCCACATCAACAGACACGATACAGTCGCCAAAACCTGAATTGTCATTGTGAAGATAAATCTTCGATGGAACCCATTTGAAATCTCTGTCAACGTGGTTCTCTATGGCAAAAATGAACGATACTGTCTATAGATTTCAGTAAAGATATATAAACTTACGGTTTCTTGATGTCCGCGATAGTCGTTTCGATGTGAAAATGAAACGACTAGAATCATTAATATAGATGGAACAATGCCAACCAATATAACATATGACATCCAAAATGAGTGAAAAATAAACTTTTCCGTAGTATCAACGAAAAAGTCGGTAATAAGTATAACTGGCATACCTATCAGCGGAATCGCGCTATACAATATAAAGCAAATTGTCCATCGTATTATTTTCCAGTTTTTTAATTTTCCCAGACATGAATCAAGATCACTGGCAAACACTAACTCTTGAATGTAAGCAATTAACATACAATTATTAGATAAATGCGGTAAAAATAACATGACTATCACGAAACTCGTAACAATAATGATAAAATTTTCCCGATCTTCATCAATATAGTACACAACTAGCCAGACTAGGGTAAAATACAGTAAAATAAATAGGAAATCAATTACCGAACTTATTAATATAAATATCCAATATATTCTAGCTCGATATGACGAGAATAATATGGTGATGCAATTACCGAGAAGTCCAATGAGACCAAGTATTACCCACAAGATCGATATTGGAATGACAAATCTCACGAGAAAAAGATCCATAGAGAATTTTGTATTTCGCGCTCACAGAACAGTACGCTGCATCGAAATAATTACTCCTATAGAGAAAGAACTTCTAGAAGATATATGAGATTACATATTCGAAGCGAAATGCCTGTTCTAATATAGAAAGACGCACATTTCATCCCGCTAGCATTTTGATTAATCCGTTTACAAAAGAAACTCATTATACCGGGGAATCATGCATGAATATAGGACTGTGATGAAGACTTATAATAATGATTAGAGTCTTCTAGGGTGAGAACTCCTCTTTATTCTCTCTTACCATTATCAACAATATATCATTAGGACGGAAGGTGATCCTTTCTGTAATCATGTGCCATTTTAAGCCTCTTTACGATGTAAATTACTTGTTACCGAAGTCGTAATTTTGTTTTTTAACAAAATATCCTTGCCACCAAGTACTTTACTTTCATATTAGAAATTCTATTTTTAGCAGTCCACTTTCAAAATGTATTTTATTGAAAAATCTAGATAACAAAAGCACGATGCGACGTAAATATTACGAACGAAATTGTTATAAGAGAAACCAGAGTTCTTTTTATTAGCATATCATATATGTAAGAGAATACTAATACTAGTCGTATTGCTATTTGCAACAGCCATGTCAGGCTTGTTGTCATTGTTGAGATCTGCTACTGAGACTGAACGCGGCCCATCACCAACTGCGTAGACAGTTCGATATCCAAACGTTCCATTATTTGTATTAAGAAGAATATTAATAGAGTTTGTGTTTTGCGTGGCGACGACAATGTCCGGCTTATTGTCATAATTCAAATCTGTAACTACAATACAACGGGATCCTATATCAATTGTATACGCCACTTGACTGCGGAAATCGCCGTTGCCTCTGTTAAGAAGTACGCTGACAAAAGTTGATCCCTGATTTGCAACGATAAGATCAAGTGAATTATCATTGTTAACATCAGTCGCTGAAATGGAATTGGGTTGACTACCAACCGCGTAGGCGATTTGAGCGCTGAAAGATCCATTACCGGTATTCATTAGAACACTCAAAGTACCTGCACCCTCATTTCCAACTATAACATCAGCTAGATTATCACCGTTTATGTCTGCCGCGATAACAGAACGAGGAGCACTTCCTACTGTATAAGTGATTTGATTTTGAAAGGTACCATTACGTAAATTAAAAAGAACACTAATGTTTTTTGAAGCACTGTTTGTAGCGATCAAATCGACATATCCGTCACCATTCAAATCTGCTGCTGTTACTGTCCATGGCTGGACACCCACTGGCATGGTGATCTGACTAGCAAAAGTTGCATTACCTCTATTCAATAGAATGCTAACACTGTTGGAATCGTGATTCGTAACAATAATGTCTATTTTATTATCATTATTAACATCTGCCGCAATAACATAACAAGGCGAAAGCCCCACTGCGTAAGAATAGTTAATCGAAAATATACCATCATTACCACTGTTAATAAGCAGACCAATATTATTTGCGGACAGCCTTGCAACGACGATATCTGATTTATTGTCGTTATTGAAATCAGCTATTGCCAGTGAATACGCTTGGGTGCCAATCGAATAAATAGTTTGATTCAGAAACATACTGTTATTGTTGAGACCTAATAAAGGAGGAACTCTCCCAGAGATTTTTCTTTTTTTCTTCGGATACTACTTACCAACAGTAGTTGCTGTTGATGATGACGATGAGGATGTTGTCGTTGATGAGGATGAGGAGGTGGATGTTGTTGATGTTACTAATATAATGAATATTTTTCTTCACAAATTCTTTCACAAACCAAACAAACCGTAACTCATCAGTAAATGAAATGAAAAACTCAAGTTTTCCTGTTCGTCTCTTATGCTCTATGAAAGTACTTACTGGAAAAAGATTGAGTCTGATTTAAAACGCTTTTCTTACCGATTTGATTACTCTTGATTATCGATATTGTCGATCGATTGATAAAGATGAAGTTCGCATTCACATTTGATTCAATGAATAGTGAACTTTGATTTGAAAAGAAAACTTCACAAGTTTGATTAGTTAAATAGTAGTTAAAACCGGAAATGTATCCCTTTGATTGCATTAGCTGACAAGCGCATTGATTTTCTGTTACATTGGCAAAAAATAATTCATTGCTAATACCGATCGCTTGATGATCTTGGATTTTACCAAGAAGTACACAACTTCGTAGAGGAACTAATGAGAAAATAAGTGTAACCCAAAGCATGTTATTTATTGTTGCCCTATTTAAAAAATGCTTGTTTGTGGAAAGCTTGGTTATTCTTCGTTGGCACTTGCATTCTCTCGTTAATATTGAATGAAGACAAAACACTTTCCTATATGACATAACATAATACATGGAAATTCAGCTGCATCATTATGGGAAGGAAAAAGAAAGAGCCCGCGTTTAAGTTCCTTTTTCTTCGCAATGTATGATATTGATGTCATTCGCATAGTGATATAATAGTGAGAGAACTAGTTACGTTAGATTATTACTTCTTTCTGTTGAGTAAAAGATACTTCAGATAATTAGGGAAAAACACATGAGATTCGTCTCTCTTTCGTCAGGAGTAGCTTTGAAACGACAAAAGTGGGTGACGGAAAATTTCTCACGTCAAAGCCGTGGGCATTGTTGATGTGATGATGAGAAACTCACATTTTTGACGCTTCAACAAATGCCAGTAGCACAACAATAGAGTGAATACGGATTTTTACCAGTGAGACGAGCGCTTGAATATATTCATAATACATTGTTGCGCAAGTCAACGGTATTCTCACGTTTTCAAAAGATAGTAGCTTAGATACACGTCATATTCAACTGTTTATTTTCTTATAAAAATCAAATGTGTTTGAAAAATTCCAAGTTAATCGTGTCGAAATCAACAGTCAACAAGGTCTCTTTGTCGATCTTTGTACGTTTGCAATACTTCTCGTACTTGTTCACGTTGGCCTGCAAGAAAAATGTTTTCATCATTGTTAGTTTTATTCCTGTTGACGTACGTGGATGCAAGTGGCTAGTTCTGCCTTTGATTTTTATGCGTTGTTGTTGTAACTGATAATTATAGTTCATTGCATCTTCCGCTGTACAGAAAAATCGTTATTAAACAGAGAAACGAAAGACAGTTTACCTTCGAGATGAAACAACATTCCGATTAGAATCGACATTATCGTTCCAGTTCGTCCACGACCACCTCTTTTTGAAGAAAGAAACGAACATAGTCATTCAAATAGTACTTTCGGAACATTTGCTTTGACTTACCGACAATGAATCAGAATTTTCTGCTGGTTTTCTTGCAGTCTTTTAGATAGATCCAAACAAAAATCTAGAACTTTCTGATCATCTCGACAAATAGATTGATCAGGTATTGGAAATGATATAAATTCCACTTTCCGATTATCTATACAAGCAGACTATGGGATACTTATGTGAATCTTTTCAAAAGACAAAATAACCATGAAGAGTATATTGTCGAATTTGTGGTTCATATGGTTTGTAACGAGTCAATTCTCGTGGAGTCATGAGATTGACGAATACTTCAATGCCACAATCGTATATTAATCGAGTTACACGTTGATGTTCATCGGGATCGTCTGCGCCAGGATATCTACTTGCTAGAAGTAGTTTAGGAATAACTAAATAGAACGATTACACGAGTCCGATCACCCAAATTTTTTCTCCTAACTTACTCCAATGGCTAGCTTCGGTTGGTCCACGACAAGAAATATCCTGTGCACTTAATTCCATATCTGTGATGAATGAATGACAGAAAAGTATGTATGATTACATTTAAATGTCGTAATAACACGTGTTTTACCTGGTGAATCATGACTCTTCATTGCTACAATGAATAGTCGATTTCGTAATAACGAAATGACTACAAGAAACCTTGAAAACTTATCGAAACTTTGCAAGTCTCCTCTTAATCAGTTCGCGCTAGAGAGAAGTCATGTAGAACTGCCGATGCGTGATTTATTATGTAATTATAATACAAATGCACTCAAGAACGACAAAAGCGACGAATAGTTTCATTTTTAGTAAATAAGTATTTGAAAGAATTTCATATGTACAAGAATGAATAAATATATCGCACGTGTCTTTCAAGTTTGTTTTGTTGAAGACCGATTAAATATTCATTTCCTTGACAGTTGAAGCATCTTGAATTTGACTGATATAAATCTACAAGATTGAGATATAAGAATGATAAAACTAAAATGTGACTTTCACATACTCGATCGATGACTTTCAATAAATCATCGACACGCTCAGAAAATGAATTCATTTGATCGCTGTATCTCTCACCCAATCGGTCCTTCAAGATTTTTCTATCGGCCGGCTTTTTGGAATCTAAAGTATCATCAATAAAAAACAAGAGTCTATCATTTCTCAATTTCTTACATATCCATTGTTGAAATGTGCTCAACATAAATGAAAATATTTCTTCATTTTTACCATCCATGTTGCTTCTTGCACGAGCGAAATTTTCGTTGATGATCGACAAAAACATGCTCATACAGACGAAAACAACGACGAAAATAAACACAGCGAAACACAGCGGACCAAGAAATGCATCAGCCTCGCTGATTCCCGTGGCATCAAAGTTCATCAAAGTCATTTCGAATAGCATCTGAGCTGTTCCCAATAAACTTGAACATCTGAGTAATTTCGAAACGAATAATAAATAAAAGAGACAGAGAAATGACAGAAAGACAATCGAGAACATCATTGTAAACGATATCAATTGTTTTCCAGCATATCGAAGTGTTTCAATAAATAAACAAAGACGTTGACTGAACCGGCAAAACTTCACCAATTTAATTGTACCGAAGAAACAACAAAAAGCAAATAAAAAGGTGAGAACATCATTAACATAGGCTGCCAATTGTAAATTAATATACACGTATCCATTGGTATCTTTAAACAGTTGACCAATTCGTTGACTTTCTTTGTATCGCCAGATGTAAATACCAACACTTGTCCATGAACAAACAATAATTCCAATTTCAACATACGACCAAAATCGACGAAAATATTGCCATTTCATTTGTATCAATAGCCGTATTTCAATCCAAACGAAATAGAAAATGAATAACATATACACGATGGTGCATACTAATTGATACACTGATGTGAATGCTAAAACGAAATAAGTTGGTTCGTGAATTTTCGAAATGCAAATATGAATTACTGTAAAAGCTAAGTAGCTCGAAACGAGCACTGGTAAAGACTCCACTCGATGAGAGAAATTCAGCGAGCAAAGTGACAGCTGTGAATAACTGAACATTCGGATTGTACAAAGTCAATTGAATGATCACAGCGCGAGTGCGGTTATCGATCCAGCTAAGTTGGTGAAGTTGAGAGAGATTACTTTGAAGGTCACTCAAACGACCACGAAATTCATACACATAACCACCACTTCCATAACTTGCATGATCTCCAACATATGTATATGTCTCCAATACGGCACCCGATTGATAGGTAAATGCTTGACGAATGAACGCAGTATAATTATTCGATGTGTAATCTTTCCATTCTGGTACATAAGATCGTTGATCTGCATGAAATTGATTGTAATCTTCTTCGCAGACAGACGATATTGCAGTTTGTTTCGGGCATAGCGTAGATTTAACTCTCAGCTGTCTCATTGTTGCCCATCCGATTAATCGATTTGATTTATCATCAANCACTTGGATATTTCCCATCGCAAGAACGTTCATTATTCTTAGCTTGGGACGGAGTCTACGCTGAGAATTTGAAGAAAAACTATGAAAAGTTTCGTTTGAATAGTTTCTATTTTCATAATTCACATCTCTACGATTATCACATTTCGAAACAAATAATTAACTACGAAATATCGCGTGTACACTCGAGTCAATATATGTTAATGAAAAATTTTCTTGCAAATATTCTTCTTAAAGTTTATGGTGACAAATCCGAGATGGCACATTCAGTTGAAGGACGCGTGCCATATCTTGACCATCATGTTGTCGATTATGCCAACCGCTTACCAACAGCGATGAAATTGAAAATCAAAAATGGTTCGTTGATAGAAAAGTACATTTTGAAAGAAGCCGGCCGGCCGTTTATTACAGACGATGTTTATAAAAGAGAGAAACATCCGTTTCTTGCACCACCGACATTACTGAATCCGAAATCGAAAATTTATCAATATATTTATGATAATATTCATTCTCGTGATATGAATCAATTAGATTCGCTATTCGATATTCCACGATTGCGCCAGCAATTAGATGATTTACATAATGACAATGAGTTAACGAACAAGAAGTATCTATGGGGAGAACTGGCTTTGTTAGAAGGCAAATATTTAATGATTTGTAGTTATTTAACTTTAGCCAGACGCTTCCATGTTAAATATGATTGATAAAACATGTTTTTTCCTTCTCTTTTCTATGAAACCAATAAAACAAAATAACGTTTCTATTTTACACTAAAGTTCATGACTGACGAGAGATACTTTTCAAAGATGAACTTGTTTGGATTATCTCGATTGCGTTGTTTGAATATAATGCGTACAATCACACACTTTCGCTCATCATCGAAAGTCAACCAATCGTCGTTGAAACATTGATGAAATATATTTGTGAATATTTGTCGTTTCCGATCTTGATCTGGCTTGCCTGATGATGGATAATTTCGATTGAGATTACGGAAGAATTCCTTGCTATCGCTGCTATACAATTTCGTGAATTCATCGATAATATTTGGTATAATCGATTGTTCCAGTTCGTTTTCCACCAGATCGTAATCTTGAACGTACTGCGGAAAGTAACTGAGATATTCTTGTTTTTCACCTTGCAACCAAATATTCAAACAGAATTGTCTTACATTATTTTGAGTCTTTATTCCCACTGTTTGTGAATGAATCAGCAAGTACGATGGACTCTTGATCTTGATTCGATGATATGTCCGCACGTCACAAGCAACAATGCCTTCTCCTTCCATGGCACTCATCTTATTCACATACTGTAAACATTCACTCAATTGAGAGAAGGGAAGTGAACGCGGCTTTCGAACTCCAATATCGACATCTATTTCTTCTAATGTCGACATATCACGTGTACCTATATGATATAACATTGGTTGTTCGTAATGAATAACAATGGTGTAATCTGGATGGACACGTTCGAAGAAATAGGCATATCTTGGATTTAGTTTTGAGTAATCAAGTCCAGCTGCTACGGATGCTTCTTGCCATAACTGTTCATTTGTTTTACCCGATCGAAGGTATTTTTCTCGATATTGTTTGATATCAATTCGACTATTACTACTCACGTGCCATTCATTTTCAAAATAGTAAACTTTAAAGAATGAGCCATCTAGTTTTTCAGTAAACGATGTCCAAGTACCAGTACTTGCATGAGATTCGTTATAATTCCAAAACTTATAGAACGGCAAGCAAACTAAGCGATACGGAGGAGTTTTTTCATAAATTGCACCACGATTTTGTGTCAGAATAAGCTTCTGTTCGTCGCTGCCGTGTGACCATAGGCGGCTGTCATGTGTATACTTAGCACAAAACAACTTCTCGGTCTCATCAATCGACAAGTCATATTTCGTTTGTAACAGTTCACGTGCTATCGGCCATTCCAGATCAACAATTATCTTTGAAAGAAGAATTGAATCAGACATAATATATTTTTTATCTTACTCAATGAAGTGATGTATGATACGTTATTACTTTTCATTGTATGATGCAATGACACACGAGTGTTACATCAGTGACATCTTTCTATTCAAATGAGAATAGATGCCTGCTTTTAAAACTTATAATAATATCTTAATCAGAAGAACTTTGTTTGATTAATTCTTGTAATTGCTCGATTTGAACTAGAATATCTACTGTGTCCATCCGAATACGTTCGTTTCACTTTATATGTTTTTCCAATATTAAAATTACCTACATGCAACATGTTTTTCAATTCAAATTGTACACCAGAAGGTTCACTCAAAGTAACGAGATAAAAGCTTCTATCACGCAATTATACGTCAATATTTCAATCTTTGCCAACTATCTAATAAAACAATTACTGATGCAATTGAAAGATTTCTTTCTCAATACAACCGTCGAACAATTCTATCAATCAACTCTGTATAACTTTAGTCTTGTCAAAGATTATTGTATGGATTATTATGCAAGTGGATCAAGTTTACATGAGACCATTTACAGACTTTTCGCGCTCATCTGATTCCAATCTTATTTTCAATGATCAAACAGGCCGAGTATGTTATCTGAAAGAGAGAGAGAGAGAGTCAAGAAAATAGTTAGATATCGACATCGTCATTTTGCACAAAATCTCCAAAATTGATGTCATGTGCTTGGTAGGATAGTTTATTTGTGCAGAGATAGCATCTACAAAATTCTATACTGTTTTTTGTGATGAACATAAACAGCAAAGATGAGCTGCATTATCATCATAGGAATATGATACCTTTCGCCATTCTCACTCTGTTTTCTTTATAGCTTCAGTTCATTCCAAGCGGAACCTCCGAAATCAATGCAACAAAGATCACATGCTTCTGTGCTATAAATCCGGATTGCCGAAGCTCAACTGTACTATATAGAAGCAATCCAAATTCGTACGGATATTTCACCACCGATTCCATTGTTTCACTGGTCGGTTTGGTTCGAGGATGTCTGCATATTGACTCGCTGCTAATTTCAACATTGCAGTGTTTTTATGTGAGTTCACGTTGTTTTCCGACTTTCTTAGCATTTTCAAAGCCAATGCATGCTGGAATTATGCAACTAGAGTCGTCATCGCTTCGCATACAGCCTATGGCTTATGATCCAACAGTTCATCCCTTTTCTCCCAATCCTTCAGTTTTGACGATCGTCAAAAAACTTATGATTGAAAATTGGTATGTTTCTTTATCTTATGAACACTTCTATGAAACTTGTGCACCAACGTACTGCTCTTATTTAAAAAAGATTCGCAATCAGACACTTGTGGGATTATTTATAAAATTAGTGTCAATCATTACTGGTATGGTTTCTGTCTTACGCATTGTAGCACCTCAACTCGTTGGTTTCATGCGAAAGCTACGAAAAATATGCGACAGAAAGCCAAAACAAACACAACCAAGTAACTATTCATATGATTAGCTTGGAAAGCTGCGCATTGAAGAATATTAATTCGCCAAATTCTCTTTGATTTAGTTCGTTGTAGTACTAGCGACCAGTTAAAGATAGCAATACAGAATCTAAAGAAGCTGATACGCACTACAATTGTCGAATTATATATATTCGGATTACGTGATACTGGGAGCACTGTTGATCGCCTTACGGCAAAGCGTTATGGTTAATGGGCAACTCGTCTTTACATCGTCTTATTCTTGAGTTGCTTGATCAGCCTCATGTTTTATACAAGTATTCGCTCGCGTATGTTAACAAAAGACTTTGATAAACCATCGTTCATTGATTATAAGCGTTTGAAACAAATCTATGGTGATAAATTTCAATGTGCATGCTCAAGAGTAGCGTCGACATACGATCAATTTATTAAAATTGCACCGACATTTCATTCGGTAAGACAAAATTTGATGTTAACCGGCACTTTAGGTCTATCATTCTGCGATCACCCTAAACTCTCCACGAGAGTTCTTATCTATATGATCTTTTGTTGATAGGTTTGTTTAAGTCATTTCGGCACATTTACAATATCTTCATCGGTTGTGTCAACTTTCGAAGCAAGTAGTCAATAATTCAATCAGTGAGCTTTTGACAACATTATTAGTCACTACTGAACTTCTGCCAGAAAGCGACTTTGAGAATCGTCTATAAACTTTGATTGAACAGGCTAAATCTAAAGCTCCTGCATTGTTTTCTCGTCTTGCTTCCTCCACTCACAGCAGCTTTCATACGAATGCTCTTGCTTCGACACTTCAATGTCTCTACGATCAGCAATGCCTCAATCTTATTCAACATTATACAAACTATCAAAAATCAATAGATCCACTTTCAACAGAAAATCTCAGTCAGTTTCCAAACAATGTATCAATACGTGAACGTGTCAATCACGTATTTATTGAACGCTGGTCAACAGACACGGATTATCCATCATATTATGAACGATGTTTGCCATCTGTGTGCACTTACAGTAGAATCGAAAACTTCAATATGTTTTATACAATTAACATTATATTCGATCTTCAGGGTGGTTTGTCAATTGTTTTGAAGTGGATTTCTTCAAAATTAGTTCGAATCGGCTTAAAGATTTACCATCATCGGAAAAAACGCGCAACTTCTATTCATCCTGCTAGTTCTGTAGAAATGTCGCCGAATGTGACTACCGACATGATCATCCCAATCATGTCACACAACAAAATCGATCTTTTTCTAAACTAATGATCGTTGCCGTTGTACTAATAGGCATACTAGTGAGCATTGTTCTCTTCTCAGTACATTACGCTCGACGAGGTAAGAATAGTCATGTTATATATTTGTTTTCTTTGATGGATTTTGTGCTATAATCACATTAGTGAAGGATTCGCCGATGAACATGATATGTATTGATGACTTCAATACAACCGCAAACATAACAACGACGATACATACAAGCACACCAGGTTATAGTTCGATGATAGTTGTACGATGATCATGAATTTCGATTTCTAGAGCCAATATGTTACCCGACATTTAGAGAACTATCAACAAAAATTTCTTGTTCAAACATATATGAATCTAAAAGTATTATTGCTGATTTAAATGCTGATGATCAAGTTGACGTAATTTTTCGATGTGGTGATAATTGGGCATGGTACATTTGGAAAGGCGATCCAGTTGTCATTCGAAAGTCCTAGTGATGTCAGTGAGGTTTGTGTTGTCGGCATGAACGGCGACGGTCGAGTCGATTTGGTCTTAATGCAGAGTGTCAATTATATCCGGTCTCTTGTTATTTTATACGGTAATAATACTGGAATATTCTCAACAGAAAATACGCACTCGGTAGTTCTGAGAAAATATATAAAAAGCTTCGTTGTAGTTAACTTCAATGATGATCAAATATTGGATATATTTTGTTTAAACATTTCATCTATAGATATTAGTATATTTTTCGGTCGAGGAAATGGAACATTTTCGGCAGGCTTAAGATTACGTACGACACGCAACGTTAATACGCTCGGGTGTGTTATTGGTGATTTTAATCATGACAATTATTTAGATATTGCTATAATGAATAAGGATACTCTTCACATTCAGGTATTTTTCCCAAATAGAAATTAAACTTTTCGACCGGAAGAATATTTTTTCACTTCAATAGACATCGAACTCGATAGTTTAGTTATTGGCGACTTCGATAGCAATAATCAAACCGATATCGTACTGATTGCCGAGCGGGAATCATATGAAGTCTACGGGCTTCTTGGAGATGGAAATGGAAATTTTCAAGAACAAATTGTTCATACATATCCGTTTGACGGATCTTCCAAATGGAACGATGTAGCCGATTTTAACACTGATAATTGCTCGGACATACTTAATGTCAAGAAGAGTTCTGTGATCATAAGTGTCTTTTTGAATATATGCACATGTTTTAAACATTAGACTATTCGAAAGTATCACATCTGCTGCTTGTAGTTTTGCTTCTGCTTTATAAAAAATAATATCAAACATGAATCGGTTCGGATATTTTACAGTTCATTTTTCAGATTCAAATGATGGATACAAGAATCGATCAGTTGTGTTACACTCTCAAGAAGCGATGAATTTGGATACTTGCGCTGAGATAACAAAAAGAAAGCCTCGATAAAGACTGAAAAATCCAGACCTAGAAATGAACAACATATGTTATTGATCGAGAGATAAAAGCAACTCGACGACTGTGACTTACCAGTTGCAGGAGATTGGGAAGCGTACTGTTTACATTTGGAAAAGATTTGAACATAGAGTATGTCAATCGCAGACATTGGCGTTCCTTGATCGATTATACCACAAATACTGCGTTTCGAATAAAGGAAGTACTTGATTAAAATTCAGTGGAGAAACTCACCTGGCCAGTTGACGAAACGGTCGATTTGTCAATGCTTTGTATCCACGTTTGAGTACTAATTCGATATAGATAAAAGCGACCTTTTCAAGAAGAAACATTTGTTCATAATCGATTTCAGGTGTCGATGGGTAAATAACTTCCAGTGATTCTGAAACGCTCTCCTGTAATGTATCAGTAGACAGATCAGAATCCGATACAGACGAATTGGAAAGACTTGATTCTGAATCGGACCGTATTCTTGTCGAATCATGTGTACTACATGATTCTATCGGATGATTAGTAATGTTTTTAATTCGTTGACTTGGCCGTTCGTTCCTATGAAAAATTCATTGACCAGATCATATTGTGAATTCAATGTTTCTTACAGAGCGAGCTGCAACGTTTCTCTAACGAGTGGTCGTTTGATCTCTTCGTCAATCAAACTTGGTTCGTGAACAAGTTTACCAACTTCATTCATATGATCATAATCGATTCGCAATGAAGGATTCGAGTTTACTTCAAGTAGAATTGGTTTCAATCGATCAGTAAGCAGAATGTCAAATCCAATGATCTATCAAAAAGAAGACACTCACAACTTTTCGAATAGATTCAGGTAAGCTGACTTGGAAGCATTGATTCTGTTTTGTAGCTGTTGGCATCTCCAGAGCATACTGAACACGAAGTTCAGGTAAAATGGCTATCACTGTCTTATTGATCATTTCTTTAATTAATCTTTTGGCTCGTTCAATGTCCTCTGGATTATACGATTGAGCAAGCTGTAGCCAAACAAGACTGAACTTTCGTTTACTAGCATCAGCTTGGCTCACATCGACAGCATGTTTATATGTAGCACTGCGTTTGTTCAGCGAATAATTCGTCAAATGCATGAATGCTTCGTGAAGATTTTTAATCGATGGTGCTTGATATTCAACAGTGGCAAAGCGTGCTAAACCTTCATCGTAGAGTAAGATCTCCAATGGATCTAATTGACGAATTAAAACATAGATTCGCACATCGAACTTAAGTCCATTGATCAATAATGGTCGATCAATGTATTCTAATGGCAAAAAAAGAATTGTGAAGTGATCTTTTGAGCTTATCAGATTCGTAAATCTTACCTTGAACAATATGTTCGCGATTCATAGCACTGCAGCGCGTAGGATCCTGAATTAAGTAAATACCAGCACCTTCCGAACCATCTGTGTAGAAGATAGTCAATAGTCAAAATTCGACGTAAAGTTTGATCACAATCTGCGAAAACAAACCTGATGGTTTGACAATAAAAGTTGTCAGTGGTCGTTGTCGTTTTCGATCTCGTTTGTGTATTTCATTCGCATCTCTTTGAAATTGTTCGCGTTGTTCGGGTAAGAACCACGTACGTGGATAGAACTTATATTCATCCGGAAATAATCTACGCATCGCATTCAATGAACGTGTCAGATTGCTTTTACACAACACATCACTCATGCCAGGAAATTTATTCACTCTTGCTGATAATGATGCATAGTTTCGACTACCATCGTGAAATCCAGCGGCATTCCAACAAATATCCAGATTAGCCGAATTACCAGAAATACACTGGAGGAAGAAATGGATTTCAGTGATAAAACAAGTAGGATCATTTACCTCCTTCCAACCAAGATCGTTGAGGCACATTCGTAGCACCTCAAGGTTCGATCGAGCCTGACTAGTATCAACAATAGGCACATTTCTCCTTGATTTTCGAAATCGTCGTTTTGCTGTCTTCGATGCCATACCTAACAAATTTCTATTCAACAATAATCTGCAAAACAGAATCGTTCGTGTAACACAAATTTCGAACTGCGACATTAATGTACTCTTTAAAATACAAACGAAATTAAACACTCGGGATTTTTTTCTCGAGTTGAAATACGAGAGTATTGACGTTGGAAATCAAACTAACGTCAGCAAAGAGGAGTGTTGATAGCAACTGCTAATCGACGTTATTACTAACTAGAAAGAAAAGAAAAGAGAATGACATGACTCATACTAAACCTAAATCATAATGGAGGCTTTTTCGGTATTGACTCAAACTGTTCTATGCTTGTGTAAAAAAATTTTTTATGAATTTATGTTTGAAAACTAGAAACAATAATGTCATATGTTCTCTGTGTTCAATCTTACAACCATACCTGGAACCAATTTTGCCGGTATTGTACAGCAAATGAATCCTTTTCGCTTAGATGGGAATGATCGATAACCCATTGGCGAATATTATTCTGAACTTGTTCGGAAAGCGATCCTGTTACACCGAGCGAAATTCGCATACCACTTTTACATACCGGTAGACACTCTAGTAGAAACGAATCCATAGACGATATTCTACTGGCCATGTGAATATTGAGGTGATCGAGAGTAACGAAAGTTTGAGTAATATGCTGCAATAATTCTGCATGAGTACCCGTCCAATCAAAGATGTCGATAGATCTAACACTTGTTCGAGTTGAACGAGAATGATTTTGAATGAACATTTTCACACAATCGAAATCGACATTAAATTGATAGAGGTCTGGCGCTGCATCAAGTAAGTTTGACAATTCACATGTTCCGTCAATACAGAGTTGTTTTAAATATGGCAAGTGAAAGACAATCGGTTTGTTGGGAGTTGTCGAATTGTTCACTAGAAAAAAAGATCTATTAACTGATAGACTTTATTTAAAAGACATACACATAGTCCGACTGTTGTTCATACTGATCGAAAGGATATTGAGGTGACGAAAATGTTGTAGTATTTGAAATACATCGTTTAAACACTGTGCACCGTAAATATGTAAATTTCGGACATGTTCAGTGTACGATGAACCTGGCATCATTTGTTTTGCGACAGATCCTAATAAAACCATGGATTGTAGGCGGCATGGAACGGTATGAACATTGAGAGTATCATGAGTTTCATCAAATAAAAGATGAACGGTCGAAGAAAAATTTCGGTTGGAAGTAAGAAGATTTTTTATTTCAGAATCCATTCCAGAAAGTCTATAATCAATGAAATAATCGAGTTGACAACACGAAATTGGTAAATTTATTCGAATATTTTCTTCGACTAGAAAACACTCCTCTTGCGTGCATAGGTGAAACTTGAGTTTTTGTAACGAAGGCATCTTTCGGATCATAGCAACGAAAGCATCGAACGGGCAGAACCAATCAATCGAATGTATGCTGAAATCAACTAAACGAAATAGAGGCGAGACATCCTTGAAAGCTTCTGCGCAGTTCCCAATATCAACAAAAGTACCAAGATTAACGTACAGACAATGAACATTTGATATGACTTTACACAAACGTGCTAGCGTGTTAATCGATGTCAATGGTATGGTTAATTCTTGAATGTTTGGACAAGATATGTCGGAAGTATCTTGGGGTATATCTAAATCTATCGAATTCCAATCAAAGAAGACTTTTGAAAGTCGACCTTGATTCGCTGAGAATAATTTCGTCAGGCAAATACCGGTTGAACTCCCAGAAAGAAATTGAATTTTTAAATTGTTCAGCCGTGGAAAATTCTCTATACAATCAAGAAAAACTTGTAATCTTTCACTTGAAAATCCACGCACAGTCAAGTTTTCAATATAAGGAAATATCTCACATAAACGTGAACTGTACAGAAGCTGACTTAATTGGTCCGGAATCATACTTTCCCAGTATATATTCAAACAAAACGATCGAACATGTTGTCCAATACATGGTAGAACATGAGTTATTACATATGTTAACTTTTTGTATGCAACTCTCATGAGATTCACATACCGACAATAGCCTGTTAGGGCTGTGTTCAACCGAATATTCAGATTGTAAAAGGAATATAAAACATCAGCTCCACGAAGATATTGACATATGTATAAGATTATTTCATCGGGTAGGTTTTCGAAGATTAAACACATTGCAGTAAGAAGTATACGACGAATACCAAATATTTTCTTTTGTTTTTTTTTCTGCTTTGCGAAAGATATTGTCAGTGTAAAACGAAAATGACTCGCCTACCAGGTGCAAGTCGACAGTTGTCGCGCGATGATGTCGAAGATTTGTAATTATCAATATAATTCGAAATATTGTTCTGCGTATGTGACTTATTCGGTCTTCTTATTAAGGACATAATCGATATTGTACACTTGTCGGCTTTTCTCAAGTATAATAACTGTTACATGACAAAAATTTTCATTTTGTTTGAAGTTAATATGAGAATATTGACTTAGTGTTTGACACTTTGCTATTCCGTTTTATTGAAATTCAGTTTGATCAATAATTCGGATAATAATTTTTTTTTCGTTTATTATGATGACAAAGAAATCGTTTTTCAAGATTCCAGTGAATTTGAGAAAAACTTTTTAGGCATAAATTAGTTTATTACAGTGAGATATTTTGAATACGTGCTGCTTATAATTAGTCTCTGCTTTGCTTTTAGATGGCCTTATTTTTTCTGCATAAGGTCGAATTCTTATCGACAGATCAAACGTTTGTTTGTCATACATTACTGTAAATATCCATAAGAATTTTACTATTTTGTTTATCGATGGAAACTTTCATGTTTTAGTAAAATATAATAACGGTTTGAATATTACCACAGCGCACATGAAAACATCATCCTTCACACAAACAACCTAAACGAAGTTTACAATTTCCATATTATGTTTTTGCAAGTTTCTACTGTACAATCAAAGATGTGGATATCCTAATGGTAGCTTATCAGACCACCTTGATTATAAGTATCTCTCACACAGTCCTTGATGATTCTTTGATTAATTAAGACTACAGATTTGCTTTGCAATATCTGATCGTGTTGAATTAGCTAACGCGATACTCAATCGCGCCCATCCTTCTCCGTCTGGAAAGCTCCCTTTTCGGATCTGATCAGTAAGTGCACACAATTAGTCATCCTTGTCACTCGTTAATGACAAGTTTACTCGTACATCTTGTCCTTATCCTGTATGAGCTCGATCTCGCCTATGCGAAAGACACTGTTCGCGGAAAAAAAGAACTACTTCTTCGTGTACAAACTGACTGAGGCGACGAACGGAAGCAAATAATGTTGTCGATTCTTTGTGATCAAGTCTCATTACAAAACGAACACTCATCATATCATTATCTTTGCCATTGATTGAGATGCACATCGAAGGAACATTGCAGTTTTCATTGGTAAATAGAAAGTTATTGAATGGTATCAGTCCATCCTTTGATTTCAGCATCTCATCGAAATCTTTCTTTGTCAAGCTTTGACCACGATAAATTGAAACTTTTAACATTCGAGACATCTCCAAACTGTGCTTTGTGCAACTGTTCCTTATGGTGATATAGATCACCGATAAAAAAGCTCATCAACTTGCCATTCATCACTCGTAATACACGATTCAGTGTGTCGTAGAGAAATCTCTCTGTTTACCACCAAATGGATGTGTGCTTATATTATCCATCTTCTAATTGTTTCATTACATTTTGATAAACTTGATTACTGATGTGCGTGCAGGTGCTCAGCCAGACCACGAGAATATTTGACGTTTGTTGTATGACTATACTGTTATAGCTATCTAGTTCTTTGTGAAATAGTTTTTGTCTAATCGGTTGTATTTATAACGTCTTGGTTTTCATTTGCCATTGAATTAATGGTTTTTGTTTTTAACGTAGAACCTAAGTGATGTTTAAAAAAAAGGTAACTTGTCAGATAACAGCTAAAATAGTTTATTACTTCGCATTTTAGGAGTCTTTGAAGAGAGCATTCTTTTTATTTCTATGCAAACAAAATACAGCAGTGCTTCGATTTACATTGAGAAGAATAAGTTAAGAATCGAAACAAAACGCATTCGGTATATTTATATAGCCCAAAGATTGCATAGTCATAAGAAAACATATCGCACATGAATCGTTGGCTTTTTAAATCTCAATTAACTAATAGTGAGATTTCCTAGGGAACGAAAGTGAGGGTATTAATGGAAGAGGAGAGCAACGACACCATCACCATCGCACTCTCTTTTTCTCCAATCTTTCAATGCGAGAAAAAATAACTTTACCTTTGTTTACATTTCGTAAAATTTCTTTTTTCAAATGAAAACTACGTAAAGTAGAATTGAAATATTTTACAAAAATAACAAATACAATCATTTCATTGTTTCTACCAGTTCGAGCAAGCTTTCTGTTAAAAAAGTTTAGACAAAATAACAGAATGAGCAATCCAATAGATAAAATACTCGGTTCCGTCAAAAATAAGATGAACTCGTCGAAAACAGATCTGACTGATGACAACGACGAGAAGAAGCAATCGACAACAACTTCCAATAGTAATTCAGCGCTCTCAACGATTCTTGCAGGCCTTAGACTTTATGAAAACGATACATCCTCCCATGGCCAATCGAGTAAATACTCTCCTATCGATTCGCTTTATGACGTGATCATTCGTATCAATAATATATCCGATTTACGTTCAACAGGCTGGGAGGTTTTAGTTGGCAAACACACAAAAAAGGTGAAGGTAGCTAAAAGCAGTTTTGATCACGCGGCAAACGACGATGCATCGTCGGAGAGCAAAAAAGGTGTTGTGGCTACTGTTATGGGAGCATATAATCGTGGCAAAACGTTTCTATTGGAAAAACTGTGTGGTATCGAGCTTCCCACTGGAAATTTAATAGCGACAGAAGGTATATCAATTACAGCTGGACGAGAAAACTACACGAATATCGTGTTTCTGGACACTGCTGGTACGGATACGCCAGTCAATAGTGACGAAATTGAGTTTAAGAGGGCTACTGAAGCACTGCTACGAGAAGTAGTATTACATTTATCGACGTTTCTTATCATCGTTGTGAATCGTTTACGTGCAACAGATCAGATTTACATTAAAGAAATATTAAAATATCTTCGAAATTATCAAGAGAAAAAGAGCGTGGTAATCATTCATAACTTCCTCGATGTTGAAACGGTTGAAGATCTCAACATGGTGATTGCAAGCGATCTAGAGAAGATTTTCAAAGCAAAGGCCAGCTTGAGACAAGTCGTCTCTAACCGTGTTTCAAAACCGATCAACTTTTACACATCAAAGCAAAATGGAATCGACGTAAGCCATTATATTTTAGCAAAAGCTCGTTCGGATGCATCGAAGAATTGGAATCGGCAAACGTTCGATGGAGTTATGAATCTCTTACAAAACTCTGACAATAAACGTAGTCTCGATCTAGTTCATGACATGATTGAGTTTATCAATACTAAATTACCACAGTTATTGAAACAAGAAAATCATTCGTCAGCCAATTCTGAACATATTAGTTTGAAACTTGCACAGCACTGCAGCCAACCGTATATTGTGCTCGAGGATCGAGAATATCGTGAAGATCTCTCGAGAGATCCCGTACCATTGGAATTATCAGAGAAGCTTGTTTATGACGATGCAGGTTATTTTCTTCGAAACGAAAGTGGACAGTGGCAACCTCGGTATAACTTATACGAAAATAAAGACCAATATTGTTTAATTGTTGAAGCATCAGGATTCAAGAAAGGAGAAATCAAAACGAGCATCGAGAGCCACTGCATGAAACTCGAAGGTACACGATCTGACTTAGTCAAAGCAATGACTGATCCCGTGATCCGTCAATCTGATATTCCGATTGGTTCGTTTAAATTAGAGATTCCATTTAAAGACGAAGTAGAACCGAAACAAACGCAAGTGGAGCGAGAAGACGGTTTTATTCGATTCACAGTTTTGAAGAAAACAAAAGATGAAATGGAACTTGAGGTCTGAAATATGAAAGACCAACGTTTCTTTGCAGAAGCAAATTATGATTTTTTTTTCAAATGCATGGATGACACTGTATGTGTGGAGTGTGCGTGCGATAACAGTGAACATTACTGACGTTTCTGATGAGTCGAAAGATACAACAAACGAGAATGAATCTTTTATAAGTGTGTCTCTTGATCTTCGGATAATCGAGTTTGTGTGTTTTCAACAAAGTAATATTCAGTTGTTGAATGTGAACGTCGTCGACATATTGCAGAACACGTTTGAATGAGTTTTTCTCGAAAATCTTTCAAGGTGAATACGAAAACATAGAAAGACTTGATGTGATTGATATTATAAATGTAAAAGGTAATAATCAGAGCTGGTACAGCCGAATGTTTCAGATTTTCATCTCCACCTATAGCAAATTTCGCCAACAGAGTAGTCCACATCAGCAGACACGATACAGTCGCCAAAACTTGAATTGTCATTGTGAAGATAAATCTTCGATGGAATTCATTTGAAATCTCCGTCAATGTGACACCCTATGGCAAAAATGAACGATACTGCCTATAGATATCAGTACAGACATATAAACTTACGGTCTCTTGATGTCCGCGATAATCGTTTCGATGTGAAAATGAAACGACTAGAATCATAAGTATAGACGGAACAATGCCAACCAAGATAACATATGACATCCAAAATGAGTGAAAAACGAATTTTTCCGTGGTATCAACGAAAAAGTCCGTAATAAGTATAATTGGCATGCCTATCAGCGGAATCGCGCTATACAATATAAAGCAAACTGTCCATCGCATCATTTTCCAGTTTTTTAATTTTCCCAGACATGAATCAAGATCACTGATAAGCACTAACTCTTGAATGTAAGCAATTAACATACAATTATTAGATAAATGCGGTAAAAATAACATGACTATTACGAAAGCCGTAACAATAACGATAAAATTTTCCCGATCTTCATCCATATAGTATACAACTAGCCAGACTAGAGTAAAATACAGTAAAATAAACAGGAAATCAATTACCGAACTTATTAATATAAATATCCAATATATTCTAGCTCGATATGACGAGAATAATATGGTGATGCAATTACCGAGAAGTCCAATGAGACCAAGTATTACCCACAAGATCGATATTGGGATGACAAATCTCACGAGAAAAAGATCCATAGTGAATTTTGTACTTCACTCATAGAACAGTACGCTGGATCGAAATAATTACTCCTATAGAGAAAGAACGCCTAGAAGATATGAGATTACATATTCAAAGCGAAATGCCTATTTTCTAGTATAGAAAGACGCACATTTCATCCTGCTGGCATTTTGATTAATCCCTTTACAAAAGAAACTCATTATACCGGGGAATCATGCATAAATATAGGACTGTGATGAAGACTTATAATAATGATTAGAGTCTTCTAGAATGAGAACTCCTCTTTATCCTCTCTTACCATTATCAACAATATATCATTAGGACGAAAGGTGATCTTTTCTGTAATCATGTTCCATTTTAAGCCTCTTTACGATGTAAATTACTTGTTGTCGAAGCCGTGATTTTGTTTTTTTACAAAATACCCTTGCCACCAAGTACTTTACTTTCATATTAGAAATTCTATTCTTAGCAGTCAACTTTCAAAATGTCTTTTATTGAAAAATCTAGGTGAGAAAAGCACGATACGACGTAAATATTACGAATGAAATTGTTATAAGAGAAACCAGAGTTCTTTTCATTAGCATACTATATATGTAAGAGAATACTCATACTATTCGTATTGCTATTTGCGACAGCCATGTCAGGCTTATTGTCATTGTTGAGATCTGCTACTGAGACTGAACGCGGCCCATCACCAACTGTGTAGACAGTTCGGTATCCAAACGTACCATTATTTGTATTAAGAAGAACATTGATTGAGTCTGTGTTTTGCGTGGCGACGACAATGTCTGGCTTATTGTCATAATTCAAATCTGTAACTACAATACAACGGGATCCTATATCAATTGTATACGTCACTTGACTGTGGAAAACGCCGTCGCCTTTGTTAAGAAGTACGCTGACAAAAGTTGATCCCTGATTTGCAACGATAAGATCAAGTGAATTATCATTGTTAACATCAGTCGCTGAAATGGAATTGGGTTGATCACCAACCGCATAGGTGATTTGAGCGCTAAAAGATCCACTACCGGTATTCATCAGAACACTGATAGTGTCCGCACCCTCGTTTCCAACTATAACATCAGTTAGATTATCACCGTTTATGTCTGCCGCGATAACAGAACGAGGAGCCTTTCCTACTGCATAAGTGATTTGATTTTGAAAGGCACCATCACGTAGATTAAAAAGGATACTAATGCTGTTTGAAGCACTGTTCGTAGCAATCAAATCGACATATCCGTCACCATTCAAATCTGCTGCTGTCACTGTCCATGGTTGGACACCCACTGGCATGGTGGTCTGACTCGCAAAAGCCGCATCACCTTTATTCAATAGGATGCTAACACTGTTGGAATTGTAATTCGTAACAATAACGTCTATTTTATTATCATTATTAACGTCTGACGCAATAACGTAGCGAGGCGAAGAACCCACTGCGTAAGAATAGTTAATCGAAAAGGTACCATCATTACCACTGTTAATAAGCAGACCAACATCATTTGTGGCCAGCCTTACAACGACTATATCTGATTTATTGTCGTTATTGAAATCAGCTATTGCCAGTGAATACGCTTGGGTACCAATCGAATAAATGGCTTGTTTGAGAAACATACTGTTATTGTTGAGACCTAATAAAGGAGGAACTCTCCTAGAGATTTTTCTTTTTTCTTCAAATACTACTTACCAACAGTAGTTGCTGTTGATGAGGATGACGAGGATGTTGTTGTTGTTGTTGAGGATGACGAGGATGTTGTTGTTGTTGTTGTTGAGGACGACGAGGATGTTGTTGTTGTTGTTGAGGACGACGAGGATGTTGTTGAGGATGAGGAGGTGGATGCTGTCGATGTTACTAATATAATGAATATTTTTCTTCACAAGTTCTTTCATAAACCAAATAAACCGAAACTCTCATCAGTAAATGAAATGACAAACTCAAGTTTTCCTGTTCGCCTCTTATGTTCTACTAAAGTACCTACTCGAAAAAGATTGAGTCTGATTAAAACGCTTTTCTTACCGATTTGATTACTCTTGATTATCGATATTGTCGATCGATTGATAAAGATGAAGTTTGCATTCTCATTTGATTCAATGAGCAGTGAACTTTGATTTGAAAAGAAAACTTCACAAGTTCGGTTATTTAAATAGTAGTTAAAACCCGAAATGTATTCATTTGATTGCATTAGCTGACAAGCACATTGATTTTCTGTTACATTGGCAAAAAATAATTTATTGCTAATACCGACCGTATGATGATCTTGGATTTTACCAAGAAGTACACAACTTCGTAGAGGAACTAATGAGAAAATAAGTGTAACCCAGAGCATGTTATTTGTTGCCTCTATTTAAAAAATGCTTGCTTGTTAAAAGTTTGGTTATTCTTCGTTGGCACTTGCATTCTCTCGTTAATATTGAATAAAGAGAAAACGCTTTCCTATGACATAACATAATACACCGAAATTCAGCTGCATCGTTATGGGAAGGAAAAAGAAAGAGCCCGCTCTACAAGTTCCTTTTTCTTCGCAATTCATGAAATTGATGTCATTCACATAGTGATATACTACGTGAGAGAACTAGTTACGTTAAACTATTATTTCTTTCTGTTGAGTAAAAGATACTTCAGATAATTAGGGAAGAACACATGGCATTCGTCTCTTTTTTGTCAGAAGTAGCTTTGAAACGGCAAGAGTCGATGATGCAAGATTTCTCACGTGAAAGCGTGGGCATTATATTGATGTGATGATGAGAAACTCGCATTTTTTACGCTTCAACAAATGCCAGTAGCACAACAATGAAGCGAATACCGGCTTTACCAGTGAGACGAGCGCTTGAATATATTCATAATGCATTATTGCGCAAGTCAATCGTATTCTCACGTTTCTCACTGCGGGTATGCTTATTTTGAGAGAAAGTAGTGCATAAAAGATAGTAATTTAGATACACATTATATTTAACTGTTTATCTTCTTATAAAAATGAAACGTGTTTGAAAAATTCCAAGTTAATCGTCTCGAAATCAACAGTCAACAAGGTCTTTTTGTCGATCTTTGTACATTTGCAATACTTCTCGTACTTGTTCACGTTGGCCTGCAAGAAAAATGTCTTCATCATTGCTAGTTTTATTCCTGTTGACGTACGTGGATGCAAGTAGCTAGTTCTGCCTTTGATTTTCATGCGTTGTTGTTGTAACTGATAATTATAGTTCAGTGCATCTTCCGCTGTACAGAAAAATCGTTATTCAACAGAGAAACGAAAGACAGTTACCTTCGAGATGAAACAATATTCCAATTAGAATCGACATTATCGTTCCCGTTCGTCCACGACCACCTCTTTTTGAAAAAAGAAATGAACATAGTCATTCAAGTAGTACTTTCGGAGCATTTGCTTTAACTTACCGACAATGAATCAGAATTTTCTGCTGATTTTCTTGTAGTCTTTTTGATAGATCCATACAAAAATCTAGCACTTTCTGATCATCTCGACAAATAAATTGATCAGGAATTGGAAATGATATAAATTCTACTTTCCGATTATCTATACAAGCAGACTATCGGATACTTATGTGAATCTTTTTAAAAAAACAAAATAACCATGAAGCGCATATTGTCGAATTTGTGGTTCATATAGTTTGTAACGAGATAATTCTCGCGGAGTCATGAGATTGACGAATACTTCAATACCACAATCGTATATTAATCGAGTTATACGTTGATGTTCATCGGAATCGTCTGCGCCAGGATATCTACTTGCTAGAAGTAATTTAGGAATAACTAAATAGAACGATTACACGATAGTCAGAAGATTCGACTTTTTTCTCCAAACTTACTCCAGTGACTAGCTTCGGTTGGTCCACGACAAGAGATATCCTTTGCACTTAATTCCATATACTTGTGATGAATGAATGAAAGAAAAGTATGTGTGATTACATTTAAATTTCGTAATAACACGTCTTTTACCTGAATCGTGACTCATATGACTCTTCATTGCTACAATGAATAGTCGATGTCGTAATAACGAAACGACTACAAGAAACCTTGAAAACTTCTCGAAACTTTCCAAGTCTTCTCTTAATCAGTTCGCTAGAGAGAAATCATGTAGAACTGTCGATATGTGATTTATTATATAATAATAATACAAATGCACCCAAGAACGACAAAAAGCGACAGATAGTTTCATTTAGTAAATAAGTATTTGACAGAATTTCATATGTACAAGAATGAATAAATATGTATATCGCACGTGTTTTTCAAGTTCGTTTTGATGAAGACTGATTAAATATTCATTTCCTTGACAGTTGAAGCATCTTGGATTTGGCTGATATAAATCTACAAGATTGAGATATAAGAATGGTTAAACTATAGAAAGTGATTTTCACATACTCGATCGATGACTTTCAATAAATTATCGACACGATCAGAAAATGAGTTCATTTGATCGCTATATCTCATACCCAATCGGTCCTTCAGGACTTCTCTATCGACCGGCTTTTTGGAATCTAAAGTATCATCAATAGAAAAAAAACAAGAATCTATCATTTCTCAATTTCTTACATATCCATCGTTGAAATGTGCTCAACATAAATGAAAATATTTCTTCATTTTTACCATCCATATTGTTTCTTGCACGAACGAAATTTTCGTTGATAATTGACAAAAACATGCTCATACAGACGAAAACAACGACGAAAATAAACACAGTGAAACACAGCGGACCAAGAAATGCATCAGCGTCGCGAATTCCCGTGGCATCAAAGTTCATCAAAGTCATTTCGAATAGCATCTGAGCTGTTCCCAATAAACTTGAACATCTGAGTAATTTTGAAACGAATAATAAATAAAAGAGACAGAGAAATGACAGAAAGACAATCGAAAACATCATTGTAAACGATATCAATTGTTTTCCAGCATATCGAAGAGTTTCAATAAATAAACAAAGACGTTGACTGAAACGACAAAACTTCACCAATTTGATTGTTCCGAAAAAACAACAAAAAGCGAATAAAAAGGTGAGAACGTCATTAACATAAGCTGCCAATTGTAAATTAATATACACGTATCCATTGCTGTCTTTAAACAGTTGACCAATTCGTTGACTTTCTTTGTATCGCCAAATGTAAATACCGACACTTGTCCATGAACAAACAATAATTCCAATTTCAACATACGACCAAAATCGACGAAAGTATTGCCATCTCATTTGTATCAATAATCGTATTTCAATCCAAACGAAATAGAAAATGAATAACATATACACGATGGTGCATACTAATTGATACGCTGATGTGAATGCTAAAACGAAATCAGTTGATTCGTGAATTTTCGAAATGCAAATATGAATTACCGTAAAAACTAAGTGGCTCGAAACGAGCACTGGTAAACACTCCACTCGATGAGAGAAATTCAGCAAGAAAAGTGACAGCTGTGAATAACTGAACATTCGGATTGTACAAAGTCAATTGAATGATCACAGCGCGAGTGCGATTATCGATCCAGCTAAGTTCGTGAAGTTGAGAGAGATTACTTTGAAGATCACTCAAACGACCACGAAATTCATATACATAACCACCACTTCCATAACTTGCATGATCTCCAACATATGTATATGTCTCCAATACAGCACCCGATTGATAGGTAAAGGCTTGACGAATGAACGCGGTGTAATTATTCGATGTGTAATCTTTCCATCCTGGTACGTACGATAGTTGATCTGCATGGAATTGATTGTAATCTTCTTCGCAGACAGACGATATTGCAGTTTGTTTCGGGCATAGCGTAGATTTAACTCTCAGCTGTCTCATTGTTGCCCATCCGATTAATCGATTTGATTTATCATCAATAAAACCAGTGAGATTTCGAGGAGGATCTCCGTTGTACCACTCTTGCGCTCGGAGATTACTAATGAAGCTGTTGTTCAACCAATTCCAGTATTGATCAATTGTTGAAATCTAAATCAATCATACTTTACAATAAACAGTGTGTTCTGTTAGAAGACAAAACAAACTTTGGTGAAATCCAAATCCTCGTGCCTTGAATTGAGAAAATATTTTCGCAGATGATTGACTTGATAGAATGCACTTGTGCTACGGTTCGAATAAATGACCACGTAGAGGACTGAGATAAAGCATATGTATAGCGATATTTGTCGGATGACAGACCACATTTCGATTTCTTGTAAACGATATTCACGCGCCTCGAGAACTTCTGTTTTGTTCAGACGATCAATATGAATCATTGGTCGGCGAGTTGAGAAAGAGTCCTTCTACAGAAATGGATTTCTGTTTATCCTTTCACTGAATTAGGAAACTATTTGAACATACCTCCATTGCATGTAGATATTCTTCATCTGCATCTAAGCCTATCTGAGTGTCATCTAGCAATTCGTTTGCCTCCGCATCATAATTCGACTTTCGACAAAAACATGCAAAGAAAATCGCCAGTGATATAATCTACAGAATAAGTTACAGTGCGATGAATTCTTAGAGCTTGCAGGCCTTACCTTTAATGGTTGGGTGAGAAGAATTGAAGAGAAGAAACTACTGACAATGGAAGCTAGCCACTTTTGAGTTTTTTCATCACCGAATTCGATACCACGAGCAATGATGAATATAATCGAAATACCAACAAAGATGATACACAATCCATAAGCAACAAAGATAAACCACCATGGAAGAGTGAACGGTGATTTCTTAGAGCGCGCTCTTCGACGACTCTTTTTTTCACTAGAAAAATGCATATAGTACAGAAAAACATCGCCTATTGTCTAATGAGTTTTACTAACTTTTGTAGAGGCGCATTTACTTTAGACAGGGCTTGACGTATTGGCGACAGTTGCTTTCGACGAGGACGAAGACGTCGAAATAATTGAATGAGAAGCAAACTCGGAATTAGTGCAAAGAATTCAACTACGATGCCAATGATTATCTAAAGATAAATATACAACAACATCAAGATTGAAAGTTAGATTTAATGCACACACTTGTTGAGGAGTAATGTAGAGTGATCCAAACGATAAGTTACTTGTGTTCGTTGATTTAGCTGATTTTGCTTCGCTCGACAAGTTATAGTACATAATATTGAGAAACATCGAAACAAGCAATAGAACAAAGCAACATGTACATCGTTGCACACGAGTGAACTGACTCGATGGTGGACGAGAAAAGATCGAAAACCACAGATGACCATCAGACACACTGTGATAAGTTCGTTTGGTCAAGACAAATGAAAACTGGTTCTTTTCTAGTTCACTTGCAACAGGTAGAGCACGTTCGATTTTCCCATCATCCTTCTCAACTGCAAACCATCGTTGGCAGATGAAATGAAACTTTTGCATTGTTTGAAGATCACGAATGATGATATACTTGAGAAACCACGACGATGACGAACCTTTACCACTATTGTCGTGCCAAATACGAATACAATTCAACGGTCCCAATGATTTGGGAACACTCATAAGAAATGCATCAACTCCACCTCGCTGCAAAACGCGACGATGAGGATCAGCCAATGTTCGAATATGAGTATCATTCTCATCACCATGAATGACAAAATGCACATTCGATTTCGTTCCAGCATCCCGTNTAGCCAGAAGTACATAGATCGCACAAACAAGAATCACTGTCAAATAGATGGTTTTGTTTTTCATAAAATCAGCATTAGCAAACACATAACTCCAGTTGACTGTTTCAGGTAGAATAGTAAATCCACCGGCGAATGTTGTCAGATGAGTAGAATAACACTGTGTTTGATCGTGATTGGTCAGCGGGCCAACGATGAGTCCATCTGATTGCCATTGTTGATTTTCATCCAGATAATAACAACAGGATGTATATATTCTCAGTCGATAGTCCGAAGTGAAGTTAATTGGGTGATCAGTGATGGGAGGAGCAGTAAGTGATATGTTTGAACAGTGTTGGATGATCTCAGTGGCATCAAGTTGTCGCAAGCCAAATATAACTGACTGGTGGCCTGCTGTTTGCTGATTATCGACATAGTATGTATAGACACTACTATTCGTGAAATTCTCGGGACAGAAAAGTGTCCATCCATCGATCTGTTTGACAGATGAACTCAGTTTTGGTATTTGATCGAATCTGTAGATGAACAAATAGGCTAAACTGGTATCCAATGGTTGAACTTCCCAATGAACAGAAAATGGTAATACCGCCGTTAAATTCAAATAATGCAAATCAAATATGAGATTGTTGGGCGTTGAATTAGTTGCTGTAACATTTTGCAAGATCATCGATGGTATGATCAGATTGGGATCACGAGGAATGATGATCCCGATCGACTGATTATTTGTTGTTTGAATTGAAATCTCATTTTGATTCTGATCAAAAATAGAGAACGAAATTGATCTGGAGAGATTTGTGTTTGATGTTGACTTTGAGTTTCCAAACGATGCTAATGGTTCCATCATAGACTAGAACAGGAAATGCTCGAAAATGAAGATTCACGGTGTTGAACTCACTCGCAGGGAAACCTTTTCATTTGTACCCAGATACTCAGTAAAATTGTTGGGAAGTTGAACTCGACCTTTTTCAATTATTTGTTCGGATTTATTCAGAAATGATTGACTTGATTTGGTTTTCAATGATATTAAGACTTGTTGATTTCTAATACTGAAATCTTGGCCAACGTTGAGATGAATAGTCAGTGATGATGTTACCGATGAAGTCAATACATTCATCTGATTGTTGATTTGTGCTGCTAAGTTTCTTTGATAATAAATGTTTCGATTCTTCTGTATTGTTTCCCAGGAAAAATCATCTCCATCAGCAAACAAATCTAAACATTTTATCACATTATTCATATCACAATGCGTAGTCAAATCTTACTTGGATTAGCCCAGTCGAGTTCAACATTCGTATCATAATCGTCTGGAAGTTTTGTGGCTCGATATGAGTCTAAATTGAGAATGGTCGTCCGTTCTTGTAATGGCCCGTTTACAGCCTAAATTCAAGGCAAATAGTTTCATTTCGTATCGACAATAATCTCCTTACACTGATGAGATTGGCAGCACATTGAAAGAGGTTATTTACTGCGAGTTGGATATCTTCGTATGCGACACTTGTTCGCATCGAATTCAAAGCCAATGCCAATTGATAACATCGATTAGATGCAATTGTCTAAATTAGAAATAATGTTTAAAAAAACAATTTTCAAAACCTCACGAAGATCTCACTAAAGCTGTTCGTGTCAATTCATTTGTGGCTTTCGTTAGTTGCGCTAATGCTGATGCTTGAAGTTCAATATTACTTAATGTTGTGATAGGAAGATTAGTCATGAATGCAATCAAGTAATCTCGAGCTGTTGCCCGAGAATTCAGTTGTGTATTGAATTCATCTAATTCAGTTTGATTGGGTGCGATCGATGTTATTTGTTGCTTATCATCAGAATAGAATGACGAAATGGCGATGCTCGTCACTGGAATATTATCTAAATGAGAACAATGTGAGTGATTGTAAGTTCTGTTAGATGAAAATATGTACTTGAAATTGCTTGGTCGAGATTTTCACTATTAAATTGATTGAATTGCTTGGAGACAGATGTTAACAGTTGTCCGACAAAATTTTGATTTTCGCTTGCAAGCAGCTGTATAATTGGGTTTGCTAAGATTGCCTCCGATGAATTTTGAATGTCTACTATCAGATTATTAATTGCTACCAAATCGGGAGCAACTGTAACCGATGAAATATTAAACTCGGCAATACAATTCAACTGATCGCGAACGTGAATAATCACAACAAGTGTAGATGTTTGATTATCTCCAGCTGGTAGAAGGACATTGAATGTTGAAATTGAAGAATAAGCGATAGACATTCGCGTCAACGAATCACTCGCCCATGCTAATAAAACAAAGAGAGACATTACTGTTTGAAAATACTTGACGCATACCGTATACAGTATAATCTTTGACACCATTATTATCTATCCAATCGAAACATGTAATGGTAAACACAGTGCTTGTTGTGCCTCCGGTAGGATTGATCGAACATGAACCGTCATAGGGCGATTCATTGATCATGAAATCTATTGCATTTGAACTCGTACTGCTGGTAAATTGATAAACAACTTCGAAACGCCAATACGTTTGTGTATTCGATAGAAATAGCTGATTTGTTGTTGTAAAGTTACTTGTATCGTAACCTGAATTGATTAGAAAAGACTGTCTTTTTTGCTGTAAATAAAGTTTTTCCATCTTACCGAAAAACCACGAATCATCGATGGCATTCGTCGAATCGAACAAAGCCCATACGACGACGTTTGTCGTCAAATCCATTTCACCCGCATAGACAGTCCATGTAATGCTCTCAATTGTTGTACAATTGACAGCGCATGTCGAAAACAAGGCTACTTGTGTTGTTGGATTGATAACTTGAAACTGAACATTCGGCCCGCATAGTGTCGATATGACACAACTAAAAATCAAAACTTAATCTTCATTGAAAGTGACAATGAACTTACCCGAGTAAGATTTTATATGGATAAATATCTTCAATTCGAACAAGAGCATAACCTGTAAGTGTAATCGATGAACTTGAACGATATGTCATTGTTACCATAAATTGGTATGTCCGATTGGGTAGGAGTGAGCCGGCAAGAATACTAAATGATGAATTGAGAGAATTATCAAATGTCCATCCCGTTCGATTCGATAAACACGATGGATTCGATGAATCATTCCTCAAGTCATCGATTGTCAAAAATGATCCGGAGATACTTGGAAATGCGTACAAATTGTATATTCGACAATAGTATTTGTAATTCCATTGCTATATCACACACAAACTAGATGAAGAATTTCAATTCTTGCGATGGAGAACTTACAGTAGCATCGAAGAGATCCTCATCGGGATCAATCGAATAATTCCCAGGATTTAATTGAAGATCTTGTAGGTAACTACGTGTTATCAGCGACATTCCATATGGTATTAAATATGCAGTCTTAGTCGACGGGATTATTTGCACGTAGATATTTAATGATGCAGATAAGGTTGTCATTTGCGACATCGCTACAGTTAATGTAAATTTGTACAAACCATAGGGTAGACTTTTCGCTGGAATGTACAGTTCGCTTTGTTTGGTTACTATTGCCGGATTCGAAGGTATTCGATTTGAACAAGACGTAGTACAATTGATGATTGCCCATTGCGTAGTCATCGTCAGAGAACTGGCACAGTTCAAGCCTATTAGAGAAACTATCGTAAAATCTTGACTACGACGGTATTGAACTGGCGATGTGATGGAGGTCGCGTTCGGCGTGAGTACTATCGTTGGTGCACGGCATGCTACAAGATTATCGTGAAGCTTCTATAAAAAGATCTGAAAAAGTTGTAGTTTTCTACATACCACAGGAGGCAGTTAATAAGTCGAATTTTTGAATGCGAATATTTTGAGAATCGACTACGAATAAGTTGCCATAACTGTCGAAGCTCATTGATTGAGGATTGGACAATTTATTGGCGGCTGAACCTGACGAATTCAAACATCCTACCACACATTGAAAACCATTTGGGCCAGACCGAACGATACGATTATTTCCACTATCGACAATGAATATGTAGTTATCACCATCAAGGAGGATTTCTGTCGGTCCGTTGAGTGTAATTGTATTATTAGAAGATCCGTTGCCTGCTATGGTGATTCCACTGGACTCTCCAGGCTGAAAAAATTGAATACGATGATTGGAATAGTCAGCGACATACAAGTTCGAATTATTATCAACAAAAATTCCGCGTGGAGAGAAAAGTCTATCCGGAGTAGAACCGCTAACATTTGTGCCGGCAGCAATGGTCGTCGCATTCGAACTATCACTCAACAATTTTTTGATAACTTGATGACGCTGAGCCATGGAACAGTAAATCATATTACTGATGTCTACGAATAGACCATCGCATGGAGCAGGAACGTACATGACAGGAATGCTCGCATTTGAATTCAATGTTTGCTTATCCACTCGTCCATTGGTTGCGCCGTTATCGATATAGATATCACCATTGAATGTCGAAAAAATTGAATGTGGAGAAGCTAAACCACTGTAAATAGTTCGCATCGCAGTGCTCATACCATTTATCCATATGTCAGTTCGATTATTTGCATAATCAGCAACATAAACAGTGTTGTTCTTGTCAATATATATTCCACGTGAATTGGATCCGATTTTGGTTCTATCAGCAAAAGTATTTGCATTTGAATTCCACATTGCGTTTGCACAAAACTTTGGTTGATTGTATGAAGTTACTAAGATTTAGAAAGAAAGGAAGTAAGGATTAGTTGAACAGTCTTTTGTTACTACACATACCAAGACGTTCATTTAACAGAAGAATTTTTTGGATTCTAGAATTGCCATAATCAGCAACGAAAATGTTCCCATAGCTATCAAAAGCGATTGTGCGTGGCTGGTTGAATTGATTGGATGCCGCGCCTGGTATATTAGAACATCCGGCTATACAACGAAAGCCATTGGGTCCTGATCCAATAATACGATTGTTATTGCAATCGGCGATGAATAGATAATTGCTACCATCGAGAATCACTCCAGTTGGCTTGTTTAATGTAATTGTGTCGTCGATAGAGCCAATTCCTGCTAATGTCGTTCCATTTAACTGGTTTAGTTGATAGAATTGTATACGATTATTTGATGAATCAGCCACATACAAATTCAAATCAGCATCGACAAAGATTCCATACGGCTCATTAAGCATATTTGGAGCAGAACCACTTGAACCCGTACCAGCGGCTACTGTCGTATTAGAAGTATTGTCTACTGGCTTTTTAATAACCTGATGTTGATTACTCATTGAACAATACAGAGTGTTCGTGATATCAACAAATAAACCATTGCATGTATCATTCGTGGGCATAATCGAAACACTAGTGTTGGTATTAACGGACCACTTCAACACTTCCCTACTGGAACCTCCGTTATCCATAAATATATCGCCATTTATCGTCACAAATATTGAAGCGCGAAGTACAAAACCCGTGAGATGAACTTGCGTTAGATTAGCGCCATTGCTCGAGAAAAGAAAAATTCGCCGGGTTGTTTGATCAAAAGTGTAAAGTGTATTATTTACAGTGACGAAGATACCACTGACATTTCCGCCAAAGGTACCACTATCAGCAATAGTTATTGCATTTGGATTCCATGCTGTTGATACATTCAAGGTCGGTTGGTTATACGATGGAACTATAGAAGAACCTATAAGATATCGTTGTTCATCAACAAAGAAACAAATCATGTCAAATAAGATATTGTATCACTTACCAATATTAGTGGTTAATAAAGTAAACTTTTGAATTCGCTGATTTTCAGAATCTACAACGAACATATTTCCATCGCTATCGAAACTAAGAGTGCGCGGACGATTTAATTGATCTGCATTTCTGCCAGGCTTTCCCGAACATCCCACTATGCATCGAAAACCATTTGAACTCTGAGCAACAATACGATGGTTATCAGAGTCAACAATAAACATTAAGTTGTCAGTATCAAGAACAACACAAGTTGGAGTACGAAGCGCGTATGTCCCAGTTAACGCAGGTCCTGCAGCTGTAGCTCCGTTGGACTGTCCTGGTGAAAACTTCTGAATCCGATTGTTTAGAGAATCTGCGACATATAAAACCAAACTATCATCGACAAAGATTCCACGAGGTTCATTCAACATATTTGAACTAGTTCCCTTGCAACCACTGCCAGCAATAACAGTTGATATGCTAGAGTTATCTTCCAATAGTTTTCCAATAACTTGATGTTGATTACGTAGTGAACAGTAAACCATATCACGAATATCAATAAACAGGCCGTAGCAAGCATCATTAACAAACATGGCGGAAGTTGAAACAGTTGTCGCCCATGTCCATCTACTTACCTGATTCCCTCCTCGACTGTTGTCAATAAAGATCTCGCCATCCGTTGATACGAAAAGGGAGTAGGGGTTAGTTAGTCCAGGAAAATAACCCGACATCCAACTCGTACTACCTGGTAACCGTAGAAAGACTTGGCTTGTGTCACGATTTGCCACATAAACCGTATTATTAGTATTTATGAATATACCATTTGGAGATTTACCAACTTGAACGGTGGTCGCGAATGTTTCTGCTTTGGAGTTCCATGATGATAATTCACTAAATTTCGGCCGATTATAAGATCGGACTAGTATGAGAGAAACGAAAAAGAAACGCTTCCATACACTTGCTTAAAATAATCAGTACCTATTGTTGCTGCAGTTGTTTGATCCGAAGTCGACATACTGCTAGTTGTCGTCGTGGATAACACTACACAGATAACATTGACTCAGCGATTGTTTCAAAATGAATCAAAACGGTTCTCTTACTATTACTTGTAGTGTACGTGCTACTAGCGTCTAAAGAAGTCGATTATCTGTAAACATGTCATGGCAAAACTTGTTTTAATAAACTTACTGCATAATTTTGTACTTAAACTGTACTTTTTTATTCGAGAAGAACTACTTTCAAGTACATACATATTTCCACGACTATCGAAAGTTAGTCTTCGCGAGGAATGAAACGCATGTCCAATTGGGCCTTTTAGAACCTCACAGTTGGCTATACAGAAGAAACCATAGGGCCCGGATCCGATAAGACGATCGTCATTAAATTCGACGATGTAAAGATAACTATCTGCATCCAGTACAACATCGACTGGGCAACTCAGTGCTATCGTAACTTGTGTTGATGTACTTCCTGCCACTGTATTTGCATTTATTTGGTCAAACTGAAAAAGTTGTATTCGATTATTGGAGCAATCGGCGACATATAAACTATTATTATAATCAAGAGCAATGCCAAACGGTCTATTAAGTGTATTCGAACCTCCGCCGGGAACACCTATACCAGCAGCTATTGTGAATATACTCGAGCTGTCGTTTAAGAATTTTCTGATAACTTTATGACTGTCTGTCATTGAACAATAAATGTTGTTGTACATGTCGATAAAGATGTCAAAACATTCGCCGCACGTATCCAATATTTGAGTGAAACTTGGTGGAGTTGATACCGATTTACCAATTTGGCTTGCTGGACCACCCGTGCCGACATAAATCTCATTAGACGTTGCTACAAAGATGCTAATTGGATTGGCACCTGCATTTTCAATAGTTTTGATACTTATACTGCCTGTTGGATATGTATACGAAAACGGACTAGGCGGTTGAGAAATCACATACATTGTATCGTTTGTATCGATGAAAATATCGGATAACTGCGATCTCAGTGGTCCAATACCAAATGTCCCAGCAACAATCTGCCCATTTGCGTTCCATGATGCGTTATAACAAAACTTTGGCCGATTGTAAGAAAGCACTAGAAATATTGTTACATGACCGACGATCTGAACTTCGTGATCACTTACTCGAGACTTGTTCGGCGATTACTAAGATGATCGACAGTTTCAAACCGTTGATCAATCTCATTGTGTCTGTAGCACGAAGTCTCAGTGCAAAATAAAGTTGACTTGAAAGAGTCCAGGAAAGTAATTGACTGGTAGATAAACAATTACTCCTGCTTTTATAAGCTTCTCTCTCCCTCGCATCTATGTGTATTTAGTTGTCCATCGTTGGCGTAAAAATCAAACGTTCAAAGATTTCTCTCTCAGTTTAATGGTGTCCGAGAACAGTTATCAAAAGACGGAAAAAATAGCTTTATTTATCAATATTTATCAAACTTTTATCGAAAGCAAATATAATTTACTTTCAATTGTTAAAAGCAAATAAACCATTGACGTCAATCGATATCCGTGCTTTGTTTGATTTTTCTTCGCTTCATTATTTTCCCATTTATTTTAATACAATCGATTTACGGGGAAAAAGAAAATTGGAAGTTAAATATAAGAGCTGGTAATTATACAAACACTCACAACAATAAAATCACTTGACATAGTAACCATAAGAAACGAATTCAGCGTTTCTCTTCCTCGAAATTTTATCAATAAAAATGCACCGTCTTCATCAAGAAAACGGTTTGCTAAAAGGAAAAGTAAAAGAACAGCTCCATTTTCTAATTCCACGTGTTTTTTTCTATTGACGACAGAGATTACACATAAAAACACATTTACGTGTACGTGTTGAAATGTGTTTATAACGAAGACAACATTCTATTCTATCGCTGGAATAATACCATACAAAAAACGAATGTAACTTACTCTTTTGCTTTTAGTTTGAAACTTTGTTTTGAACAAGAGAACATGGCAGCAAATTTGTATACGCAAAAGTTGCAAAGTATTATACAAGCCAATTCACATATTCGTGATATGGTACAAAAGAATGTCAACGAATTTCTTAGTTTACGCGAAGCACTTCTGACGAATTCGGGAATAAAAGAGCTGACGTCGTTTCGCAAGGTATTATTTCCATTAATCGAAGGACCACGTATCGAACAGTTGAACGTTCGTATTACTTCAGATAGAGTTCACTTAGCATTTTGCGGTGAAAATTCAAGTGGTAAAACGGCATTTTTACATCGATTTTTAGATATTGGCAAGATTCTGCCGTCAGGTGATGGTCCTGTAACAGCACGAATCACTAAGTTAACATACGCTCCGAGTGATCAGGCATGTATTCGGATTCGAAGATCACTCCGAGATCAGACCCTTGCCGAAGATGAAATAAAACTTGCAGAATTTTTTACAAGCGAAAAACCTAATTGGATGGGTATTGCTCGTAGTTTATCAAAATATGTTAAACGTCCTGAAAACATGGACGATAAATCAGAAGAATTCGCCGAGTGGGCTCGATACTTCGTCGAGGTTCATATTCCATCGCCAATTCTTGCCTTGGGAATCGATGTGTACGATACACCCGGTTTCCTTCTCGATGATGCTCCCGTATTAAAAGTTATTCTACACGATTTAGTTGAATTAATTCATCCAACTATTATCTTCATGTACGCAAATCCTACTACTGACGATGCCACAAGACATTGTTTTCTTGCAATGAAAACAGCTCTTGATGACCTGGATACGGCTAGCATTTTTTTTCTCAGCACCAAAGCTGATATAAATCAAATGTTAAAATTCAAGCAAGGCATGAACATGGACGATTTTATTTCGATATTGGCCGAAGAACGATCTCGAAGATATGAATTGTTACTCAACGCACCGTTTCTTGCTAATGATCAATTGGAAGGACTACCGAAATCCGTTGACGAATGCAACGGTTTTGATCTGTTTAGTGTTAATTCGTACATCATGAAACCGTACGGTCCATTTATGAATGAAACAACAATTCGACGGATTATTCAGTTTGTAGCGAACAACGACTTGACGATCGCGACACGTGTATGTAAATTGATATTACCGATCATCGACGCTTTTTTTAATCTACTTCGGATCACGGGTTATCAAACCTCAGAGCGTTTGTTACAATTACAATATGATGCTTTAAACTGGGAAAAAACTTTCTTCGAAGCGTATACCATGTTCACAGATTATGGTTTGAAGACACTGTTTACTGACGTTTTCGAACGATTTCTTCAAGAAGAAGAGACAATCGTCGATACACTCGTTCATAGTCATACACCTCTATATCTTATTAAGAGGACGATTCGAACAGCTGTGCGTCATCAAATTCTCAAACCAGCCATACGTGATACGATAGCAAAGTTCATGAGATACGTGCTCGAACACATCGCTTCGAACATTGATCTAACACGAAGCGCATCGTTCAATGAAATTCTAGTTACTGCATTGGGTGCACAAGAAATGAGTGACTTCGCAACCATGTTATTAGGTGACAATCATATTAAAAACTCTGCCACTCCTGCAATAGTATATATGATGAACACAATATCGACACCAATGATGCAATGTGCGCAGAAGATGCTGGATTTCGATTTCTTTATAAAAAGCGAATATCAAAATAACGAAGAAGACGTGAAGATTTTTGTGCGCAGATATATGTTGCACATGCAAAGAATGATTGAAGAGCAACGAAATACAATGCGACAAGCAGTCAAACTATGGGGCGATCATCAAGAAGGAATTATCCGATCTTTGATTGATGTTCACTATCAAACTACATCACCATTATTACTGTCCAATCAGATAACGTTGAATTCTTTGGAGGTGTATGTTAAACATTTCGTTGTTATCGAATGTAGACTTCGAGCTGCCCAAGATATGGCGAAATTTTACGATAGTTTTCCAAAAATTCATAATGAAATTGCCACGACAACCGTGTTTTGCCTGTTGACCGCTGACTGGAATGAAGAGAAAAACTTGATTATTAAAAAGCTTGCTCAACCGATAGCTGACCAGCCATACGCAGCCTATTACGAAGCACATTATCATTTAACCGTCGGCAAAGTCAACCATCAAAATATAGTGAATATTCGTTATTTGTATGAACATCAAATTGATAACGAAACTTCGGAATTGTGGATTATCTTTCCGCCGATGTTACCTAGTCTAGAAACATTTCTGCAGCAAACATCGAATTCCATTCCCCTGCAGAGAGTTCTTCGATGGATGATTAATCTTACCGATGCATTAATCGTACTGCATGAAAATGGATTTGTACATCGAAACATTACACTAAGTAATCTCCTTTTAACTGACGATGACCAGGTCATGTTAACTGATTTGGGCAATTGGAATGAGCCGGGCGATATTAGTTTACATCATCAGCCTGCAGCAACTGCCGGTGGAATGAATGACGATATGAGAAGCTTTGGAGTACTTGGAGGAACACTCTCTACTCGAATTGTTCGTGATGAAGAAATAGGAGCAATTATATCAGAATTCGATGAGCTTCTGGTCAAATGTCAACAAGCTACACAAGAGAGACCGATAACAGCACACTTTGTTTATAATAAACTTAAATTTATATTAGATATGTTTTAATTCTTCATTTAAACTTGATTTTGTTTTGTTTTTTAGATGAATGTAAATGACGATGCGGAAGTAAAAATGGCACTACTCTGTGCACATCAATTGAAAAACGATATTTGTCGAAGTGCAGAAAAATTTAAACGATTACGTTTGAAATTCTTACCCGTTCTTCAAGAGATTGATAGGTCTCGTGTTAGTGATTCTAAAAATGAATCATCAACAACAAATAGTGATGCAAACATCGATAATTGTTTTCTACAGGTATCGGACAGTATTATCGACGAACATAACAATACAAATCGACCATCTTTAGTTGTCTTTGGATCGAATTCGTGCGGAAAAACAGCGTTTATTCAACGTTTTCTTGGCATAGGAAGAATATTACCGTCAGACATCGGATCAATAACAACACGCATAGTTCAGTTAACATATGCAGAAGGTGGCCAAGCTCGTTGTCGTGTTTATGATACAAATGAAAAGACGCATCTCATCGTTGAAGATGATCTATCGTCATTTTTTACCGAACCGGGTAATTACGATTGGGAGGGTCTGACGAACAAAATCTTAGTTCATGTTAAACGTCCGGATAGCATTAAAGAAGAAACACCTGAATTTACTGAATGGGCTAGGTACTTCGTGGAAATTTCACTTCCTTCAAAAGTTCTCGCATTAGGTATTGACGTTTATGATACACCGGGATTTCTTTCCAGTAATCGCGAGCAAATTCTAACTGATAATTTGCACGAATTAGTCAAACGTATTAAACCAACGTTAGTTTTTCTGTACGACAATGCGACAATCGCTGATACTGATAAAAGCTGCTTTTTGGCCATGAAACATGCTCTTGGTTCGATGGAACGTGTCTCCGTGTTCTTTTTGAATACCAAAGCTGATTGCATATCGATTGCAAATGATTATAGTCTTGATGACGATCCCGAGAACGTTACCATGGAAGTTTTCCAAGAAGTACTTCTGGAAAAACGGCAGAAATGCTATGAGTTGCTTCTTCGACGACGCGAAATGGCAAGCGAAGTGCTTGGTCGTTTACCGAATTCGGTCACTGAATGCACATGTTTTGACATTTGCACCGTACCAAAAGATTTTGATCCCTGGGAAGTGTACACTGATACAATTAATACAAATACCTTCCGACGCATTGTGAAGTTCACTGCTGAAGCGTATTCGATGCCTACATTAGCATTGGCACGCGATGTTTTGACGACGGTAAATGATTATTTCGATTTGGTGAAATCATTCGCAGTTCGAACGTCGGCTCAACTCGATGTTTTGCGTCAAGAATCGTTAGAGTGGAGCACGTCATTCTTTGACGAGTACGAAAACTTGTTGCCATCTTTAATCGATGATTTAATGGCGAATATCGAGAGATTATTTCAAGAACTCAAAGGACAAATAATAACTCAAGCCACATTGATTACACGGACTGGTGATCGAATCGATGCATTGCTACAAGACAAATCGAAACGTATACAAGATTACATCAGATTAGCTGTCCAAGAGCAAATTCTCAAAGTAGCAGCAAATGATGTTATCATTTCCAAACGAGATGAAGTTATGTCCTTAATCGCTGGTCATTTTCAACGTCCAAAGGGCCAACGGAAAAACGAATTGTTAACACGTGCTCAACAGCATGTTTTAAGTGATCTATCTGCCGAAATATTAGAACAAACAACTTTATTCAACTTGTTCCTCAATGGTCTGATCACAATACCACTGGTGTGCACACGCTTTTTCCTTAGTTTACCTACACGCTGTAGTACATACTTCAAGGAAACATATAATCGATTCGTTGATACCCAGATCCAAAAAGGCGATAATAATGACGATGTCTATAAACTGCTCGACGCCATGGATACTTATTCTACCTTATCGAATGAAGCTGGACGTCGTACACTAGCAGAACATTATCTAGCAGAATTATCAGATAAAATTAAGAAGCAAAAAGATGTATTTAATTATAATTTACAATTATGGATAAGGAATCAAAAAGGCTCATTCAATAAGAATATCGAAGCCAACTATAACTACATTAAAAATCATCTTTCAGATCAACGAGAATGTTACAATAAGCTTTCGAACTTTTTCAGTTCATTCGCGAAGATCGAATGTCAATTGTTAGCAGCTATCGAACTCCATAAACGTGACGGCATTCGCCCTATTCTTGGCGAGGAACTAGGACGAGGTGGTTTCTACGCTGTTTATACAGCTCAATGGCATAAGGATGATAAACTAGCTGTGAAAAAATTACTTGGTGCAACTGCTAACAACAATAGCATTGTAGCCGTTGAAGCGCATGTACATCGAGTCGTCACGCTTCTCTCTATTGACCACGTTGTTCCACTTCTTTATACGTACGAAAATATCGTGGATAATGCTCACCGAGAGCTATGGTTGATAATGCCTAGATATACCATGTCATTGCAACAATATCTGATTAAAAATATGGATCATCTTGATTTTGTTCGCGTTGTTAGTTTTGCTCTTACGATTGCGACTACTCTAGCAGAACTTCATCGTCTGGAGATTGTTCATCGAGATCTGAAGGCAAGCAATGTGATGCTTAATGGCGATGATCAATGCTATCTGATCGATTTTGGTACAGCCAAATTTGGTTTAACTAGTGATACTGTTTTAGGCACAGCGCCACTATCACCCGAGGTGATTGCCACACTTTCGATTCAAGGTGCCAGCTATGCAACATACGATGGTGCTGCGGCTGATATCTACTCGTTCGGAGCTCTCCTGTATGAAATGCTACCCAAACCCCGTTATGAGCGGCTCGACAATCAAAGAGTTTCACAGTTGAAGCAACTATTACGTTCGAACCCGAAATCTGATGTATATACAAAACCTTACGAAAAACTCATTTGCCGATGTCTTAGTCAAAGTCCAGAAGATCGGCCAACTGCAGTAGGATTAGTATCGGACCTGAAAGATATTCAAGCGAAAACAGAAATTAAACCGTGCATGGTGTGTGAAGAACGACTTCGTAGTATACGTGTTCAACCTTGTGGACACAAATCATCCTGTGCACAATGTTGGGAGACATGGTCGAGAACGTCAGGGGAGGGCGTAAGGTGTATCATTTGTAAAATGCTTGTTGCACATCATACACAGGATGATATCAACGCTACATACCTCAGTGGTCAACACAATGCAGCTAATAATGGCTCATTCTAGTGTAGCTTTAGAACGTTCTGCAGATCTTATTGTTTTTTTCATATCGATGATTAAAAAAAAACATGAAAGTCAGAAAATGGAATAAGAGATCTATCTAGAGAGCGAGTGTGAACAACCAACTTTGTTGGCTGGTATTTGTATCATCGATGATACCGATACTCGATGTTTGATAGGTGGACAGCACCCGTTACCAAGCTATTCAGAGCCATGTTAGAATCCACTTGTGATTTAGCCTATCACAACTTCCGATGAAAAGCTTCGCACTCGTCGTCGAACCGTTGTTAAATGTGCCGCGACATTAGTCAAGTTGAGTTTTGGGCGTTAAACAATAAACACCATCGCGAATAACCCGAGCCAATTCTTCTTGTACCTGAAGGTAGGAAAGTTTAGGTTGATAGTTAATGTTCAACAATAGCGCATCACCCTTCGTGTAGTTCGAAGCTGCAGGTAATCAGTTATAACGATCAGTACAACTCCAAGTACCGAAAATAGGCGAGTGCGAAGAGAAATGAAGAATGTATCTCAGCATTGAACGAAAGAGCGCAGCTTGCCTTTCTAAATCATCTGAATTGACAAGAGATCCATCGCGCATTGGAACTGATATGCGTAATTCTGTTACCATGACATTCACATTTTCATTAATGAAACATTGCGCAATTTGATAATGCATGTCTCCCGGAGCTACACTTGTCGAAACATTGATATGCCATTGCATACCGAATTCATCAATAGGCACACCTTCTGATTTCAACCAGACAACTACTTCGAGGGCTTTTTCAATTTTCCACCCTCCTGCCTCCCACGATAGCATGAATATAATCTCTCAGTAAGGTTTTTGCTTGCTCGACAGTCATCGATGCTTCTTGTTCGACTAATCATGCTGGTATTCTCATATCATACGCCCAAATCAACGCATGACCTCGTAATTGCATTCCATTCTTTTGCGCCTAACCTGTAGTATTGGGTGTAGTACCTAAAAGTCAATCCGTATCCATAAAATTATAGATATTTCCATAGGACGGCATAAATGCGCCAGTTTCATTTCGACACCAGGCACGACTAAATCGTAGTTTTTCACTAAATTCGAAATGTATTGACCTTTATCTACATTGGGACATAGATATTTAACCAAAGTAGCTGATCCGAGAAGAAGTCCACGTTTCGAAGCAGATACTTTCAACCCAATCGGATGTTGTACTCCACGAACAGTACTAGTAGCACAAGCTTTTTATCGCTTGCCATCAGTAACAAAAAACCATCGAAGAATGCATTTCTTACTGATCCTTCGCTGATGGTCCCTGTATGCACTAAGCTCTCGATTAAAGTTGCACCTGTTTATTTTTCTCTTCATCGAAGGTATTCATTTATTTTCCAGAGCACATTCAGCGTATGAAGCTCAACTATGTGATATTTTCCCAACATTTATTCAACAAAGATAGTTTTTTTACATCTTGCTCGTTTGAACGCGTGTCGGGTGATGTGATACACGTTTATAAACTTTGCTAAATAATTTTCTAACTGTTAATCTAAACGTTTTTGATACACAAACATAAATCCAGAATGAAAGACTGTTATTGACATAGATTAAAAACGTTCCCTTAAAGTTCGTAATAAACGATTCGATCAACTGTTGCTCAATACTTTTTTTGTGCCGATTGAGCAGCTGACTGGTATAGAAGATTGATCGCAAACGGTGATATCGTCACAATATATCATATAGTCTCAACTAGCAACATTCTAAACATATCTTGATCACGTCTACGAATCGATGGTGTGATTAGATCGATTAGTCTGCCCGGATAAATGCGAGCACGCACGTTTTTCAAGTTTTTCAACATTAACAATCCAAAGAGAGTCATGCATATCAATGGAAGAATACCGACAACAATTGTCATGTATAACGATACAATGACTGCGAGTAGACCTTTTTCTGCGCCACAGCGATCGTTTTCAAGCGACGTCAATGTATATGGTCATATAGCCAGTAAAATCCAACAGACTGGAATACCAATGCCAATAGAGCTTGCTATTTGAGATCGACTGAAAGATCTTGTGCGTATCATCTGATTGAACGAATGTCGAAAATAGAATTGCAATTCACAAAATTGAACAGACATAGTAGATGGATTGGCATGATCTAGTGCATAGATAACAAATATTGTTGAAATATTCAAGCCAATCAATCCAGTTAGCAATGCTGCGAGCATATAAATTGAGCAGAGATTTCGACGACAGGCTGTATGGTCGGAAAAAGATCAGCATATTGAATGCTAGACCGATATTACGAATTATATTATAAGTTGTCATTCCATAACTTATCAAATGTCGTCGTAGAAAAGATAAACATGTAGTTAATGACATATTTAAGAATATCTAATACATCGAGCGACGACGTTCGTCAGAGATAGTACATTAGTATAATGAATATTTGTCGCAACCACTTCTTTTCAGCTGTATATCACTTAGAAATCTGTATGCATCAGGTCAGATCAGGAGAAAAAAAGCCTTTATTTGGCACGCATAAACAGATATCATGTGATGTCATTTTTCATTTCAGCTTGCTAATATATCAATGTTGTGGAAAGTAACAGAATATCATTTAGTTCAACAATTTTGTCCGGCAGTAATGAGCGAACTGTGTAACTATCTGTGCAAAGAGTTTTACTTCTTTCAGTAATGTTACATTCATAGACATTATTACTCTATTCACTTGCTGCAGTGGAATAGATTTAGAGACTCGGTCAAACGACTCTATTGAAATAATTAACCTAATTCGGGTAGTCACCAATTACATGATCCATTACTATTCTAATACGCTCCTATGTCAGAATGAAACTTTACTCTAATTAGCCATTTAATTACAACGACATCGAAAGTATACATGTACATCGAAATCATTGATTATTCATCAGTATACAGAAAATATTTCATTAACATATGAACAATTCTAAACTGAACGACTTTTCAATACAACTTTCTCGAGAATCCTAAATATAACATAACACCTATCAGTATAACTAGAATCGTATACCATAAGTAAGCACGATTTCTTGAATTGATACCATTCATGGATTGTATGAAGTTTCGTAATCTTGCATGATTTTCTATCGGTCTACTCATTAAAAGTCCTTTCCTTTGAAAAACTGAGCCGCCATTTCTGATGACGGGATGGCGAGGTTCACTTTTCTTGGCTAAAGCTGATTTCTTCTGAACAGCTTTCCAGCTCTCGAGAAATTTCTTGTCCTTTCCCATTTGACCAAGCACCATGTTCTCCTTGAACAAACGTGCACTGCGTACTTGACAACATACAAATCCGGTGGATACGATTTTAATGTTCGCCGCTTTCGCCGCAATGCCAGTTACAAACACGTCCTCTAACCACAATTTTGGTGTTGTAGTATTACTAATTAAAGTCGATGATAATACAGTTAATACATCCGACGGAATCAAATAACCCGATCCATAGCAGAACTCGGGAAATTTTTCGTCTAACCATACTGACTCCGGAACGTACCATTTGTTCTGAACTTCTCGGTGCACCTGACGTACGCCTTTGTTACAGAAAATATTCAAGTTTAACACGTCTTTCTTAGTATTGAAAAATCGTATAACATTCCGTATGTTGATGATAGCATCATCATCAACATATAGAAGCCATCGACTTGAGCAATGCACGCTAGCCCAAGTTACTGTAAAGATTGATTTTAAAGTTAAATTATAATAATCATCGACAAACTTTCCTATAATCAAATCATGATAGTTTCTGTTTTCGACAAGAAGTTTTTCGAACATCTCTTCATCATTTGTTGATCCTAACATAAACACGTATGGAATTCGGTAGCGTATTACTTCAGGTAACCATGTCTGTCGAACTAATTCTCGCTGATTAAGATTGTTTACTGCTGATTTAATTGCAATAAATAATTGACTGTCGGCATATTGAGAATCTTCACATAGACTGACTTGATGCAAAACAACATAGTTTATCTCCATGATCTCAGCAGGCGTATGTACATGCACGTAACTTGGTAGAACCGCAGAGTTTTGTTGAATGCGAGTAATCAGCCAGATCAAAATGAATATACGATTGAACATATTTGATTCGAAGCGTGTTTTCATGTGACTTAATCAATAGTTTTACACTTTCAAATACTTGTACTGTTCACAAAATAAACGTGTGCCAGAAACAATTACCTCTTTTTCATCCAGCAATACAGAATTCGTCAATAAATAATAAACTCGACATCATCACAACAGAACGACATAATTTCATCACGTGTAAAAAAATTCGAAACATTAAAAAATAATTCTTCGCTTTTGTTATTAGTTCGTTCTATTACACGATGATGAAAATAGTATCGCTCACTTGTATTGCGTAGTTTTCATTTAGGAATACATGAAATGCAAGTGCTCATCGAGCCCAAGAACTTTGCATTCTCACCCGGATTCGACACAATTTGAAAAAACACGAAGTATTTCTGCATGAGTTATTAAATAATACCTACGATGAGAATGATAAGGTGGATAGCCGTAAGTAGACGATGTCAAAATCGACAAGATTTAGTAAATGATGCACGCCATCTTTTTATCTGTTTAAGAATAAATCTTAGATTCAATTGGTGGAAGTAAATTAGTTCTCAACCTCTGCTCTTTGAAAATGCGTAGTTGAATTTCTCTAATCATGACCTAGCGCATGCTTTTGCGAGTTTATTCCCATGTAGATAATTCAAAGCAAAAGAGACGAGAATGCTTACTTCTATATCATATAACAATCAAATCAATCCATCACCAAAAAGAACAGCAACAATAATTTATTCATGCATTTACGCAATATGCCTTTCAATTTGTTGCTTTTTTCTGTCCATCTTGGGATGTTTCCTTGTTTACGAGGGAGTGTATGATCGTCTCAATATATTGACGGGGGCTTTGCCCTTTGTCATAGGTTTTACCGTAATTGCTGCTGCTATTCTTTTCTGCGTACAATCACGACGCACATTGAGACTTTCTTCATCATCGACACGTCACAGTTGTGAGCAGTTTCAGGTGAAAGAAGTTCGTTTTCATATTCACGTTTTCCTATGTTTATTCATGTAGAGGTCAAGCGAACATGATAGAGACGACAACCGACGGTTGGTTTGATTTTTTCCTGTTGTTTTGTTTACAAGGATTTATTCTACACTTTTTCTAGGATTACAGAAAATCATATCATCGATTTACCATCTTATAAAGAATTGTTTTCTTCTCGGTCCAACGGTTTCCTTCCATCATCCATCACGCAACTACCTTCTTACGATGAATTTATGAAAAGATCTGTCAGCTTCTGTTGAATACAATAAGTTACATCTTTATCAAAATGTGAATAGGCAACTAATTCAAATGAACGAAAAGGTGAAAGAGTGTTTCAAAACCAAATATCGGCGTAATCTTCGCGAGATGGAAGGTTAATTCCATATGAATACCAAAGATTATTATAGCTGAGTTTCTGTTCGACTAACTCGACAAACTCATCGTACATATATTTTTTCTTTGTATTTGCCGTAATATCTCTCTTGAAAATAATCCAGTGTAGATTTCTCAGTTGTGGACAATACTCTTGTATATGACTGATCACTGATGCAGGTGATATTTCATTACTAAGACTGGTATAGTATAACTTCAAATGCCTCAAGTATGGCATAAGTTTTCCAATATGAACGAAGAATATTGAGTACAAACCATAGTCACCACATTCTAATGAGATGATATTTTTCAATGATTTTCCACATAATTCAAATATTTCTCGAAGTTCTTTCGACTGATTATTACTTAAGCAGAGATATTTTAAATGTGGCGATAGTTGAATAAGTGAATGAAGTAGTTTTCTTTTCGTAGAAGTTCCAAGACAATAGCCAGTCAGTTTCTGTAGTTTCAACAGTGGGAATGGAAGCGCAACTGATGAGCTGAAGTCGGAATTGATGCAAACAGTGTGTGCATTATATAGGAGCTGCAGCGACGCTTGATTGAGAATATAGGCTTTAGAATAATGTTGCGGAAATGTATTTCCGGTAAAACTACTTGGACAGGTCGTAGTATGAAGAAAATAGGTGCCATCGGGTAGATGTTGAATATTTTCGAAACCATCACATGATTTAGCGGGGTAATCTGTATGGATTAAGTACTGAAACGATGTGAGAGATTTTAGTTGTTTTAATTCATTTAGATCGACTGGTAGCAATTCCTTTCTAGGTATTGCTAACGACATGATCAGTACGAATGAACTTAGGCGAGAGTGTAACCTATGACAGAGATCGGAAAAGAATTTGAATACGTCACGAAGTTGACATTCACATAGTAGTTTAGTGTACGATGTACTAAGTTCGACATGTAATTTCTGAACTGATGAGATACTGTTGCTGTCGTTCATCATATGGGAAATCTCAGTAGGAATCAGAACATTGCGTACAGATAGGTAGATTTCTTGAATTTGTTTCATGGTTTTCACCAGATGAGTCAGTTCACTCAGGTCGATCAGATTCACTTTGATGACTCTCAAATTCGGTAATTGTGTGGCAAATTGATTGCTGCATTGGATCTTTGGTGTTGTGGAAGAATGGAGAGATTGCGTCAGTATTGTCAACGTTTCCAATGTTGAAATTTGACTGGCATAAATGAATAGATTTGAATCAGTCGAAGAATCAAATTGGCCGATAAATTGAAGATCAACGAGTTTTTTAAAGTCCTTCAGATGTTTTAAATAGAAGTCTGATTCATCAGTAGTACTTGTCTGTTCATAGAAACCATTGCTTTCTAAGGTTAGAGATCGGAGAGTATTAGTCACCTTCAGAATGTATTCCTTGAACAATTGGAATTGATAATATTTCTTCAATTTTAATGATTGTATTAAATTATGATATTTTGGAAGGATATAGTGACAAAATCGATTGTATTGGGTGAAAGATACATTACTAAGATTGATATGCTGAATATAGGATATAGTTAGCACTTGGAAACGACTGTTTAGTTGTGAAAATCCGTACACAATGTCAACATGATGCATATATTTGAAAACAAACAACCATAACTCATTAGGCAGACGCTCCATAGCTATTCTAGTTGCTTGTTTTTTATTGTCACACGTGTGCTCGAGGTAGTTTGTATGGTAAATAAAATAAAGCCTCTATATATCGTAGTGCACTTGTGAGAGCAAGAATGGAAAAGAAAATCGATCCTATTCGGTGTGATTTATCTATTATTGTTCGTGATTATGCATCTCCGAGTATTATATTGACGTATTTTTATTCATTTTAGCTTTGGTAGGATTATCCTTGGCTGATAAAGTATACTACTCGATTTAATTCACGAAATGTTTCTTCTTTCAAAAGTCAAGTATGACAAATTTCATTTTAATTAATGTTAGTTATGCACTAGCAAAAGAGTTTTTGCTGTCGATTAGTTGTCGTTTTTTGATAAAAGCACCGCGATCACTACAATTTTAAGAATACAAATATTCAGGTGTTCAGAGCATATCAAGATGAAACTTACAAACAATGCCAGTGATCAGAAGACAAAGTGCAATGATCAAAAGAATCCACATCTATTTAGTTCCAGAAACGGTGATGGCATTAGGCTATCAAGTAAAATACATTTCGTTACCTTCGTGTTTTGCCACCACATTTTACGTTTGATTTCACGTGTATGTTGTCTGAACTCTTTTGCAGCGTCATTCATTTTATCTAAATTCGAAAGCAAATTAGTCTCAAACACAACGGAAGCTTTCGTATTAAATATTGTTACCTGCTCGTTCTTCGGACTCATTTATTTTTTCTGCACGTTGCTGAAGTCTTTCGATATTTTGAACCATCTGTATTTTGACCTAAGTGAAAGCAAGTCCCTGTGGATTGATGAAGTCGATTATGCAACTAAAAGCTTACTGTGTTGAGATCGTCATGAATTTGATTGATTTGATTATGGTTGACTTGTGTTGGTACGCTGGTGTTTTCATGCGTTTGATTATACGCATAAGAGACATTGTACACAAACTCCGTAGACCTAAACAACAATTCTTGCGTATAAGTGAAGGAACAAAAAATCCGTGTTTCAAATGCGTATTCATTTACATGATCAATGACGTGGCCACGCGTTCTATGATGAAAGATTTTTAAAAAAAGAAAAAGTGATTGTTTACTTGAATCTTGAAAAAAGTAAATGTATAAGTAATTCATAAAGAAAGCGTTCTTTTCTTTAGGTTTGACTTTTATCGAAAATGTCTTGTTTTCACCTCCTATACTATAGATTGTACTGCTTCAAAAAGCTAGCGACAACTACTGGCATATTCTATGTATATAACGAAGTTGATGGGATCAAATGATCGAAAGAAAACGACTGAACTATTGATTAAGCATAGATGTGTATCATGAAACTGCAGTGACGTTTTTATCGCGCATTGGAGGCTTATACACGATGCATACTTGTCGATATGATGAATAATATATTGTATTTTATTTATGGATCATGACTATTGCGTTCCTATGTTATTCATAAGGGCAACCATTATGATATTGATGAACTGAAATAACTTTGAGGGCGAATATGTTGTTGTTTTTCTTCTCCTCGAAGGATCAACAGTATTAAACAAATAGTTTACGCTTATCTAAAAACCGTTGACAAATTTTCGATCGTTTTACCCTACTATCATGTAACATTTCCGGCTCCTTTGCATGCAAGTTTTACATGTGACTTAACTTGAAATATTTGGTACTATCGTGCTGCTATAATATAACTTTATCTTGTATACTGCTAATTAATCGTGCTTCAAATAACCGTCGTTCTTCATCGAATTTACCTTTCATATAATTAAATGATGAGTATTGCATTAATCGTTATTTTTAGCTGTAAACTTTAGTTCTGATAGATGAGCAGTTGCTTCTTATTTCGTCGTACGACGCAAGCAGAGCATTAAGATAATTGCCAGATCATCCTCAACAGTATATCTTCTTGAATGAATGCTGAGAGAACTGATCAAATTCCATTTTCGATTTATCGTCCCATGTATTATCATGCATATTGTATCACTTCTTGGATAGGTAATAATAGAAACATCGTCAGATTTGGCATGGTACGAGGAAGTAAATGAAAGAGTTCGCAAACTCCAATCAACTATTCGCCGTCTACTATTAATGAGTACACATGGCTTCATAACTCTCTCTCATCATTACAACCTCAAATGGGCCTTGACAATATGAATTCCGATTTCGTACTGAATTATATTCATCGTTGATGACAGTTGCGCCGTTTTCATAACAAAAATTCAGTTGATGCTATTTTGATTTCAATAGAAATACATAAAGTTCGTAACATGCAAGTGATTCATCGCACCATGACAGAAATGTATTGTTAAGATATCACAAACACAGAGGAAGTTCTCAGCGAGCATATTTATTGAAAAAGTATTGAATAGAAAATAATCGCATGCATTGATTAGAAAAGTTTTGATAAATATAGCTATAAGAAATATCATTCAGGCGAGACTTTAAGCTTATCTACCGTACCGATTATGGGTACGCCAACTATGTCCAAAAAACATTTGACGACTACAGTATCCCGCAGATCGGTAGGAATTGAAAGAATAACGACGACTACAATGACCAGAACAGCATTCACCGTCACTGCTGCAAGCACCAAAACTGCAGCCACGTTTACTAATGTATTTATCCAACCATTCTGAAAGACGATTTCGCTCGTCATCTCCTGAACTTGTGTCTTGCGCGTCGTCGGAGTCGTCTTNTTGATAGGTAAATGCTTGACGAATGAACGCAGTATAATTATTCGATGTGTAATCTTTCCATTCTGGTACATAAGATCGTTGATCTGCATGAAATTGATTGTAATCTTCTTCGCAGACAGACGATATTGCAGTTTGTTTCGGGCATAGCGTAGATTTAACTCTCAGCTGTCTCATTGTTGCCCATCCGATTAATCGATTTGATTTATCATCAATAAAACCGGTGAGATTTCGGGGTGGATCTCCATTGTACCACTCTTGTGCTCGGAGATTACCAATGAAACTGTTGTCCAACCAATTCCAGTATTGATCAATTGTTGAAATCTAAATCAATCATGCTTTACAATCAACAGTGTGTTCTGTTAGAAGACAAAACAAACTTTGGTGAAATCCAAATCCTCGTGCCTTGAATTGAGAAAATATTTTCGCAGATGATTGACTTGATAGAATGCACTTGTGTTCCGATTCGAATAGATGACCACGTAGAGGACTGAGATAAAGCATATGTATAGCGATATTTGTCGGATGACAGACCACATTTCGATTTCGTGTAAACGATATTCACGCGCCTCGAGAACTTCTGTTTTGTTCAAACGATCAACATGAATCATTGGTCGACGAGTTAGGGAAGAGTCCTTCTACAGAAATGGATTTCTGTTTATTCTTTCACTGAATTAGGAAACTATTTGAACATACTTCCATTGCGTGTAAATATTCTTCATCTGCTTCTAAGCCTATCTGAGTGTCATCTAGCAATTCGTTTGCCTCCGCATCATAATTTGACTTTCGACAAAAACACGCAAAGAAAATCGCCAGTGATATAATCTACAAAATAAATTTACAGTGTAATAGATTCTTAGAGCATGAAGGCTCTACCTTTAATGGTTGAGTGAGAAGAATTGAAGAGAAGAAACTACTGACAATGGAAACCAGCCACTTTTGAGTTTTTTCGTCACCAAATTCGATACCGCGAGCAATGATGAATATAATCGAAAGGCCAACAAAGATGATACACAATCCATAAGCAACAAAGATAAACCACCATGGAAGAGTGAATGGTGATTTCTTAGAGCGCGCTCTTCGACGACTCTTTTTTTCACTAGAAAAATAGATAAAGCACAGAAAAACATCGGCTATTGTCTGATGAGTTTTACTAACTTTTGTAGAGGCGCATTTACTTTAGACAGAGCTTGACGTATTGGCGACAGTTGCTTTCGACGAGGACGAAGGCGTCGAAATAATTGAACCAGAAGCAAACTCGGAATCAGTGCAAAGAATTCAACGACGATACCAATGATTATCTAAAGGTAAATACACAACAACATCGAGATTGAGAGATGAATTCAATGCACATACTTGTTGAGGAGTAATGTAAAGTGATCCAAACGATAAGTTACTTGTGTTCGTCGATTTAGCTAATTTTGCTTCGCTCGACAAGTCATAGTACATAATATTGAGAAACATCGAAACAAGCAATAGAACAAAACAGCATGTACATCGTTGCACACGAGTGAACTGACTCGATGGTGGACGAGAAAAGATCGAAAACCAAAGGTGACCATCAGACACACTGTGATAAGTTCGTTTTGTTAACACAAATGAGAACTGGTTCTTTTCTAGTTCACTTGCAACAGGTAGAGCACGTTCGATCTTCCCATCATCTTTCTCAACTGCAAACCATCGTTGACTGATGAAATGAAACTTTTGCATTGTTTGAAGATCACGAATGATGATATATTTGAGGAACCACGACGATGAGGAACCTTTACCACTGTTGTCGTGCCAAATGCGAATACAATTCAACTGTCCCAATGATTTGGGAACACTCATAAGGAATGCATCAACTCCACCTCGCTGCAAAACGCGACGATGAGGATCAGCCAATGTTCGAATGTGAGTATCATTCTCATCACCATGAATGACAAAATGTACATTCGATTTCGTTCCAGCATCTCGTCGTTGACCAGTGAACACAATCATTTGATAGAAATAGTCATCGTTCTTGTTATTATCGGGCAAGATTGTAACACCTAGTTTCTCCACGTCTTTCTTGTCGTAGTACCGCGCATAAATAGCCAGAAGTACATAGATCGCACAAACAAGAATCACTGTCAAATAGATGGTTTTGTTTTTCATAAAATCAGCATTAGCAAACACATAACTCCAGTTGACTGTTTCAGGTAGAATAGTAAATCCACCGGCGAATGTTGTCAGATGAGTAGAATAACACTGTGTTTGATCGTGATTGGTCAGCGGGCCAACGATGAGTCCATCTGATTGCCATTGTTGATTTGCATCGAGATAATAACAACAGGACGTATATATTCTCATTCGATAGTCTGAAGTGAAATTAATTGGGTAATCAGTGACGGGAGGAGCAGCAAGTGATGTGTTTGAACAGTGGTGAATGATCTCAGTGACATCGAGTTGTCGCAAGCCAAAAATAAGTGACTGGTGGCCTGCTGTTTGTTGATTATCGACATAGTATGTATAGACACTACTATTCGTGAAATTCTCGGGACAGAGAAGTGTCCATCCATCGATCTGTTTGACAGATGAACTCAGTTTTGGTATTTGATCGAATCTGTAGATGAACAAATAGGCTAAACTGATATCCAACGGTTGAATTTCCCAATGAACAGAAAATGGTAATACCGCTGTTAAATTCAAATAATGCAAATCAAAGATGAGATTGTTAGGCGTTGAATTAGTTGCTGTAACATTTTGCAAGATCATCGATGGTATGATAAGATTGGGATCGCGAGGAATGATGATCCCGATCGACTGATTGCTTGTTGTTTGAATTGAAATCTCATTCTGATTCTGATCGAGAACTGAGAACGAAATTGATCTAGAGAGATTTGTATTTGATGTTGACTTTGAATTTCCAAACGATGCTAATGGCTTCATCATAGACTAGAACGGGACATTTTCGAAAATGAAGATTCACAGTGATGAACTCACTTGAAGGGAAACCTTTTCATTTGTACCTAGATACTCAGTAAAATTGTTGGGAAGTTGAACTCGACCTTTTCCAATTGTTTGTTCGGATTTATTCAAAAATGATTGACTTGATTTTGTTTTCAATGACATTAAAACTTGTTGATTTCTAATGCTGAAATCTTGGCCAACGTTGAGATGAATAGTCAGTGATGATGTTATCAATGAAGTCAATTCATTCATTTGATTGTTGATTTGTATTGCTAAGTTTCTTTGATAATAAATGTTTCGATTCTTCTGTATTGTTTCCCAGGAAAAATCATCTCCATCAGCAAACAAATCTAAACATTTTATCACATTATTCATATCACGATGAATAATCAAATCTTACTTGGATTCGCCCAGTCCAGTTCAACGTTCGTATCATAATCGTCTGGAAGTTTTGTGGCTCGATATGAGTCTAAATTGAGAATGGTCGTCCGTTCTTGTAATGGCCCATTTACAGCCTAAATTCAAGGCAAATAGTTTCATTCGGTATTGACAATAATTTCTTTACACTGATGAGATTGGCAGAACATTGAAAGAGATTATTTACTGCGAGTTGGATATTTTCGTATGCAACACTTGTTCGCATCGAATTCAAAGCCAATGCCAACTGATAACATTGATTAGATGAAATTGTCTAGATTAGAAGTAATGTTTAAGAAAACAATATTCAGAACTCCTACAAAGATCTCACCAGAGCTGTTCGTGTCAATTCATTGGTGGCTTTTGTCAGTTGCGCTAATGTGGATGCTTGAAGTTCAATATTACTTAATGTCGTGATAGGAAGATTAGTCATGAATGCAATCAAATAATCTCGAGCCGTTGCCCGAGAATTCAGTTGTCTATTGAATTCATCTAATTGAGTTTGATTGGGTGCGACCGATGTTGTCTGTTGCTTATCATCAGAATAGAATGATGAAATGGCGATACCCGTCATTGGAATATTATCTAATAGAGAACAGTGTGAGTTATTTTGAGTTCTGTTAGATGAAAATATGTACTTGAAATCGCTTGCTCGAGACTTTCACTATTAATTTGATTGAATTGCTTGGAGACAGATGTTAACAGTTGACCGACAAAATTTTGATTTTTGCTTGCAAGCAATTGTATGATTGGGTTTGTTAAGATTGTCTCCGATGAATTTTGAATATCGCCTATCAGATTATTAATTGCTACCAAATCGGGAGCAACCGTAACCGATGAAATATTAAACTCGGCAATACAATTCAACTGATCGCGAACGTGAATAATCACAACAAGTGTGGATGTTTGATTGTCTCCAGCTGGCAGAAGAACATTGAATGTTGAAATTGAAGAATAAGCGATAGACATTCGCGTTAACGAATCATTCGCCCATGCTAGTAAAACAAAAAGAAAGACATTATTGTTTAAAAATACGTGATACATACCGTATACAGTATAATCTTTGATACCATTGTTATCTATCCAATCGAAACATGTAATGGTAAACACAGTGCTCGTTGTGCCTTCGGTAGGATTGATCGAACATGAACCGTCATAAGGTGATTCATTGATCATGAAATCTATTGCATTTGAACTCGTACTGCTGGTAAATTGATAAACAACTTCGAAACGCCAATACGTTTGTGTATTCGACAGAAATAGCTGATTTGTAGTTGTAAAGTTGCTTGTATCGTAACCTGAATTGACCAGAAAAGACTGTCGTTTTTTACTATAAAGAAACTTTTTCCATCTTACCGAAAAACCATGAATCATCGATGGCATTCGTCGAATCAAACGATGTCCACACGACGACGTTCGTCATCAAATCCATTTCACCCGTATAGACATTCCATGTAATGTTCTGAATTGCTGTACAATTGACAGTGCATGTCGAAAACAATGCTACTTGTGTTGTTGGATTAATAACTTGAAACTGAACATTCGGCTCACATAGTGTCAATATGACACAACTAAAAATCAAAACTTAATCTTCATTTAGAGTGAAAATGAACTTACCCGAGTAAGATTGTATATGGATAAATATTTTCGATTCGAATAAGAGCATAACCTGTAAGTGTAATCGATGAACTTGAACGATATGTCATTGTTACCATAAATTGGTATGTCCGATTGGGTAGGAGCGAGCCGGCAAGAATACTAAATGCTGAATTGAGAGAATTATCAAATGTCCATCCCGTTCGATTTGATAAACATGATGGACTCGATGAATCATTTCTCAAGTCATCGATTGTCAAAAATGATCCCGAGATGCTTGGAAATGCATACAAATTGTATATTCGACAATAATATTTGTAATTCCATTGCTATGTCATACACAATCTAGATGAAGAATTTCAATTCTTGAGAACGAAAACTTACAGTAGCGTCGAAGAGATCCTCATCGGGATCAATTGAATAATTTCCAGGATTTAATTGAAGATCTTGTAGGTAACTACGCGTTATCAATGACATTCCATATGGTATTAAATATGCAGTCTTAGTTGACGGGATTATTTGCACGTAGATATTTAACGATGCGGATAAGGTTGTCATTTGCGACATCGCTACAGTTAATGTAAATTTGTACAAACCATAGGGTAGACTTTTCGCTGGAATGTACAGTTCGCTTTGTTTGGTTACTATTGTCGGATTCGAAGGCATTCTATTTGAACAAGACGTAGTACAATTGATGATTGTCCATTGCGTAGTCATCGTCAGAGAACTGGCACAGTTCAAGCCTATTAAAGAAACTATCGTAAAATCTTGACTGCGACGGTATTGAACTGGCGATGCGATTGAGGTCGAGTTCGGTGTGAGTACTATTGTTGGTGCACGACATGCTACAAGATTATCGTGAAAATGCTATAAAAAGATCTGAAAAAGTTGTAGTTTTCTACATACCACAGGAGGCAGTTAATAAGTCGAATTTTTGAATGCGAATATTTTGAGAATCGACTACGAATAAGTTGCCATAACTGTCGAAGCTCATTGATTGAGGATTGGACAATTTATTGGCGGCTGAACCTGATGAATTCAAACATCCTACTACACATTGAAAACCATTTGGGCCAGATCGAACGATACGATTATTTCCACTATCAACAATGAATATGTAGTTATCACCATCAAGGAGGATCTCTGTCGGCCCGTTGAGCGTAATTGTATTATTAGAAGACCCGCTACCTGCTATGGTGATTCCACTGGACTTTCCAGGCTGAAAAAGTTGAATACGATGATTGGAATAGTCAGCGACATACAAGTTCGAACTGTCATCAACGAAAATTCCACGTGGAGAGAAAAGTTTATCCGGCGTAGAACCACTAACACCTGTGCCGGCAGCAATGGTCGTCGTATTTGAACTATCACTCAACAACTTTTTGACAACTTGATGATGTTGAGCCATGGAACAATAAATCATATTGCTAGTATCTACGAATAGCCCATCGCATGGAGCAGGAACGTACATGACAGGCGTGCTCGCATTTGAATTCAATGTTTGTTTATCGACTCGTCCATTGATTGCTCCATTATCGATATAGATATAACCATTGGACGTCGAAAAAATTGAATGTGGAGAAGCTAAACCACTGTAAATAGATCGCATTGCACTGCTCATACCATTGATCCATATGTCAGTTCGATTATTTGCATAATCAGCAACATAAACAGTGTTGTTCTTGTCGATATATATTCCACGTGAATTGAATCCGATCGTGGTTCTATCAGCAAAAGTATTTGCATCTGGATTCCACATAGCGTTTGCACAAAACTTTGGTTGGTTGTATGAAGTTACTAAGATTTAGAAAGGAAGAATGTAAGGACTAGTTGAACAGTCTTTTGTTATTACACATACCAAGATTTTCATTTAACAAAAGAATTTTTTGAATTCTAAAGTTGCTATAATCAGCAACGAAAATGTTCCCATCGCTATCAAAACCGATTGTGCCGGGCTGGTTGAATTGATTCGATGCTACGCCTGGTATATTAGAACATCCGGCTATACAACGAAAGCCATTGGGTCCTGATCCAATAATACGATTGTTATTGCAATCGGCGATGAATAGATAATTGCTACCATCGAGAATTACTCCAGTTGGCTTGTTTAATGTAATTGTGTTGCCGATAGAGCCATTTCCTGCTACTGTCGTTCCATTTAACTGGTTTAGTTGATAGAATTGTATACGATCATTTGATGAATCAGCCACATACAAATTTAAATCAGCATCGACAAAGATTCCATACGGCTCATTAAGCATATTTGAAGCAGAGCCATTCACACCTGTGCCAGCGGCTATTATCGTATTAGAAGTATTGTCTACTCGCTTTTTAATAACCTGATGTTGATTACTCATTGAACAATACAGCGTATTCGTGATATCAACAAACAAACCAGTGCATGTATCATTCGTGGACATAATCGAAACACTAGTGTTGGTATTAACGGACCACTTCAACACTTCACTACTGGAACTTCCGTTGCCCATAAATATGTCGCCATTTATGGTCACAAATATCGAAGTGTGAAGTACGAAACCCATGAGATGAATTTGCGTTAGACTGGCACCATTGCTCGAGAAAAGAAAAATTCGCCCACTTGCTCGATCAGCAATGTAAAGTGTATTATTTACAGTGACGAAGATACCACTGACATTTCCGCTAATAGTACCACTATCAGCAATAGTTATTGCATTTGGATTCCATGTTGTTGACACATTCAAGTTCGGTTGGTTATAAGATGGAACTACAGAAGAACCTATAAGATATAATTTTTTTCATCGACAAAGAAACAAATCATGTCACATAAGTTATTGTATTACTTACCAATATTAGTGGTTAATAAGGTAAACTTTTGAACTCGCTGATTTTCAGAATCTATAACGAACATATTTCCGTCGCTATCGAAACTAAGAGTTCGCGGTCGATTTAATTGATCTGCGTTTCTGCCAGACTTTCCCGAACATCCAGCTACACATCGAAAACCAGTTGAACTCTGTGCAACAATACGATGGTTGTCGGAGTCAACAATAAACATTAAGTTGTCAATATCAAGAACAACACAAGTTGGAGTACGAAGCGCATATGTCCCAGTTAACGCAGGTCCTGCAGCTGTAGCTCCGTTGGACTGTCCTGGTGAAAACGTCTGAATCCGATTGTTTAGAGAATCTGCGACATATAAAACCAAACTATCGTCGACAAAGATTCCACGAGGTTCATTCAACATATTTGAACTACTTCCCTTACAACCACTGCCGGCAATAACAGTTGCTACGCTAGAGTTATCATCCAACAGTTTTGCAATAACTTGATGTTGATTACGTAGTGAACAGTAAATCATACCACGAATATCAATAAACAGGCCGTAGCAAGCATCATTAACATACATGGCGGAAGTTGAAACAGTTGTGGCCCATGTCCATCTACTTACCTGATTCCCTCCTCGACTGTTGTCAATAAAGATCTCGCCGTCCGTTGATACGAAAAGAGAGTAGGGGTTAGTTAGTGCAGGAAAAAATCCCGACATCCAACTCGCACCACCTGGTAACCATATAAAGACTTTGCTTTTGTCACGATTTGCCAGATAAACTGTATTATTAGTAGTTATAAATATACCATTTGGAGATTTACCAACTTGACCGGTAGTCGCGAATGTTTCTGCTTTGGAGTTCCATGATGATAATTCACTAAATTTCGGTCGATTGTAAGATCGGACTAGTATGAGAGAAACGAAAAAGAAACATTTCCATACGCTTGCTTTAAATAATCAGTACCTATTGTTACTACAGTTGTTTGATCCGAAGTCGACATACTGCTAGTTGTCGTCGTGGATAACACTATACAGATAACATTGATTCGGTGTTTGTTTCAAAATAAATCAAAACGGTTCTCTTACTATTATTTGTAGTGTACGTGCTACTAGTGTCTAAAGGAGCCGATTATCTGTAGACATGGCATTGCAAAAATTGTTTTAATAAACTTACTGCATAATTTTGTACTTAAACTGTACTTTTTGATTCGAGAAGAACCGCTTTCAAGAACATACATATTTCCACGACTATCGAAAGTTAGTCTTCGCGACGAATGAAACGCATGTCCAATTGGCCCTTTTAGAACCTCACAATTGGCTATACAGAAGAAACCATAGGGCCCAGATCCGATAAGACGATCGTCATTAAATTCGACAATATAAAGATAATTATCCGCATCCAGTGCAACATCGACTGGGCAACTCAGTGCTATCGTAACTTGTGCTGATGTACTTCCTGCCACTGTATTTGCATTTATTTGGCCAAACTGAAAAAGTTGTATTCGATTATTGGAGCAATCGGCGACATATAAGCTACTATTATTATCAAGAGTAATGCCAAACGGTCTATTAAGTGTATTCGAACCTCCACCGGGAACACCTATACCAGCAGCTATTGTGAATATGCTTGAGCTGTCGTTTAAGAATTTTCTGATAACTTTGTGACTGTCTGTTATCGAACAATAAATGTTGTCGTACATGTCGATAAAGATGTCAAAACATTCGCCGCATGTATCCAATATTTGAGTGAAACTTGGTGGAGTTGATACAGATTTACCAATTTGGCTTCCTGGATCACCTGTGCCAACGTAAATCTCATTAGACGTTGCTGCAAAGACGCTAATTGGATTGGCTCCTGCATTTTGAATAGTTTTGATACTTATACTGCCTGTTTGATATATATTAAAAAACGGACTAGACGGTTGTGAAACCACATACATTGTATCGTTTGTATCGATAAAAATATCGGATAACTTCGATCCCAGTGGTCCAATACTAAATGTCCAAGCAACAATCGGTCCATTTGCATCCCATGATGCACTATAACAAAACTTTGGCCGATTGTAAGAAAGTGCTAGAAATATTGTTACATAATTGACGATCTAAATTTCGTGATCACTTACTTGAGACTTGTCCGATGATCCCTAAGATGATCATCAATTTCAAACCGTAGATCAATCTCATTTTTGAACAAATGAGATTCTCGTTTGCCTTAATTTTGTATGTATGTAGCGTGAAGGCTCAGTGCGAAACAAAATTGACGTACTGGAAAGAGTTTTAAAAAAGCAATTGACTGGTAGATAAACAATTACTCCTACTTTTATAAGCTTCTCTCTCGCATCTATATGTATTTAGTTGTCCATCTTTGGTGTGAAAATCAAACGTTCAAAGATTTCTCTCTCTCTCCCTTTCAGTTTAATGTTGTCCGAGAAGAGTTATCAAAAAACGGAAAAAATTGCTTTATTTATCAATATTTATCAAATAGAATAAACTTTTATCGAAAGCAAATATAATTTATTTTCAATTGTTAAAAGCAAATAAACCATTGACGTCAATCGATACCCGTGCTTTGTTTGATTTTTCTTCGCTTCATTATTTTCCCATTTATTTTAATACAATCGATTTACGGCGAAAAAGAAGAGAAATTATTATTTGAATAAAAAATTTGAAGTTAAATATAAGAGCTGGTAATTATACAAACACTCACAACAATAAAATCACCTGGCACAGTGACCAAGCAACAAATTCAACGTTTCTCTTCCTCGAAGTTTTATCAATAAAAATGCACCGTCTTCATCAAGAAAACGTTTTCCTACAAGAAAAAATAAAAGAACAGCTCCATTTTCTAATGCCACGTGTTCTTTTTCCTATTGACGACAGAGATTACACATAAAAACACACATGCGTGTATGTGTTGAAATGTGTTTATAACGACGACAACATTCTTTTTCTATCGCTGGAACTTATAACATACGAAAAACAAAGAACGAATGTAACTTACTCTTTTGTTTTTCGTTTGAAACGTTGTTTTCAACAAGAGAACATGAAAGCAAATTCGCATACGCAAAAGTTACAAAGTATTATACAAAGAAATTCTCGTATTCGTGATATGGTACAAAAGAATGTCAACGAATTTCTTAGTTTACGCGAAGCACTTCTGACAAATTCGAGAATAAAAGAGCTGACGTCATTTCGCAAGGTATTATTTCCATTCATCGAAGGACCACGTATCGAACAGTTGAACGTTCGTATTACTTCAGATAGAGTTCACTTAGCATTTTGCGGTGAAAATTCAAGTGGTAAAACGGCATTTTTGCATCGATTTTTAGATATTGGCAAGATTCTACCGTCGGGTGACGGTCCTGTAACAGCACGAATCACTAAGTTAACATACGCTCCGAGTGATCAGGCATGTATTCGAATTCGAAAGTCACTCCGAGATCAGATCCTTGCTGAAGATGAAATAAAACTTGCAGAATTTTTTACAAGCGAAAAACCTAATTGGATGGGTGTTGCTCGTAGTTTATCGAAATATGTTAAACGTCCTGAAAACATGGATGATAAATCAGAAGAATTCGCCGAGTGGGCTCGACACTTCGTCGAAGTTCATATTCCATCACCAATTCTTGCCTTGGGAATCGATGTGTACGATACACCTGGTTTTCTTCTCGATGATGCTCCCGTATTAAAAGTTATTCTACACGATTTAGTCGAATTAATTCATCCAACTATTATCTTCATGTACGCTAATCCTACTACTGACGATACAACAAGAGATTGTTTTCTTGCAATGAAAACGGCTCTTGATGACTTGGACACGGCAAGCATCTTTTTTCTCAGCACCAAAGCTGATATAAATCAAATGTTAAAATTCAAGCAAGGCATGAACTTGGACGATTTTAGTTCGATATTGGGCGAGGAACGATCTCGAAGATATGAATTGTTGCTCAACGCACCGTTTCTTGCTAATGATCAGTTGGAAGGACTACCGAAATCCGTTGACGAATGCAACGGTTTTGATCTGTTTAGTGTTAATTCGTACATCATGAAACCATACGGCCCATTTATGAATGAAAGAACAATTCAACGGATTATTCAATTTGTAGCGAACAATGACTTGACAATCGCGACACGTATCTGCAAATTGATATTACCGATCATCGATGCTTTTTTTAGTCTACTTCGAATCACGGGTTATCAAACCTCAGAGCGTTTGTTACAATTACAATATGATGCTTTAAACTGGGAAAGAAATTTCTTCGAAGCGTATACTATGTTTACCGATTACGGTTTGAAGACACTGTTTAGTGGCGTTTTTGAACGGTTTTCTCAAGAAGAAGAGACAATCGTCAATACACTCGCTCATAGTGCTACACCTCCATATTTTCTTAAGAGGACGATTCGAACAGCTGTGCGTCATCAAATTCTCAAACCAGCCATACGAGATACGATAAAAAGGTTCATGAGATACGTGCTCGAACACATCGCTTCGAACAGTGATCTAACACGAAGCGCAACGTTCAATGAAATTCTAGTTACTGCATTGGGTGCACAAGAAATGAGTGACTTCGCAACCATGTTATTAGGTGACCATCATATTAAAAACTCTGCCACTCCAGCAATAGTATATATGATGAATACAATATCGACACCAATGATGCAATGTGCGCAGGAGATGTTGGATTTCGATTTCTTTATAAAAAGCGAAGATAAAAATAGCGAAGAAGATATGAAGATTTTTGTGCGCAGATATATGTTGGACATGCAAACAATGATTGAGGAGAAACGAAGTACAATGCGACAAGCAATCAAACTATGGGGCGATCATCAAGAAGGAATCATCCGATCTTTGATTGATGTTCACTATCAAACTACATCGCCATTATTACTGTCCGATCAGATAACGTTGAATTCTTTAGAAGTGTATGTTAAACATTTCGTTGTTATCGAATGTAGACTTCGAGCAGCCCAGGATATGGCGAAATTTTACGATAGTTTTCCAAAAATTTATAATGAAACTTCCCAGACATTCGTGTTTTGCCTGTTGACCGCTGACTGGAATGAAGAGAAAAACTTGATTATTAAAAAGCTTGCTCAACCGATAGCGGACCAGCCATACGCAGCCTATTACGAAGCATATTATCATTTAACCGTCGGCAAAGTCAATCATCAAAATATAGTGAATATTCGTTATTTGTATGAACATCAAATTGATAATGAAACTTCGGAATTGTGGATTATCTTTCCGCCGATGTTACCTAGTCTGGAAACATTTCTGCAGCAAACATCGAATTCCATTCCCCTGCAGAGAATTCTTCGATGGATGATTAACCTTACCGATGCATTAATCGTATTGCATGAAAATGGATTTGTACATCGAAACATTACATTAAGTAATCTTCTTTTAACTGACGATGATCAGGTCATGTTAACTGATTTGGGTAATTGGAATGAGCCGGGTGATATTAGTTTACATCATCAGCCGGCAGCAACCGCCGGTGGAATGAATGATGATATGAAAAGCTTTGGAGTACTTGGAGGAATACTCTCTACTCGAATTGTTCGTGATGAAGAAATAGGAGCAATTATATCAGAATTCGATGAGCTTTTGATCAAATGTCAACAAGCTACCCAAGAGAGACCAATAACAGCACAATTTACTTATAATAAACTTAAATTTCTATTGGATATGTTTTAATTCTTCATTGAAACTTGATTTTGTTTTGTTTTTTAGATGAATGTAAACGACGATGACGAAGTAAAAACGGCACTAGCCTGTGCACATCAATTAAAAAACGATATTTGTCGAAGTGCAGAAAAATTTAAACGATTACGTTCGAAATTCTTACCCGTTCTTCAAGAGATTGATAGGTCTCATGTTAGTGGTTCTAAAAATGAATCACCAACAACAAATAGTGACACAACCATCGATAATTGCTTCCTACAGGTATCGGACAGTATTATCGACGAACATAACAATACAAATCGACCATCTTTAGTTGTCTTTGGATCGAATTCGTGCGGAAAAACAGCGTTTATTCAACGTTTTCTTGGCATAGGAAGAATATTACCGTCAGACATCGGATCAATCACAGCACGCATAGTTCAGTTAACATATGCAGAAGGTGGCCAAGCTCGTTGTCGTGTTTATGATACAAATGAAAAAACACATCTCCTCATTGACGATGATCTATCGTCATTTTTTACCGAACCGGATAATTACGATTGGGAGGGTCTGACGAACAAAATTTTAGTTCATGTTAAACGTCCAGATAACATTAAGGAAGAAACGCCTGAATTTACCGAATGGGCCAGATACTTCGTGGAAATTTCACTTCCTTCAAAAGTTCTCGCATTAGGTATTGACGTTTATGATACACCGGGATTTCTTTCCAGTAATCGCGAGCAAGTTCTAACTGATAATTTGCACGAATTAGTCAAACGTATTAAACCAACGTTAGTTTTTCTGTACGACAATGCGACAATCGGTGATACTGATAAAAGCTGCTTTTTGGCCATGAAACATGCCCTCGGCTCGATGGAACGTGTTTCTGTGTTCTTTTTAAATACAAAAGCTGATTGTATATCGATTGCGAATGATTATGGTCTTGATGACGATCCAGAGAACGTTACCGAGAACCTTTTTCAAGAAGCACTTCTTGAAAAACGACAGAAATGTTACGAACTGCTTCTTCGACGACGCGAAATGGCAAGCGAAGTACTTGGTCGTTTACCAAATTCTGTCACTGAATGCACGTGTTTCGACATATGCACTGTACCAAGAGATTTTGATCCCTGGCAAACATACACTGATACAATTAACACAGGTACCTTCCGACGCATTGTTAAGTTCACCGCCGAAGCTTATTCAATGCCTACATTGGCATTGGCGCGCGATGTATTGGCAATAGTAAATGATTATTTCGATTTAGTGAAATCATTTACAGTTCGAACGTCGACTCAACTTGATGCTTTGCGTCAAGAATCGCTAGAGTGGAGCAAGAAATTCTTTGACGAATACGAAAACTTATTACCATCTCTAATCGATGCTTTAATGGCGAATATCGAGAGATTATTTCAAGAACTCAAAGGACAAATAGTAACTCAAGCCACATTGATTACACGGACTGGCGATCGAATCGATGCACTGCTACAAGACAAATCGAAACGTATACAAGATTACATCAGATTAGCCGTCCAAGAGCAAATTATCAAAGTAGCAGCAAATGATGTCATCATTTCCAAACGAGATGAAGTTATGTCCTTAATCGTTGATCATTTTCAACGTCCAAAGGGTCAACGGAGAAATGAATTGTTGACACGTGCTCAACAGCATGTTTTAAGTGATCTATCTGCGGAAATATTAGAAAAAACAACTTTATTCAACTTGTTTCTCAATGGTCTGATCACAATACCACTGGTGTGCACACGTTTTTTCCGTAGTTTACCTACACGCTTTAGTACATACCGCAAGGAAATATATAATCGATTCGTTGATACCCAGATCCAGAAAGGCGATAACAATGACGACGTCTATAAACTGCTCGACGCCATGGATACTTATTCTACCTTATCGAATGAAGCAGGACGTCGTACACTTGCAGAGCGTTATCTAGCAGAATTATCCGATAAAATTAAGAGGCAAAAAGACATATTTAATTATAATTTACAATTATGGATAAGTAATCAGAAAGAATCATTCAATAAGAATATCGAAGCCAATTATAACTATATTAAAAATCATCTTTCAGATCAACGAGAATGTTACAATAAGCTTTCGAACTTTTTCAGTTCATTCGCAAAGATCGAATGTCAATTGTTAGCAGCCATCGAACTCCATAAACGTGACGGCATTCGCCCTATTCTTGGCGAAGAACTAGGACGAGGTGGTTTCTACACTGTTTATACAGCACAATGGCATAACGATGACAAACTAGCTGTGAAAAAGTTACTTGGTGCAACAGCTAGCAACAATAGCATCGTAGCCATTGAAGCGCATGTACATCGAGTCGTCACTCTTCTCTCTATTGACCACGTTGTTCCACTACTTTATACGTATGAAAATATCGTGGATAATGCTCAACGAGAGCTATGGCTAATAATGCCTAGATATGCCATGTCATTGCAACAATATCTGATTAAAAATATGAATAATCTTGATTTCGTTCGCGTTGTTAGTTTTGCTCTTACGATTGCGACTACTCTCGCAGAACTTCATCGTCTTGAGATTGTTCATCGAGATCTGAAAGCAAGCAATGTGATGCTTAATGGCGATGATCAATGCTATCTGATCGATTTTGGCACAGCCAAATTTGGTTTAACTAGTGCTACTGTTTTAGGCACTGCACCACTATCACCCGAGATGATTGCCACACTTTCAACTCAAGATGTCAGCTGTACAACATACGATGGTGCTGCAGCTGATATCTACTCGTTCGGAGCTCTTCTGTATGAAATGCTACCCAAACCCCATTATGAGCGGCTCGACAATCAAAGAGTTTCACAATTAAAGCAACTATTACGTTTGAACCCGAAATCTGATGTATATACAGAACCTTACGAAAAACTCATTTGCCGATGTCTTAGTCAAAGCCCAGAAGATCGGCCAACTGCAATAGGATTAGTATCGGATCTGAAAGATATCCAAGCGAAAACAGAAATCAAGCCGTGCATGGTATGTGAAGAACGACTTCGTAGTATACGTGTTCAACCTTGTGGACACAAATCATCATGTGCACAATGTTGGGAGACATGGTCGAGAACGTCAGTGGGGAACGTAAGGTGTATCATCTGTAAAAAGCTTGTTGCACATCATACACAGGATGATATCAACGCTACATACGCCAGTAGTCAACAGAATGCAGCAAATAATGGCACATTTTAGTGTAACTTTGAATCTTCTTTATTACATTTTACTGTTTTCTTTGGCAGATTATTTTATGATTTTTTCATGTTAATAGCAAAATAAGGCATACAAGTCAATAAATGTAATTAGATACGTATTTAGAGAACGAGTGTGAACAGCCAGCTTTGTTGACTGATCTTTGCATCATCGATAATACTAATACTCGATGTTTGATATATAGATAACACACGCTGCCAAGCTGATCGTGGCGAAATACTATATACGTTATTTTCCAAGGTTACCAAGAACCCATTCTTGATTTGCAGCACCCGTCCATTTATCCGGTTGGACAGGTGCATTTTGTATAGTTGCATTGTTGACACTGAGAGCGCGATCAATTTCGTTGTGTGTATGTAATCGATAAGTGCCGTCACTAAGCTATGTCACAGCCCATTTTTGATTTAGTCCATCACAATTTCCGGTGAAAAGCTTCACACTTGTCGTCGATCCGTTGTTAAGAGTGCCGAGATATTTATCAAGTTGAGTTTTGGATGTTAAACGATAAACACCATCGTGAATAACCCGAGCCAATTCTTCTTGTGCTTGAAAGTAGGAGGGTTTAGGTTGATAATTGATGTTCAATAATAGAGCATCATCTTTTGTATAATTCAAAGCTGCAGGTAGTCAGCTATAACGATCAGTAAAACCTCAAGTACCGAAAATGGGCGAGTGCGACGAAAAATGAAGAGCGTACTGTAGAATAGACCGAAAGAAAGTAGCTTGCCTTTCTAAATCATCTGAATTGGCAGGAGCTTCATCGTGCATTGGAACTGCTATGTCTAATTCTGTGACTATAAAATTGACTTTTTCGTTAATAAACCGTTGTGCTATTTGATAATGTATGTCTCCCGGAGCTACAACAACTGTCGAAACATTGATATACCATTGTATACCGAATCCATGAATAAGCACTCTCCGACTTCAACCAACGAACAACTTCGATGAATTTTTCCGATTTTTATCCTCCTGCTTCGATACAATATTCATTGTAATACAGTTGTGAATTCGAGTCGGATTTGTGAGCAAACTGAAAAGCATATGTAACATAATCCATGCATAACTTTCGATACCGTAACGAATTTTGCACATGAAATGGTCGATTATTACTATAATCTGAAATTAATTCATTGATGACATCCCACCAAAGAAACTTTCCTCGATATCGCCTAACGAAAGCATGACTATAATATCTCAGTAAGATTTTTGCTTGATCAACAGTCATCGATGCTTCTTGTTCAAGTAACAATTTTGGTGTTCTCATATCATACGCCCAAATCAAAGTGTTGTCTCTTAGTTATATTCCATTCCTTTGCGCTCAACCCATTGTGTCAGGTGTAGCACCTAGAAGCCAATCAACATCCGTAAAATTATAGATATTTCTAGGACGCCATATGTGTCCCGGTTTCATTTCAACATCAGGCACGACTACATCGTAGTTATTCACTAAATTGGAAATGTACTGACCTTTATCTACATTGAAACGCAAGTGTTTAACCAAAGTGATCGATCCCAGAAGAAGTCCACGTTTTGCAGCCGATACTTTCAATTCAATTGGGTCTTGCGCTCCATGAACACTGAGATTACTCAGTGCGAACAATACTAGTAACACAATCTTTTTATCTTTCATCTAAGTCTAATGCGATATACTTTATACAACCTTTAGTAGATAGACTGTAGGAATATTTATTCATATGGTATGTGCTTATAAACTTTGCTAAATAAGTTTCTCGCTGTTAATCGAAACGATTTTGATACACAACTATAAATCCAGAATGAAAGACTGTTATTGATGTAAATTAAAAACGTGCCATTAAAAGACGTACTAAACGATTCAATCAATTGTTGGTCGGTAGTTTTTGGTATTGATTGAGCAGCTGATTGATATAGAAGATTGATTACAAATGGTCCTATTGCCACAATATACCATATGATCTCAACCAGTAACATTCTAACCATATCCCGATCACGCCTATGAATAGGTGGCATGGTTAGACCAATTATTCCGCCCGGACAAACACGAGCACGCACATTTCAAAAATTTTTTAGCATCAAGAATCCAAACACAGTCATGCATATCAGTGGTATAATACCGACAAGAATTGTCATATATAACGATACAATGACTGTGGGTAAACCTTTTCCCGCGCCACAGTGACCGTTTTCAAGCGACGTCAATGTATATGGTCATATAGCCAATAAAAGTCAAAAGACTGGAATACCAATGACAATAGGACTTGCTATTTGAAATCGACTGAAAGATCTTGTGCGTTTGCTTTTGCTTGATATAGCATAACGATCAATACACGCACAGATAAAGTATGTGCGCATCATATGATTGAACGAATGTCGGAAATAGAATTGCAATTCGCAAGATTGAACAGATGTGGTGGATGAATTGGCATGATCTAGTGCATAGATAACAGGTATTGTTGAGATATTCAAGCCAATCAAACCAGTTAGTGATGCTGCGAACATATAAATTGAACAGGGATTTCAACGACAGACTGGTCGGAAAAAAATCAGCATATTGAATGCTAGACCAATGTTACCAATAATAGTATAAGTTGTCATTCCATAACGTGTCAAATGTCGTTGTAGCAAAGATAAACACACAGCTAATGACATATTTAAGACTACCTAATACATCGAGCGACGTTCGTCAGAGGTAGTAAATTAGTATAACGAATATTTATCGCAGCCACTTCTTTTCAGCTGTGTATCACCTAGAAGTCTGTTGAGTAAAATGGTCTCGAGATTATACGTTCACTCGGAAATTTGTCGAGTATAATGATTAAGAACGCGCACAATTGCCTGCTTGTTTCTCTGGCACAGTATGCACCAGGTCAAGTCAGAAGAAAGTCCCTTTATCCGGCACACATAAACAGATATCATGTGATGCTATTTTTCATTTTAGCTTAGTGATATATCAATGTTATGGAAAGTAACAGGATATCATTTAGTTCAGCAAATTTATCCGGCAGTAATGAGCGAACTGTGTAATTATCTGTAAAGAGCCTTGGTTCTTTCCGTAATGTAACCGAACAATATATCGTATAGGATAGAAATGTCTAGAGCTAATGACATATTGATGTGCTCTCAACCTTCAAGGAGTTATACTTGCGTGAAAAAGTGAGATTCAGCTAGTAAAAACTTACATTCATAGACATAATTACTCTGTTCACTCACTGCAGTGAAATAGATTCAGAGACTCGATCAAACGACTCTGTTGAGATACTTAACCCAATTCGGGTAATCACCAATCACATGATTCATCGCTGTTCTGATACTCTCCTTTGTCAGCATGAAGCTTTATTCTAATTAGCAATTTAATTACAACGACATCGAAAGTATACATGTAAATCGAAATCATTGATTATTCATCAGTATACAGAAAATATTTCATTAACATGTGAACAATTTTAAACTGAACGACTTTTCAATGCAACTTTCTTGAGAATCCTAAATATAACGTAATACCTATCAGTATAACTAGAATACTATACCAGAAGTAAGCACGATTTCTCGAATTCATACCATTCATGGATTGTATAAAGTTTCGTAATCGTGCATGATTTTCTATCGGTCTACTCATTAAAAGTCCTTTCTTTTGAAAAATTGATCCGCCACTCCTGATAACGGGATGGTGAGATTCGCTTTTCTTAGCTAAAGCTGATTTCTTCTGAACAGCTTTCCAGCTCTCGAGAAATTCCTTGTCCTTTCCCATTTGACCAAGCACCATGTTCTCCTTGAACAAACGTGTACTACGTACTTGACAACATACAAATCCGGCGGATACGATTTTAATGTTCGCCGCTTTCGTAGCAATACCAGTTACAAACACGTCCTCTAACCATAATTTTGGTGTTGTAGTATTACTAATCAAAGCCGATGATAATACAGATAATACATCCGACGGAATCAAATAGCTCCATCCATAGCAGAACTCGGGAAATCTTTCTTCTAACCATACTGACTGCGGAATGTACCATTTGCTCTGAATTTCTCTATGCACCTGACGTACGCCTTTCTTACAGAAAATATTCAAGTTTAACACGTCTTTCTTATTATTGTAAAATCGTATAATATTCCGTATGTTGATGATAGCATCATCATCAACATATAGAAGCCATCGACTCGAGCAATGTACGCTAGCCCAAGTCACTGTAAAGATTGACTTTAAAGTTAAATTATAATAATCATCGACAAACTTTCCTATAATCAAATCATGATAGTTTCTATTTTCGGCAAGAAGCTTTTCGAGTAATTCTTCATCATTGGTTGATCCTAACATAAACACGTATGGAATTCGGTAGCGTATTACTTCAGGTAACCATGTCTGTCGAACTAGTTGTCGTTGATTAAGATTGTTTACTGCTGACTTAATTGCAATAAATAATTGACTCGCAGCATACTGAGAATCTTCACATAGACTCAATTGATGCAAAACAACATAGTTTATCTCCATGATCTCAGCAGGCGTATGTACATGCACGTAACTTGGTAAAACAGCAGAGTTTTGTTGAATGCGAATAATCAGCCAGATCAAAATCAATATACGATTGAACATATTTGATATTCGAAGTGTATTTTCTTGTGACTTAATCAATAGTTTTACACTTTTAAATATTTGTACTGTTCAGAAAATAAATGTGTGCTAGAAAAGACTACCTCTTTTTCATTCAGCAATACAGAATTCGTCAATAAATAATAAACTCGACATCACCAAAACAGAACGACACAATTTCATCACGTGTAAAAAAATGCGAAACATTAAAAAATAATTCTTCGCTTTTGTTATTAGTTCATTCTATTACACGATTGTTGAAATAGTATCTCTAACTTGTATTGCGTAGTTTTCAGTTAGGAATACGTGAAATTGAAGTACCCATCGAGCCCAAGAACTTTGCATCCTCACCCGGATTCGACACAATATGAAAAAAACATGAAGTATTTTTGCATGAATCACTAAATAATACTTACGATGAGATGAGAATGATACGGTGGATAGTCCTAAGTGGAAGATGTCAAAATCGACAAGATTCAGTAAATGATGCACGCCATCTTTTCATTTATTCAAGAATAAATCTTATATTTAATTGGTGGAAGTAAATTAGCTCTCAACCTCTGCTCTTTCGAAATGCGTAGTTGACTTTCTCTAATCGTGACCTAGCGCATGCTTTTGCGAGTTTATTCCCATGTAGATAATTCAAAGCAAAAGAGACGAGAATGCTTACTTCTGTATCACATAATAATCAAATCAACCCATCACCAAAAAGAACAGCGACAATGGTTTATTCATGCATTTACACAATATGCCTTTCAATTTGTTGCTTTTTTCTATTCATCTTGGGATTTTCTCTTGTTTACATGGGAGTGTATGACCATCTCAATAGATTGATGGGGGCTTTGCCCTTTGTCATAGGTTTTACTGTAATAGCTGCTGCTATTTTTTTCTGCGTACAATCACGACGTACATTGAGACTTTCTTCATTATCGACACATCGCAGCTGTGAGCAGTTTCAGGTGAAAGAAGTTCATTTTCATATTCACGTTTTCCTATGTTTATTCATGTAGAGGTCAAGCGAACATGATAGAGACGACAACCAACGGTTGGTTTGATTTTTTCTGTTGTTTTGTTTACAAGAATTTTTTCTACATTTTTTCTAGGGTTACAGAAAATCATATCATCGATTTACCATCTTATAAAGAATTGTTTTCTTCTCGATCCAACGGTTTTCTTCCATCATCGATCACGCAACTACCTTCTTACGATGAATTTATGAAAAGATCTGACAGCCGTTGTTGAATACAATAAGTTCCACCTCTATCAAAATATGGATGGACAACTAATTCAAATGAATGAAAATGTGAAAGAGTGTTTCAAAACCAAATATCGGCGTAATCCTCGCGAGATGGAAGGTTAATTCCATATGAATACCAAAGATTATTATAGCTGAGTTTCCGTTCGATTAACTCGACGAATTCATCGTACATATATCTTTTATTTGGATTTGCTGTAATGTCTTTCTTGAAAATAATCCAGTGTAGATTTCTCAGTTGTGGACAATACTCTTGTATATCACTGATCACTGATATAGGTGATATTTCATTACCAAGACTGGTATAATATAACTTCAAGTGCCTCAAGTATGGCATAAGTTTGCCAATATGAACGAAGAATGTTGAATACAAACCATAGTCACCACATTCTAATGAGATGATGTTTTTCAATGATTTTCCGCATAATTCAAATATTTCTCGAAGTTCTTTCGGCTGATTATTACTTAAGCAGAGATATCTTAAATGTGGCGATAGTAGAATAAGTGAATGAAGTAGTTTTCTTTTTGTAGAAGTTCCAAGACAATAGCCAGTTAGTTTCTGTAGTTTCAACAGTGGGAATGGAAACGCAATTGATGAGCTGAAGTCTGAATTGATGAAAACAGTGTGTGCATTATATAGGAATCGCAGCGACGCTTGATTGAAGACATATGCTTTAGAATAATGATGTGGAAATGTATTTCCAGTAAAACTACTTGGACAGATCGTGGTATGGAGAAAATAGGTGCCATCGGGTAGATGTTGAATATTCTCGAAACCATCGCATGGTTTAACGGGGTAATCTGTATGGATTAAGTACTGAAACGATGTGAGAGATTTCAGTTGTTTTAGTTCATTTAGATCGACAGGTAACAATTCCTTTCTAGGCATTGCTAACGACATGATCAGTACGAATGAACTTAGATGAGAATGTAACCGATGACAGAGATCGGAGAAGAATTTGAATACGTCACGAAGTTGACATTCACATAGTAGTTTAGTGTACGATGTACTGAGTTCGATATGTAATTTCTGAACTGATGAGATATTGTTATTGTCGTTCATCATATCGGAAATCTCAGTAGGAATCCGAACATTGCGTACAGATAGGTAGATTTCTTGAATTTGCTGTGTGATTCTCACTAGATGAGTCAGTTCACTCAGATCGATCAGATTCATTTTGATGACTCTCAAATTCGGCAACTGTGTGGCAAATTGATTGTTGCATTGGATCTTTGGTGTTGCGGAAGAATGGAGAGATTGAGTCAATATAGTCAATGTTTCCAATGTTGAAATTTGACTGGCATAAATGAATAGATTTGAATCAGTCGAAGAATCAAATTGTCCGATAAATTGAAGATCAGCGAGTTTTTTAAAGTCCTTCAGATGTTTTAAATAGAAGTCTGATTCATCAGCAGTACTTGTCTGTTCATAGAAACCATTGCTTTCTAATGTTAGAGATCGGAGAGTATTAGTCACCTTTAGAATATGTTCCTTAAACAATTGGAATTGATAATATTTCTTCAATTTTAATGATTGTATTAAAGCATGATATTTTGGAAGGATATAGTAACAAAATCGATTGTATTGGGTGAAAGATACATTACTGAGATTGATATGCTGAATATAGGGTAAAGTTAGCACTTGGAAACGACTGTTTAGTTGTAAAAATCCATACACAATGTCCACATGATGCATATATTTGAAAATTAACAACCATAACTCATTAGGCAGACGCTCCATTGCTATTCTAGCTGCTTCTTTTTCTTTGCCACACGTGCGCTCGAGTTAGTTTGTATGGTAAATAAAACAAAGCCACTATATATCGTATTACACTTGTGAGAATAAGAATGAAAAAGAAAATCGATGTTATTCGGTGTGATTTATCTATTGTTGTTCGTGATTATGTATCTCCGAGTATTATATTGACGTATTTTTATTCATTTTAGCTTTGGTAGGATTATCCTTGGCTGATAAAGTAATACTCGATTTAATCAACGAAATGTTTCTTCTTTCAAAAGTCAAGTGTGACAAATTTCATTTTAATTAATGTTAGTTATGCACTAGCAAAAGAGATTTTGCTGTCCATTAGTTATCCTTTTTTGATAGAAGAACTGCGATCACTACAATTATAAGAATACAAATATTCAGGTGTTCAGAGCATATTAAGATTAAACTTACAAACAATGCCAATGATCAGAAGACAAAGTGCAATGATCAAAAGAATCCACATCTATTTAGTTGCAGAAACGGTGATTGTATTAGGCTATCAAGTAAAATACATTTCGTTACTTTCGTGTTTTGCCACCACATTTTACGTTTGATATCACGTGTATGTTGTCTGAACTCTTTTGCAGCGTCATTCATTTTATCTAAATTCGAAAGCATAGCTTAGTCTCAGACACAATGGAAGCTTTCGTATTAAATATTGTTACCTGTTCGTTCTTTGCACTCATGTATGTTTTCTGCACGTTGCTGAATTCTTTCGATATTTTGAACCATCTGTATTTTGACCTAAGTGAAAGCAAATCCTTGTGGATTGATGCTGCCTATTATGCAACTAAAAGCTTACTGTGTTGAGATCGTCATGAATTTGATTGATTTGATTATGGTTGACTTGTGTTGGTACGTTGGTGTTTTCTTGCGTTTGATTATGTGCATAAGAGACATTGTACACAAACTCCGTAGACCTAAACAACAATTCTTGTGTATAAGTGAAAGAACACAAAACCCGTGTTTCAAATGCGTATTTATTTACATGATCAATGACGTGACAACGCGTTCTTATGATGGAAGATTTTAACAAAAAGAAAAAGTAATTGTTTACTTGAATCTTGAAAAAAGTAAATGTATAAGTAATTTATAAAGAAAGCGTTCTCTTCTTTAAGTTTGATTTTTATCGAAAATGTCTTGGTTTCACCTCCTATACTATAGACTGTACTGCTTCACAAAGCTAGCGACAACTACTGGCATATTCTATGTATAACGAAGTTGATGGAATCAAATGATCGAAAGAAAACGATTGAACTATTGATTAAGTGACATCTTTATTTTAATTAGTCTCTGCTACCAATGATACTAATATGACTTATATAATCACACTGTATTACCCAATTGCTACTCTAGATGTGACGAAACAGAGCATTTAAAAAATTGATAGCACATAAGTTGATGTTTTCAGCTGTTGCTATTTTGCATCCGTTTTTTGTAGAAACAAATCATCAACAACACCAAATGCTTCTTTTGCATCGAAAGAGCAAAAGTTATCCAATGAACGTATACGCGATTCATGTCGAATGTCTTTTTCCAACTGCTATGGTCACATGAGAGTCGATCTGATCAAAACATTGGAAGAATATTCATCAGTAGAAGTTTTACGTGATATGATTGCCGATGAAACATGTATTTGATTATCCGAACCGATTCAAGAACGCATAGATGTGTATCATGAAGGTGCAGTGACGTTTTTATCGAATTCGAGGTTTATAAACAATATGATCCAACAACATGTGTTAGAATTCCTTGGAGATTGTGATGTGAATGCTTTTCAGATGACATTGCGACTAATTCCTTTTTTTACGGTAAATTCATTATCTTTATCGACTATGCGCTATAGTCAGGCACACTAGAATCACACAAGACAATTGCATCCGTGATGTCAAGTTATGTACACTGAATAGGAGTCGGCACGATACTTTTGGTATATTTCTGCTGACCAACGAATAGTGTTGTTGACTAATTCAACTAACTGTGACCTTCATTTTGGCCGTCTGCTAAGCGAATGAAAGTACGTATTTTCATCCGTATCGTTAAATATCATATCAAGAATGAATCTTTCTAGTGTGTTCCTTCGCTCGCATGCTTGTCGACATGATGAATAATATATTGTATTTTACTTATGGATCATGTCCATTCCGTTTCTATGTTGCTCATAAGGGCAACCATTGTGATATTGATGAACTGAAATAACTTTGAGGACGAATATGTTGTTGTTTTTTCTCGAAGAGTCAACAGTATTAAACAAATAGTTTACGTTTGTCTAAAAGTCATTGACATATTTTCGATCGTTTTGCCCTACTATCATGTAACATTTCCTTCTCCTTTGCATGCAAGTTTTGCATGCCACTTAACTTGAAATATCTCGTATCATCGTGCTGCTATAACTTTATCTTCTATATACTGCCAATCACTCCTGCTTCAAATAACTGTCGTTCTTCATGGAATTTACCTTTCATATAATTAAATGATCAGTATTGCATTAATCGTTATTTTTAGCTGTAAACATTAGTTATGATAGATGAGAAGTTGCTTCCTATTTCGTCGTACGACGCAAGTGGAACATTAAGATAGTTGCCAGATCACCCTTAACAGTATATTTCCTTGAATGAAATGCGAAAAGAACTGATCGAATTCCATTTTCGATTTATCATCCCATGTACGGTAAAAGATATGGTACGATGTGCACACATCTCCCGAATTTCTTATTACACATGTATATTAATTCGCTTATGAATGATACGATATTCGATGCATTGTAGTAGATGAGTCTTTATTGCATCTGGTCGTTTCAACGCTTATCTCACTGTCGATCTCTAAATGTATTATAGATTTTGTTGAGAAAATGTTCCCTATTTGCATCCATGCTGTATCACTTCTTGGATAGGTAATAATAGAAATATCGTCGGATTTGACATGATACAAGAAAGCAAATGGAAGAGTTCTCAAACTCCAATCAACTATCTACTGTCTACTATTAATGAGTACAAATAGTTCCATAACTCTCTCATCATTACAACCTCAAATTGACCTTGACAATATGAATTACGATTTCGTACTTTATTATACTCATCGTTGATGACTGTTGCGCCGTTTCCATAACAAAAATTCAGTTGATGCTATTTTGATTTCAATAGAAGTACATACAGTTCGTGACATGCAAGTGATTCATAGCACCATGACAGAATTATGTTGTTAAGATATCACAAATGCAGAGAAAGCTCTCGGCGAGTATGTTTATTGAGAAAGTATTAAATAAAAAAGAGTCGCATGTGTTGATTAGAAAAGTTTTGATAAATATAGCTATAAGAAATATCATTCACGCGAGACTTTAAGCTTATCTACCATGACGATTATGGGTACGCCAACTATGTCCAAAAAACATTTGACGACTACAGTATCCCGCAGATCGGTAGGAATTGAAAGAATAACGACGACTACAATGACCAGAACAGCATTCACCATCACTGCTGCAAGCACCAAAACTGCAGCCACGTTTACTAATGTATTTATCCAACCATTCTGAAAGACGATTTCGCTCGTCGTCTCCCGAACTTGTGTCTTGCGAGTCGTCGTCTTCAGTTCGTCCATAACAGTATACGATCGCCAATGTTAACAGAAGAAAAGTATATAGCAATATTTTGTTTGTATGCATGTTTGAAATTCTACAATGAAACAGTGAATAGTAGTTGCGTCTAATATTCTGCTTATATAAGTGTGCAATGAAGGTATAAAGAGAAATCATTTTTACATTTCAAATGCAAAATAACGTCTACCTCATGAATTGACTAAAGTACACTTGAAAAGAAACGAATCATGCAATACTATTATCGAAAAAAATCACATTCTGTTTGACTCTCGCTGTCAAGGATAAGAGGATTTTTAATGAGAGTGTGAATAAAGTGAGAGTCAGAATGATTCATGTGTTGCTTTGGTGTTTATTTTTGAAGCCGTACTTTTCAAGATTACTGTTGTTATTGTTCTTCGATCGAAAGAAAAAAATTGACTTGAAGAACAAATATGAATAGAATGGATGTATCTGCACTATCAATTATCACTCTATTTATCGAAAAACATTTGATCACAAATACTTTTTGTATTCTTATTATTCTGTTTTATCGTCATCAATATGAATTTTTCGAGATGGTGAAAGCAGAAACTCATCTCTGTTTCTGTTATTGATAATTCAACGAGTATCCGACAAGAAACATAGATGCACTGACAGCTGATAAGAACAGAGTGTCATGATGAATTTCCTCCTTACGCATTAACTGTATTTAGCTTTTTTTCTTCTTTGTGTGTTAGTCAACAAAGAACAGCGAAGAACGTCGTATTTGATGTATGTATTTATCTGTAAGAAAGACAAAGACAAGAATAGAGCAGAATGATGCGCACGGAGAAACATACTGAGGTACGATTTTTGATTTTCTTTGTGCTTATTGCATTTGCTTTACAAACAATTTGTGTTAATGCAACGATATATCAGTATCCATGTAAGTGTTTCGTTTTCGAAAAGTTTTCTCTTAACAATTGCTCATAGCTCGATTCACGTTATCCGAGTTTCCTGCCAATCGAATATCTCCGCGAGTTCAATCCTGTTCCAAATGGAACCGTATCGGAGAGACAATTGTTGGAAATGAACTGAATACACACCTCAACGACTTGGAAAGTATCTCTATGATCGGTATTGATCGGCTGTATGTTATTGATCGATATGATGGTAGAACACGATTACAGATATTTCCACACGGTTCTTTTGTTGGTCATACAGTTTGGGATGGACTTGGCACTATTGTTTTTATTGGTGAGAATGGAACATTTTACACAAGTTCTTCTGACGAAAATATCAAACGATGGCAAGAAAATGCAACACAAGGAGAAGAAACTAATTGCAAATGCGATCACTGTTCTCGTATATGGTTTGATCCAGAAGCCCAAGACTTTTACATCGTTGAACGCTATCGTTCTCGAATCATCAAATGTAATGTTGACACAAATGCTACGGTCACGGTAGCTGGAATAACAGATGTATATGGATCTTCTAATAAAACGTTATCTTATCCTTATGCATTGTATGTCAACCATTTAAAAGATCTCTACATTGCTGATGTAAATAACCATCGAATACAGAAATATTCAGAAAATGCAACGTATGGTATTACTGTTGCTGGACAGACGAATTCTTCACTTCACCGACCGTACGATATTAAAGTTGACGATAACGGTTTCATCTATATCGCCGATACGATCAACCATAGAGTTCTTCGATGGAAAGAAGGAGAATCTCAAGGAGAAGTTCTGTGTGGCATTACGAGTGAGCAATTCTTCTAATGAACTGTTTTTTCGACCTAAAATAAACTTATAGATGAATCCGGCAATTCGACACTGCATCTGGATCGACCTAAATCGTTCACATTCGATTTCGAAGGAAACCTCTATGTCGCAGACATCGGTAACAAACGAATACAAAAATTTTCTATCGATAATAGCCGCTGTCTTCTACCTGTAAAATGTAAGTAATCAATCACCAAGTTCACCTGAAGATTTTTTCGCTATTTCGATATAGCTGAATTTCCGAACGACCAGTGGGCAACTGTTCATCAACGGTTGTATGCATCTAAAGTCAAACTGAGGAACAACGAGCACCTTGGCATGGGTTATAATCCACTGAAAAATTCTCCTATATGTTATTCAGAACAGTGTAACAGGAAATATATTGGTCTACCTGTTTTCAAACTCAAAAATTTCGATTCATCCAAGAAGACCTGTGTGAACAAACTAATACCTGAAAAGATAAAAGTCGAATGCATACATTCGCAAAAATCGAATATTGAAACACAAATTATCAGTACACTGTGGGATCTAAAAGAAAATACAAGAAAGTCGGTGGAATTTATCACTAGTTCGACATTCAGTGCAAAACATATCGATAGTTCTTTTTCGTATGCACACTCGCGAGAAATACATTCTCTGATTGATACACTTATCAAAGATAATTCCATTATACTCTACACTTCGACCAATCAATCATCGGTTCGTCTTTCGATGAATGAGTCGATATTTGATTTATCGGACGATTTTCGCTTCGTAATTGAAAATATGCCATGCTGTGAATTCAATGTAACAGTTGAAAATTACATTCGTGAATTTATTCTTGGCTATTTCGGCTATACGTATATTAGAAATGTTCATCTCGGTGGAATTATACAGCAAACGATTGTCATCACGGAGAACAATCGTAAGATACTGGAACAGCATGGATTTAATATGTCCAATGAAACTTGGTTGAAGGATGTTGCGAAAGAAATCTTTTCACTTCAATCAAAGGCTCATCAAACCGAAATATCGACTAATACTTACGTTAGATACTTTACCAAAGGTAATATGAAAATATTTGGTGGTAATACTTCAACAAATTCACTCGAAGGATGGTTCAAGTCAATATCGCAAAGTCCTGTGGTTGTAAAAATGGGCATCTCTAGTATTTTCGATCTACTAACAAATAAGACTTTTCCCGTCGATTCTTATATTCATCAGAAAGTTGCATTGATCAGATCCGCTGTAGATCGATATCTATCGAATCCTGCATATTGTTATGATAGGTGCACGGATGCAGCACACGGAACATGTGTCGACAGTGGTTTCTTCCAATTTGGAATTTGCCAGTGCCAGTTGGGATGGACAGGTTTTAACTGCGCCACTCCTATCCGTGCGTATTTCCTACCGTAGAAACAGCGTGCTATGCATGCAATCTTTATTGTAGATCGCTTCATTGATATATTGAACACCAGCAATCTATCACCAGTTTGGAATACGAAAGCAGGTAGAAAGAGTCATTCAACGTCAACTGGCTTTGGAAAAGGGCAAATGCCTTCGAACGAAACAGTGAAGAATATTTTCGATCACAATATCTACACAAAATATACGAGTTTAGGATCAAGTTCATCTGATACGATTAATGCAAGAAGTGGTCTAAATACCGGTTTTCATGTCACACTTGATGTTGGCGTTTGCGTTGTAACTGGATTTCGATTTTCGACCGCTATTGACCAACCAAAGCGAGATCCGATAATGATTACTCTCGAAGGAAGTAACGTGGATAGTTCGTCGTTAACACTTGGTAAAAGCTGGGCATTGTTATACAATGGATCGAGTGGACTCTATACAGATCCAGGCCGAGGGAAAGTCGGTAGTCTGCAAAGATTCAGTAACGACCGATTTTACCGACACTATCGGGTGCTTGTCGTATCAAAAAGAGGATTGAACAATGGCGTACACTATTCAGAATTTCAATTCTATGGTCATTCATGTTTACCAGGTAAGTAAACAATGGTTGACCTATTGAAAGTATCATCTTTTTTTCTGTGTAGAAACTCATATACGAACAAGAAACATGAGAATGGCGGTCATGCAAACGACCAGTGCATATATGAAGGTTACTAACGACCAACCGTTTCCGCTGATTTTAATCACATCGTCGAATATGAATATGAAAGATACATTTCCTAGTCAAACTATTGGAGCAGGTAGATCGAGTCCCTTGTCATTCATTAGTACAGGAGGAGAAACGACTCAATCATACTTTGATATCGCGTACGGTTCCAGCGCAATCAAAATCAACATTGGACAAGTTAACTATGTTACCAATGCAAGTTTCTTTGGGCCAGCAGGTCACACAGGAGGATTGCTTGCTCCTACTAAGCCATTCAGTCAGGATACCGATTACACATTCTACTTCTTTGGTGGACCTGGCGTCTTACCACCGTTAATCAATAGTTTTATTGCAGCTAATCTACCAGCTTTGGTTGCATACGTGTCTGCAAATCCAGTTCAGTTCAACTTAAATGATGACATTGAACTAGTCATCAATCAACTTGATCTCACTCCTCAATCAGTTCATTGCAACTACGCCTCATTATCACCAACTGAAGACTACAGTATACGCAATCCGCAATGGCGTGCCACTATGATCATGAGCTTGAGTGGCAAGATATCTGGATCTATCCTGTACCATAGTATGAAGATAAATTTTAACTTCACTATTAGCAATGGCTCGGTGTTGATACAAGCGATAGTCAATACGAATGATTTACAAGCCTTTTCGTGCGCAGTAACCAATCTGGCATTTTCTGTTTGGAGTTTCAGTATCAACAAGGATCTACTAAGCCTCCTTCAAACATTCTTCTCTGCATGGTACCAATTGATCGATACACCGTATCATCTAGCAAGTACCCTTAATATTAAATATAATCAGATCATCATCGACAGACTCAATGTAGCTATTAACAAACTTTTAAATAAAACTGTAACGATCGATGACGCAGCCAGAAAGAAATCTATATCTATCAGACCTTCACTAGACAGCATTGATAAAATCCAAGAAAGAAAAATCGATTACAGCCGTTGGATGTCCAATCCACGAATACAGTCGAAAACGTTATCACAATTGAAAATTCCAGGCACTCACAATTCTGGATCTTACGGATTAACGCGAAAACCCTCCCAGGTCATTTACAAAAACATCGAATTTCTCTGGAATTTAAGTGCCAATTCTGCACCTACAAACGGCCATTTACCATGCAATAAAGACAAGATCTATGTAGGACATACATTGTTAAACTACATTGTTGATACCACACTTCGAATAGCTATTTCACAGAATCGAACCATTCGACAGCAACTCGACGACGGTGTGCGATTCTTTGATTTGCGAATCTATTATGATACAGACGGATCGTTCTATATCCAGCATGCACTGCGCGGTCCTGAGCTGAATGATATTCTTGTTCAAGTAAGAAGTTTTCTCGATGCACATTCAACATCCGGCGAGCTAATCTTCCTCTCCATTTCACATACTAATTTTGGTACTGATCCCGAAAAGCTGCCATCTCGAGTGGCAACAATCATCCAGAACCATCTGAAGCCTTACCTTTACATGCCTGCAAATTCGACTGGAATTAAGAATTTTGATTTTCAAAGCTTACGCAATACGCCTCTTACTTCTATTACTACTGCTTCGTATCGTACATCACCCAAAGTTATGATTTTGAATACTGACAACTCGGATGACTATTACTACAAGGATACGGTTGTCAACACTGAAGGATTCGCAGGTTCGGAAAGGTGGACAATCAACTCGAATGGCGTCAATAGTCTTATGGACTTGATTGAACTTGAATACCAAGGATTGAAGAAGAACACAAAATCTATGTATCATATTAGTTGGATACAAACTCCGCAGGCGGCAGATATTATTCAGAATGTGATCGATCATTTGACTGGAAACACATCTAAAATGTTACTTAAACAACTGGCATCAGAAACCAATTCTGCATTGCCGAACTTTCTCAAAAATCATACTATGACCACATTCAATTTAGTTACGTTAGACTGGTATCATATTAGTTCAACAACTAATCCCGTTGACATTATCATTGAACTGAACTAATATTGAGAATCGATGTTACCTATTTTCATTCTGATCTTTTCTATCAAGCTACGCATCTGTATAATTTTCATAAACAATTAGTTTTATGAAGAGTATGTCCTAGATACACTTCTTCGATATATAAATTACGAAGATGAACTCTTCCTCTGATTCGTTTTTCAACAAAACACTGGCAATTGATCAAACTATACACACAATACGATAGAGTAAACATAGTTACCGATCTGACTCATGTTAGAAGCAATTTCTCTTTCTTTCTCCGATTTATTTGCCTTCTCTTCTCTATTGATCAATAAAAACAGCTATATCAAAAAGTAGTAACAATGTGATTACCGTACAATTGAATACCTATACAAAACAAAACAACAAACATCGCCTATTGCAAAAAAGAAATATCGAATTATGGGCAATCGTACGTATCGTCCAAGATTTACTGAATGGGATTTAGATAATCTAGAAAAAGTAACAACGTTATCGAAACAACAATATCTACGTCTTTATCATCAATATCAAAATAATCAGGCATGGGGTGGACAAAACATGGACGAGAAAACATTCTTTCAAAAATGTAATGAAATGCTGCCCGGTGAGCAAACGAAACGAGAAAGTGATCGGGCGTTTTATACATTTGATTATAACAAATCAGGTAAATTATCCTTTGAAGAGTTTGTTAGTGCGATTGTCGTACTAAACAAGGGTTCAACATCATTTGATCGAATTGCATATGTTATTGATCAGTTTAACCCAAATAAAAATGATAATGTAGTCGAAGAAAGTTATGGTACACTGGTATTTGATCGTTTGAATCAATATTATGAAATAAATGATGTTGATCCAGTATCATCATGGTCGGAATTAGCTAATACTTGTGCAAGCAATCCAAATCATATTAGTCGTGATGAGTTTTTAACCTATATTGCTGGACATCCGATTTACATTACACATATTAGATATCACAAATGACACCTAAGTACACAAATACGAAAAGATCCCTGTGAAATTTTTATTCCATTTTGATCAAAATAAAGAATATTCACTCCATTTTTCAAATTTGATTCCACTAAAGAGGATATATGTCTAGTCTGTTACAGAGGAGCCATTATTCATCCTTTTCGATTTCTGTATTCTTATTGTTCTATTTTCATTAAAATACATTTGTACACCATATACTATAGTAATCGTGCATCATGCTAGTGTACGAAATCCGAATGACCTGTTTCATGGAGTAGTTGTATGTCATGAGCATTTCATAACCATATTGGAGATTCTGTTCGTCTTGTCAGATATCTGATTTCGTGCTACCAAGTACAATATCGTATTTCATATTTTAGCTCCGGGGGTACTTCGGTCATTTGCATCCGTAAGTGTGGAGAATAATTCTTTTTCCCGAAAATGAGGTTGAAATTGGTTACAACTTCTTTATAGTATTACGAATATAATCTATTATGGTTGGAATATTTCGTTTTTGTATAGGCTTTTCCCAATTTATCATCCAGTGATTCATATATTCCTCAGGTAGCGCTATTATAACACCCTGCAACACGTATCAACAGAACTGGGTGAAATTCCATATAAACATACACGAGTGATTCAATGGTCTTTGGTATATATAGGATTCGATGATAGTGTAGAATGCATTAGATTCTCGCGAATAACATATAGAAAAACTAAGTATGGCATCCAATATGAAACGAGGTCTCCCTTCTGGTGCATCTCACTCTCTGAGTTTACCTGCACAAGTAGATCCAGAAAGTATTGAACAGTGGCGCAACCCAATCGAGTTGGCTGCTCGAAAATCAAATGTACCTGCATCAGTTACTGGTGGTGTGATATATCAAGAATCATCCGGACGTGATGCAGGACTCATGTAAATCAATGAAGGAACATTAAAAGAACGTAAGGGAAATTGGCACCCGATTCGTCTAGGAACCTGTTCCAAAGTGTGTTCCAAGTACGACTCGACGAGCTCTATCCAGTGGCGTGCTCAGATGTGCGACAGTCCAAAGTATAGTTTTCGCAGCCTCTCTAGCGCCATCTATCAGCCCAAAAATCATAGTTCGGGATAATGTAAATCTGAGCACACCACTGGATAGAACTCATCGAGTTGTACTCGGAACACGTTCCTAGACGAATCTGGTGCCAACTTCCCTTACGTCCCAAAATCTTTGTCTCAGACGTTTTTTGTTGAAACGGAGAAAAGAAGAAACAAGAAATTAGATTTCGTAGCGAATATAATTATGCATTTCACACACTGACAGCGAATGGAAGTATTCCTGCCTTTTTGTCTATAAAAAGTTGGGTGAGATGATCGCTGAACGAGCAATACCATCAGTAAAACCGATAATTGGTTTCCGAAATTGCGACTCACTATTCAAAAGATTAGTAAAGAAAACATTAAAACAAGTTTTTATTGGTGCAGAACGCCACCCGACGTAAGATTCCTAAGTAGCTTCTTAACAAGAATCAGAACCAAAAGGTTCTCAGTTAGCGAATAAAATCGACGACGACGGTATCGAACTGTTAAATTTTTTTTGCTTCGGTATCATTTCTTTTGGAATTGTTGCGAACAAGATGAGAAGCCTTTGTACTTGCGTTATAATTGTGCTTTTTTCTTCAGAAATATTTTCAGCTGATAAAAGTTTTTTGTTAACCTCGATGAAGTTTATTTTCAAATCGGCAGAAACCGGTCGAAAAAAACGAAAACTATTAGCTTTGTTTCAAGTCAGGTTTTTCTACGTTTTTCTCTCATTCTTGACAATATACAGAAAGCAAGAAACATCGAACTTCAAGTATACGTGTTTTACTTGAACACCCTCACGCTCTTTAAATTGGTCTTTCTTCATCATTCTCAGCTACGAGTTTGATTAATTAATTGTCTCCGTCTTGCATTTAGGTCATAGGTCTCAAGCGGCGTTTCCGCTTTATGATGTCGCGTTCGATTTTCTTATGAAGATTTTACCGGAAAAATGGTTTTGTTTGGAGCTGTAATGGCATTTGCTTTTATCAATTTTGAATGTACTTGACAAAAGCAAATAAAGTAGGTCAATGCGACTGTAACGATCAGTGTATATCTATAGTTCACCTATGCGACCTGTTCATAGATATTGATCTTGCGCGGTATTTCCTATATAAGTTGTGTTCAATAAAGAAACGACACGATTATGAGTGTGTAGATGACACAACACACCATCATGTCAAAGGACATAGGCAATCACTATCATAATTCGTCACAACGACGACAGTGGTGCACAACTGTCGTAACTGTAGTTCCTAATTTTAACACAAACAGGCGGATAGAGATATTTGGAATTGCCTATTTCTCAGCGCGAAGCCTTCCAAAAAGTGTGATACAAAACCATACTATGTTGGAACCTGGAAAGACTCTGGAAATGGTACTGTAATGTAAAGCCGTTAAAGGTTCAGTAAGACATCTATTTTTTGCCGAGTATGTTACTATGGGTTCATTCAAACGAACAATAAACTGCTTTCATAGGATTGTTATCATACGCTGAAATTGAAGATGGTCCCACAGATGACAATAAATACATAACTTGTAATATATGTTGAGATCTACGTGAAGAAGCGAATAGTCGATAAACTATACTATATTCTAAAGTGTATTTGAAGTTAGGTAAATATATGAAAGGTTTAGTTTTGAGATTAACTTTAAATAAACACAAGGATGATTATACGAAAGATTATTTGTTGATATTAGATCTTCTGCGAAGTACAAAAAAAGTTCCTTTACATGTACATCCGACATCCAGATGAACATACAACGCCGTCTATTATCAATGAATGCCAAGGTATTTTTTATCATTCGATGTATAATGATCTAATCCACTGTCTTCTATAATGAAGGCATCCAGTTTTATGATGTTATGACACTATGTAGGGATACCCCTCCTCTTTTTCGAAGTTCCTCAGAACTGAGCAACGATAAGGCGGATCGAGTTGAAATTTTTGCTATACATAGAGAATCCAAACCCAATAGACACATGTTCAAGGAGAACTCATTTTTTACCAGTTCTTCTTGGGGTTCTAGCAAAAAACTACTATTTTAGTTCCCTCCAATGGTAACTGAAAAACCATATAGGTTAAATCCGGATCGAATGGTAAAAATTAAAATCGGCCAATTTTACCTCTAGAGGGTAGTCTAAAGTATCGCTGCCAAAGTTTCAGCTCGAACGAATAAGATTTTGGGGAGACATCCCGGACACAATGGTTGGATTTTTATGAAAACCTGATTTTGAGAAAAAAGAGGAGTGAGATCTCGATTCGGCCTAATACTTTTTGTAAGTGAGTTCGGAAATAGCTTTATTAGTGATAAGAAGAGAAAGAGAGATCAGATAAAAAACAAGCGATAGGTAAGAAGAGAAGAACAGAGATGGAGTTAATGCACACACCGCTTGGACACTTCGAGAGTTTATATATATGTGTGTGTCCATGGACAGAATGGAAAGAACCATATATCCTGACGTAAGGTGATACATATAACATGACGTCATGAATAGGTTATTTTCCAAACACCTTTCCCTCTAAGTTGATCACGTCGGTGTATATCGATCCGGTGGTCGACGATTTCTACTGGGATAACGAGAAGCTGTCGGTTGTGTTGTAGATTGTGCTTCTGTAAAGAGATTTTGATTTAACATATCATCAGGTAGACTTGTAGTATCCGGTTGTTGGTTTGCTGTTCCATATTGAAGACGGAGTTGATTTTGATGACGTTTGACAATACCATCTGGTAGTTGAATTTCATATAAAACTGATCCTAACTGTTTTGTTACCATACCAGATTTCCAAATATGCGAAGCATTTGGTTGGTTGATTTTAGTAAGAACCATTTGACCAACTTGGTATTTTGACATTCGTTGCTGCTTTGAGCCATGTTTCAGTGGTTTCATTCGATGTAATGCTGTACGAATTGGATATTGCAGCATCATATCAGCTGGTGACCGACCTGTTGATGTATGTATAGACCAACGATAAGTCCGCATTATATTTCTAACCGCAATATTCTTGTTTAATTGACCTGATAGTCGTTCCTTTGCCAACCCCTCTTTGAACGAACGAACAAATCTCTCAGCTAATCCATTGCTATGTATCACAATTAAAGGTAAAGATAATTTTTGATTTTTGTAATTGATACTCACCTCGCATTCTCCTAATAATTTGAGTAAATTCCCACTGTAACATTGAAGTTTGTGTTTCGTTGCTTGAATTGCCGGTGATCCAATATTTTTCCAATCATTCTCACTGATGATTGTATGAGTTGATCCGGTATCCATTTCAAACTCCATTTCATAATTATTTACTAATAATTTCACATTAAGAGAGTTGTTGCGATTTTTGTTGTATTGATTAGTATTGTTGACCTTGTACACTGTCGTGATGTGTTTCGTGGTTTGTTTAGGATCCTTTTTCTGCCGACAAACCCGTTCCAAATGACCCACTCGTTTACAGAAGTTGCAGGTATACTTTCGATACTTGCATGTACCACGTACATGTTGACTAGAGCCGCATACTGTGCAAGGTTTCTTATCCTGTTTGTTATGCGATCTAGTTTGCTGTCGTGGTGTTCCACTAGATTGTTGACGATCAATCTTGGCTACATTTCCATCTGTTTGACCCGTATTTGCATTGAAATGACGGACATCTTCTTGTAAACGTTCTGCCATTTGAATAATTTTCTCTGTTGCTTCGAGATCTGGATCTTCTTCTTTCAAAAGAGCTTGCCGAGTCTTTTGACTTCTTATTCCAATCACATACATGTCACGTAAAGCTCTATCCTGTGGTTTCTTTGCTAATTTCGATGTTGTAAATCCACAGTGTCGAAGCTTTTCACACAGTTCTGCCTTCCACTCTATGAACGATTGACCGGGCTTTTGAACACAAGAATAAAAGTCGTAGGTTGATGTCATTATGTTTTTTCGAATGTCGTAATGAGAATCTAATACCTTGGTCAATGTTTCAAATGTGATGGTGGTATCGGTGAGAGCCGTTGGAGACATCAATGATTCCAACAAATTGTATGTTGAATCGCCGATTGACCACAAAAGTAATGCTTTCTTGTCGCTGTCTTCCATTATTCGGTTTGCTTTGAAATAAAACCCGATGCGATCCCGATATGATTGCCATGTCGTTGTACGTGGGTCAAAAGCATGTAATGCAGGTATGGAAGACACAATTGTTTCGGCCATTCGAAGAAAAAAATCTCGCTCGTCGCCAATGTAAGTGAGTTCGGAAATAGCTTTATTAGTGATAAGAAGAGAAAGAGAGATCAGATAAAAAACAAGCGATAGGTAAGAAGAGAAGAACAGAGATGGAGTTAATGCACACACCGCTTGGACACTTCGAGAGTTTATATATATGTGTGTGTCCATGGACAGAATGGAAAGAACCATATATCCTGACGTAAGGTGATACATATAACATGACGTCATGAATAGGTTATTTTCCAAACACTTTTGAAATTTTTTCAAAAATGACGTTGTGCCCTGGAACAAAAACGTTTCTACCGTTTATGAGGAAATCAACAGTATTTATGGGAATATTCGGTATTACAATGACTGTTCTTTTGTGCCTTTGCCCATTTTCAATACTAACAATTTCGTACGATGTTTCATCGGTTAACTCTCTCAGTATTATACTTGTCTGAATTAAAACGAGATTTATTTCAATTAGAAAAAGAACAAATGTAGGCATAAAGGAAAAGAAATTGTATTTTTGATATAGAATTACATAAGTTATGCAAAAATAAAGTATGTCAGAAATTTGTTGTTCATTATTGAGACATTTACTGTGCAATAAAAAATGGGAGAATATGCTGCATAGCTTTATCAAGGAGCAGCAAGTTTAGTGACCTCTGCTGCAGTTAGTTCTCGTGAATACACACGATACTCATCCAAAAGACCTTGATAGACACTGGCTACAATTGAATTCTTTGGACATGATGTTCCTTGCAATGGACTGCCCAATGTCATAAATACTGCAACTGCTGAAGTATCAATCGACGCTATACTCTTGGTACCACTTGAAACACCATTGACATACAAACGAACACCATTACCCGTTGAAGCTGTGATGGCAACATGTGTCCAGATATTCGCCGATACAGTAGGGCCCACTACTTCTTGAACACTACCACCAGAGCGAACAGCGCCTACTATATTCCCACTAGAGCTCAAGCCCAGTACATCAAAGCACCAATTCTGCCCATCTGATTTACTTGAAAGATGTGCAAGAGTTCCACCGCTCGTTGACGTCGGATTGATCCATAGCGACATCGAAAATGCTTTGTTAGCAACACCAAGAAGAACATATCCAGGTATCTAAAGATTATATATAATGAACTAGTGGGGACACTCGATGCAAGTTAAGAACCATTTTAATCAGGCTTTATTCTTAAGACCACACCCCGAACCACACTATAACCCTCGTTTACGTCCGCGGCAAAAAACAACAATTATTTACTGCCATAGGTCCTACTGTAACGTAATTTCTCACTCGTTCCTACATAATCCGCTGCAGGTGTATTCGACGCCCATCCATATATAACCCATTGCAACCCCTGGTCCTTCTGTATTTTAGAAAGAAATTGCGCGGTTGCATTTGTTCTTCTTGAATACGTGCACACTCACTCGCTCACACATCATTACACAGAGAGTTTTCTGTAAATGTGCATGATCTCAATTTGGATCATACTCATGTTTACTGTTGCAATCCTACGTCACTTGAAGCAGCACATTTAGAAAGACTCAATATATATTCGAAGGAATTTTCTTGTAGCTCTGGAAAATTATTATGAGTAACAGTCTACAAAAACAGGGTGGAATATCGCCCAACTCATTTCTTACGTCCCGAATACTCGCATTCATTCTCTCGCGATTCGTTTCTGGAAAAGTTGACCATATTAAGCCACAAAAGCTGATGTAGATGAAATTTCACCCAAATGTTTCCCTTCATCCTAGTGGCCGTCTGAATGGCACTCAGCTTCCCAAGTTGGAAAAGCTATTGATACCAACGATGATTGTTAGAGTCGTGACAAATTCATTTAGTTTTCCAACTGTTGAGAAAAATTTCACGGTCGCATCGCTTAAGTGGAATTTTACCCGGACATTCCCACACGATCTTTATCTAAGAAACCAACTTCATCTAGACGTTATTGCGGACATATGGTAGCACCGCGGAAAGCTTAGTGATCGTGGATATTACAGAAACTGAATCCATAGTGAACAGGCAGGCAAACTGTCTTCTGTATACATATAGATAATCTTCTCAATATACTGAGCTGATTCCGAGTTTACTACTTAGTATCATTCTTATTAATGATATTTAGGAAAAAACAAGGCTATATTCGTTGATATCTATGCAGATTTTTTGAAACACTCAGTAAATTACAGCAATCTGAAAGAGGATTTTAAATCGCACATGCACGCAGTTTTTAAACTATCAATGAGTAAACAAAGATGCCCACATTTAACAGCAGACTCTTTTTTGTTGACAGTCTTTGTTATGAACTGTCATTGTCTACAGTATTTCCTTCTTTAATTAAAATAACGTTGAACGAAATAGTTTAGTTCTCATTTTCAATCTAATTTTAATTCTTTACGAAAGTTTGGTTGATGTCAAATTGAATTAAACTAAACACATACTTGAAAAGATGATGTGGCCGAGTTGAAAAACAATCCATTGTTTACTCTACCATTTCCTGATACAACGTTATTAGCAGTTCCACTAATTTTATTTGGACCCGAATCATCCTGCAATCCACAATCAAATGAATGCCATGTAGTCAAGGTAGCATCATCGAGAATCTCGCTTGCTGTCTTAGCGTTCATTGTGAGTGAAACTTGATCCATGAAACTAAACAAAACAAATATGACATATACAATTACAATCTGCATACACATCATGTATATTTATTTGTCAAAATGAACAGTTTAAGATGCCAGTCAATACATCAACATAATCTGTTTCCTCTTTGATGTTCTGTTTCTCTCAAACAAAAGTTCGGCCCGTTTATTCCTATATCAAGTATAGGATTTAAGTTTTGAACTTAGGAGAAAAATGCTTGCATCCATGCATTACGCTTCACTAGTGCAACCGAGAAATCATGTTTCACCCTGTTTGTCTTACCCGTCATAATAATTCTTATTATCATAATATCCAATGGTTATTATACCACTAGTGCCCTGATAGTTACTTGAACTACCTATGGCGTCTTGAACTCCATTTAAATAAATGGTCTTCTGTTGTGTTAAATAATTATAAACGAATGCTGCATGATACCAGGTATTAGTTGACAGTGTGGTTGTGCCAGACAGATCGTCAAAATAAAAGCCCATATATAATTTTTGGTCACGAATACAAAGATGTAACAATTTGTGAGGTGTCACCGACTCAATTTGACTAAAAAGTCCCCATGTACTACCAGCGGAAAGTGTGGTGGGTTTGATCCACATTTCCACTGTAAAACTAGTATAAGCAAAATTTTGATAATTTGGTATCTGTACTCCTTGTGAACTGCTAGTGACAAACTGCAGAGCATAACCATTGTTGATGCCAGGGGTAACATAAGTAGGTGAATTGACTAGTGTGCCATCCAATCGTCGTATATTGGATGTGACGTTTTGTTCCAGTGGCCAGACACTATCGGCGCCATCGAAAAACACATCTAATACGAAAGAAACCAAAATGATGGACATGCCTAATAAGCTATACGTAGACTATCCTCTCAGAATGCTTAGATAAAATAAAAGTAATTCTCTCAGTTTACACTTTAACATGAATATCAACACAGCGTACACAGAAAATATTATTTTGAGTTGAATATGACATTGTAAATCGCCTTCCTGCTATTTCTCTTTCCAGCATAAGCATATAAGACACAAATAAAAACATTGAATAATTGCTAAGAACAAATCTGCTGAGCGCTTACGTCACAGACTCGATCGCATCTACCCGACCGTATTTCAGGCACGTACACTTCTAAACCATCCCGAAAAGAAAATAATTTCAGTCCTAACAAGAACATGATGTCCATCACGGCACACACATCATACCCTCCTTTGATGTCGAAACAATATTTCTCTTACACCATTATTCATACGAAACTTACTTCCTATGCATAAAAATCCCTTAAAACATCGGTTAGACCTCCACCCCCAAAATTCATTCCCTTCTTATCTTCTCGACGTTCTCATGAGACAATCACACTTACATTCACAGATGCTATTGTGGCACAACACGCTCTTACAACCATTACTGCAATCAGTATCAACTTTACATTTACTGCCCACCGCACATATGTTACCGGATGTACCACCACAATCCACGTCTGTCTCATCGCCATTCATCACGTTGTCGTTGTTTGCTGGAGCTAAAAACACGAGAAACGGTCGTACCCTCTTGCTTCTCAAGAGTGACGTGTTACCTAGACACTTGGTTCCATCACACTTCGCACTACCACAGTCAGTATTAGCAGAACATTTCTTAGCGATAGCACATCGAGGGCACAAACCACTGCCACCGCAGTCAACGTCTGTTTCACCGTTGTTTTGTAGGCCATCGGTACACAACGCACCTGTAAGAAAAACATACGAGTCTGACTTAATGGCTACTATAGCACTTACTTTGGCAAAAGCCACTTATGCACAAAATATTATTGCAATCTGCGGTAATTTTGCATTTCTTATTCACGGCACACGTGTTACCGGATGTACCACCGCAATCGACGTCTGTCTCATCTCCATTCATCACGTTGTCGTTGTTTGCTGAAGCTAAAAACACAAGGGACGGTCGCACCTCTTGCTTCTCACGACTGAGGTGTTACCTAGACACTTGGTTCCATCACAGTTCGCACTAGTGCAGTCGGTACTCGCAGAGCACTTCTTAGAGGTACCACATCGGGGACACGATCCACTGCCACCGCAATCAATGTCGGTTTCGCCGTTGTTTTGTAGGCCATCGGTACACGAGGGGCCTGTGGAAAGAATACAAGATGCATCGCTCGACAGTTTTTTCCCTACTCACTTTGACAAACGCCATTACCACACAACATATTGTTGCAGTCTGTCGTAATTTTGCAGATCTTATTCACGGCACACTTGTTTGCGGATGTACCACCGCAATCCACGTCTGTCTCATCTCCGTTCCTCACGTTGTCGTTGTTTGCTGCAGCTGAAAAGACGAGAAACGGTCGTACCTCTTCTGTTTCAAAGACAGGTGTGTTACCTAGACACTTGGTTCCATCACAGTTCGCACTAGTGCAGTCGGTATTCGCAGAGCACTTCTGAGAGGTACCACATCGGGGACATGATCCACTGCCACCACAATCAATGTCCGTTTCCCCGTTGTTTTGTAGGCCATCGGTACACGAGGGGCCTGTGAAAAGAACACACGATGCATCGCTCGACCATTTTTTTACCTACTCACTTTGACAAACGCCATTAGTACACAACATATTGTTGCAGTCTGTCGTAATTTTGCATTTCTTATTCACGGCACACGTGTTACCGGATGTACCACCGCAATCCACGTCTGTCTCGTCTCCGTTCATCACGTTGTCGTTGTTTGCTGAAGCTAAAAACACGAGAAACGGTCGTGCCTCTGCTGTTTCAAAGACGGGTGTGTTACCTAGACACTTGGCTCCATCACAGTTCGCACTAGTGCAGTCGGTATTCGCAGAGCATTTCTTAGAGGTACCACATCGGGGACACGATCCACTGCCACCACAATCAATGTCCGTTTCCCCGTTGTTTTGTAGGCCATCGGTACACGAGGGGCCTGTGAAAAGAACACACGATGCATCGCTCGACCATTTTTTTACCTACTCACTTTGACAAACGCCATTAGTACACAACATATTGTTG